AGAAGCTTGTGTATTTGACAGATGGGGTGCTGGTAAGTCCATCCGGCGTCGAATCAGGCGTCGTTTCGATGAATTCCCAGTCCTCCCCCTCGAGACGGCTGACTGATGATGCTGTCTTGTCAAAATAGACATTTCGCTCCACCGTCACGGTCCTCTTGTCAGGCCAATAAACCCTCACACCCTTCGACTTCTCATCCAAACCCATCCAACGCCCCTCTCGCACCTGCCCACCCAACTTGTTCCCTCCCTCGATGCGCACCCACACCTTCTCGCCCCACTCACGTACCTCACGGAGGTCAGGCTTCTTCCCAAAAGCTGCCTCGTAGGGGGTTTTGCCATCCACCGCCTTCGTCGACGTCCGATTTAACAACCAAACGACGTGGCGAGCAGCCTCGCCCCAAAGAAACTTTGGCAGACCAGAACTGTGCAATAGCACTCGAACGCGCTCCATGATGATGCGATTACGACGTTCCGCAACACCATTTTGGGCAGGGGTATCATGGACGGTTTGCTTCCTCGCCGTGCTGCGAGCCTTGAGATGGACAACAAACTCCTTCCCGGTGTACTCTCCCCCTCGATCCGAGTGCAAAACCTTGACTCGAGCACCTAGCTGTGCATCACACCACGCCTCATACTCCCTGTACTTGGCAAAAGTGTCAGACTTATTGCGCATGAGGTAGAGGTGAGTGAGTCGCGTCTTGTCGTCAATGAAGGTGACGTAGTAGCGCCGACCGCCCCGTGTAGAAACAGGTGCTGGTCCCCAGAGATCCGAATGAACCTCACCACCAAACTCGCTCGCCCTCTCCCCAGCTCTCTCTTTCGGCACCGACTTCCTCGTCGCCTTGGCATAAACGCACCAGACGTCGACATTGTTGTGAGACGAACACCTGTCACAAACTTGTTGGATACAAGTCGACGAGCAACCTCAGGCGATATGTGGCCCATGCAACGGTGGAACTGGTCCAAAGTGATCGTCTCGATCGCTGAATTGACCGTGTCGTCGTCGTGCTCAACGCGGTACAAGCCCTTTGCGTTCTTTGCCACCTCGCCAACCTCTTCACCCTTTGGTCCTCGAATAACACACTTCCCGTGTGCAAACGTTGCGGAGAACCCCTTCTCATCAAGCCGCCCAATGGAGACAAGCGTATAGCCAACTTCGGGAGAGTAGAGCACCTCTGTGAGGTGGAGCTGCTTCATGTTGACACCACTAGGTACATTGATGATGAGCTTGCCAACCCCAGTAGCACTGAAGTTGTTTTTGTTGGCAGCGTGAAGTGTTTGCAGTGGGATTTCCGTGAGGTTGACGAAGTCCTCGTGGTAAGGGGAGATGTGGCGAGTTGAGCCCGAGTCGTAGATCTCGACGCGAGGGGTTTCGAGGAAGGCATTCTCGACGTCAAATTTCTCCTTGACGGTGTTGATGATGGCGTAGAACTCAGCCATCAACCTCTCCTCCTCCTCGTCGGATCCATCCTCAGAGCTCCAGAATGGGTCATCATAGTCTCCAGCGCCACTTCCGACATCTGAGAACCAGTCACTGTCCATCAGCGCATCAGACTGGTGAGGCACCGGGAGGGAGTCGCTGTCGGCGTCGGAATAATCGTCGCTCCCCATCACCGTGTTGGTATTTGACTGGAGCCCTGCCATTGAACCATGCACTGATGTTTCATCATCAGACTCGACCATGACCGCGAAAACACCATCGCTGTCCCCCTCCTCAACCTCAACCACATTCACAGACCCACCCGCCTTTGAAGAAGCTGCCTTCTGAGTCAACTTGTCGACAATCTTCCTCATTTTCGGGCACTGACTCTTGCGGTGACCAAGGTCGCCACACTTCCAGCACCCCCTGCTTGAGCCACCTCCACCATTCGCAGCCTGTCCACCACCTGTGTTGTTCAAAGTGTTCGATGAGACTGCCATCACCTCGTCGCGGTCATCCTCCTTCGCCTTTCCCAAGCGCCCAAAACGTTGGGACTTCTGGCAGTCATACTCCTCGCCAATAAGCCGAATGAGGGTGTCAGGAGCAATGGTACCGGTTGGGGAGAACATTCGGGCAGCAGCAAGCTGCGCCGATGCAAAGTTTGAGAGTGGGATAGGAAGGGACTGCAGGATGGTCGAGCGATAGTCTTTCTCATCGATGTCGACACCAACTGAAGCAAGCTGTTCCCTCTTGGTGGCCAAGGAATCCAGGAACTCACGCACATTGCCCTTGTCGGGGCACTTCGACCCCAAGAACTTCGTACGCATCTCGGTTTGCACATAAGCGCCCTTCTCCGTGTACTCGCTGACGATGGTGGACCACCTCTCAAAGACGGTCTTCTTCGAGTGGATACGCATCAACATTGAATCAGGAATCCTCTGGGTGAGTAAAGACTTTGCCGCACGCTCGTCCTTGTCCCACTTCTCCATAGCAGCTATCTCAGCCGCGGTAGGGGTCGCCGTCGCACCAATGGTTGGAGGGGCAGCGCCCACAACAGCCGCGGTCGCGGCACCGGCAGTAACAGTAGCGGGGGTAGGGGCAGGGGTAGGAGTGGCCGCAGGAACAGGGCGAGGGTCGGTACCAATGAAGTGACCCCAGAAGCCTTTAGCCTCGACGGCATCTTGGAATCGGACGGCAAATATTGCCCAATTCAAGCCGCTCGCATCGAGCTTGGGTACGGAGGATGGAAGGGTGTCGGAGAGAGAAGTCGTGGCAGTAGACATGGTGTGTAGGCAAAAATAAAATGCTGAGGTTGATCGTCGAGTTTAAGCGTAGGGAGCGGGGCCCATAACCTGTGAACCAACTAAGAATAGCTCAGCGTTTGGAAAAACGGCTGATAACATTGACCAGTACCTAAGAATAGCTAGGTACAGGATGTAAGCATATGAATAGTAGATCATAAACTAGAAAGCTCACCTCAGCGTTTGGAAAAACGGCTGAGGGAGCGTTAACATAAAGACAAAATACCTATCTCCAAGCATGAGACGGGCCGTGCTGACACGAGCTGCATACGTGAAACCTGTGCGCTGCTCGGGCGCGTTTGCCTCTCCAAATCCAACACAAAGTCGATGCTCTAAGTCATCGGTTCGATTCCTGAGACCTACAACTATTGTCAAAGATTTTCAATCACGACTCCCTACGGCTGCTAGCGGCTACTTCTGAAGCGTACAAGAGCCGGTGATGTGACTTGTCCAACTCAACGTTGCCTCATGGAGTTTCCTTCTTCCTTTCCTTGATTCATACTGGTAGATTCAGGGTATTGCTGATCACCATTCGTGGGTAGAGCTTCCATCGCCCTTTATGCGTCTTCATTATATCTATGCAGATTGCCCGGAGTACTCACGGACAAACACCCGTAGGTTCGATAGTCCGAGGAGGCGGGACATTGCGAAGCAGTCAGGCCCTGCTCGTTTCTCCGCCTTACCGCGTTCGTGGAAGCGGCTAACATGCCTGTGTTCTAGATGGCGCATTGGTCCAAAAGATAAGACGTGAATCTAAATCTTTCTTCTATCCGTTGTGACAGAATACTCACTTCACAGAAGATGCTTATAAGCGATGCAATTCGTGGTATCGAGTTCATTGCAACCCCCGTAGCGTCATGCTCGAATCAGCGTTCAATAATTTCCGGTTCTCTGTTTCTGTTCTCCTCCTTGTACTCGGACCCATATTTGTGGCAGCGCAGGAGGTGATCGCACCTCCTGGCTTCAACATGTTGGAATCATCACTTCATCCTTCACAACGCACCTCTAATGGGCTTCCCATACATAGCACAAGCTTTGGAATTAATGGAACTGGATGCCCGCCAGGATCGGCCTACTATGTGCTCAGTTGTACGTCTTGGGCTTTTTTCTCAAATTTGTGTACCACTTAGCCTCTGAAACTACTTTTTACTATAGCGGATAGGCGCTCGGTCGATGTCAAATTTACCTCTTACTTCGCCGCTGCCGGACCAAATATTCCGATGAGCTCCAATCGAAAGGGTTGTCAGCTAGTCTTCGGCGTGTCGTAAGTGCCCTCCGCTCTAGGTATTGGCCCAGTAGTCAGAATATCTTTCCTTCCAGCATTCCACCAGGTTTCTCCTTCGGCGTCGCTTCCTTGGATTATGTAGGTCTGACTTGTCGGAAAAACGCGATTTCCATTATAAGGCCTTGCAGCTCCTGGCACCCCTGGCCCCGCTGATACGCTGGCGTGACGCTACCAATAATCAATTGTAAGGGCCTGTAAGTCGAGCGTCAGTGAGTATCAGAAATCCGTCACCTCTGGTGAGTCCTAGTCACACCCGATCACTTCACCTCCCAAAACCCGAGTTTCCGAAGAAGCCATTTGAAAGAGGTTGCACCCCACCCTCTCAGAATGTCAAATTATCTTCAGATTGCATCTGTTTCATCTACAGTGAGTGTCCGTTTATTGTCCTTGAAATTTTCCGTCTAAGTCCCAGGTCACGGGAGCTTTCCCTAAGGCTGACGGAAGTAACCTCCGCGACCATGGCTGACCATGGATGACGGACGAGGACGAGGGGAAATCCTGTCAGCCTGCTTACACACCTCGGAGTCGAATTTGGATCCAGAATTATCGCCTCGAAGCGCCCACATCCCTCCGGCAGTTGGTTAGGCTTGTGAATTCCGAGTCGGAGATTAGTCTCGGGGCGGTATCTAGGCGCCGAGGTCCAGGCATTGAAGGGTTATAAAAATGGGCTTTCGTCGTCTCATTCCAGCGCAGTTCCTTCCCGCTTACTTCGAGTTCGAGATTGGATGGACGTCGGTGCTACCCGGCTTCTGTCCCATGGTGCGTTCCCCCTCCGTTCACGTATCACCTTTTAACTTCGACTTCACTTAACAGGGCATCTTATACTCGGTGCGTGCCTCGTACGTCTCTGTAGTTTAACACTGACTCACTACAAATAGGCTTTCTTCTTTTCTACAGGTAGCAGGGGGGCCGGGCACTGACTCTGCTAACGTGTGTCTGTCTTCACATGCATTAGAAAGTTGCGACTGACTTTGACGGACAGGATGGTAGTTGGCTCACAAACGGTAAGGTTCTATTTAGTGCCACAGTGAATTTAAGCTAACCTCATTCAAGACCGCTGTACCTCGATTGGCTGTTTCCTCGAGCAGCGTGAAACGTCGGCTTCTTTGTTTGTTGACGACGACGGAAATGTAAATTCCAAGGGGGCATGTAGTTCTCCTAGAGTAGAAAATGAAAATTATTTCTTATTCCCTTCTTTTGGATAAGGACAATAATCAGTACACCCGAATATGGGTTTTTGTGGCCAGTATTCGTAGGGTTTTCTAATGACACCTATTCGCCCTCATAACCCTGGAGAAGGCCTGAACAGCTGTACAGACGAGATCAGGCCAAATACGGTGTGTTAGAGCCATAAGTTCTATAATACTTGTACACATTACAAAATTGGATGGGTGACTTTTCGCCATCGATATGAACCCCGATTTTCTGACGCCCTAAAAGGTCCTTATATGCCCATATATGGCTATATAGGCAAATTTTGATTTTTCCGACACTGTCCGCTTTCCGACGATACGCCAACGGCCCGTTTACGCAGCACGGGTATTATTCCCTGGATCCCAGAGTGCAGGCGGAACAGTTGAGCAACTACTGGTGTGAGATCTATTCATTTCACGCAAAGATTTAACTCTTACTTGGACTTAAGTCTTGTCTACCGATTCGGTTGGATCTGCAAAATCGCAATTCTCGGGACCTGTTCCTGGTGAGTATCACGTCTTCTCGACGCGTCCGTTGAATTTAATTTCACTGCGTCTGCGAACAGGGAAGGTCTATACCTATACCGATGAATTCCAGTTTGCATCGATTGTTCAGAGTTCATGCGGTACTACCGCGATTCTGAACGTTCAGACGTCTCTTCGAGTCAACAATGACGCCAGCGAGAGAGGTTTCGGCTTCATTGCTACAGATTCGGTGCGTATTCTAGCAAGCTATTATATCTTATCCCCTTGACATCATTTATCCTAGATTGACACATCGCTGGTGCAGGTAGGCATTCTCTTCTTTCCGTTGGAACATTACCTCGTTCTAATTTTGATTGCTCGCGGTACGAATCAGAAAATAAACCTCCAGTGGTCAAGGTGTTGATAAGTACCACTACTACGGCGTGTTTTTGTTCTCGTTTGTTCTCTTGTCTGTGTATTTTCAGCTGTAAAGTCGACGATTTTTCGGAGCAATTTAGCCCTACTGAGATAAGGGAAGAACGGATGCTCGGCCCGGTCGAGAGATTAACCGGTGACGTTGGTGACCATGCGTGTTTCTCCTTTCCTTTCCACAGCCTTTGCGCGGAGCGTCCTCATTGTTGAAATATCTTCTTGTAATCGCCCACGTACTGGTTCAAAATTCGACGCTGCGTATAGCCGCTGTTTGTGGCTTCGTCTCGTTCTCACCAACGCTGTGCGACCGACGCAAGGGATGACGTGTACGACTTCCCGTCGAGACAGCACGTATCTTGAAAGGTGGCGGGATATCTTTACAGGTGGTTGGACAGGAACGTCCTTCGGAGGTGCGTCTCACAACCCCTCGAAACTCTTCCAATCGACTGATCTTCGTGAAGACTCGCTTCTCCGGACACAGTTCATTGTCGTGCTAGGCTCACCTCCCTGCACCATGCATCCCGGAGAGATAAAGTTGCTCGCCCATCGCGAATCTGAGCCTTTATCGCGCTGGATTCATCCAATGGAGCCACTATCTCGGGGTCTTCAATAGCAGTTCGAAGGACTGCATATAGGACATAGCGGCTCGATTTGGTCAAGCAAGGCATCGGATGGGGATGAATAGCATCGCGCATATCGAGGTGTGTCTGTACCTCCGGACTCTGCCCTTCTCCGTGAACCTGGAGTCAGGAAGACAATGAGACGACTTATAAGTTTCGATGTCAACGCTTTAGCAACTGGGCGCTCAATGTGCCCAGTATTCAACTTTGGGTCTTTGAATAATATTGACTATTGTTCTTCAATAGACAGCTCGGAGAAGGCTTAATTCCTTGACTACATTCACGCTGGGATACAACACCCCAGTCAACGTTGACGTCGCAGAACAACACTGGGCTGACAACATCAGAATCGTGGGATTGTGGGCGAGAAGGTCGCTTGTCCTCATTATGTTTGTGGTTTTGTCTCGAGTGGTTGTCATGCTCACAGTCCTTTGCAATGAAGTGGTATAAAATCTGTGTACGATGGACATCGGTCCTCCATTGCGCTTGCGCTTTCAACTTTCTCTCAACGATTTCTCATGTCTTCATTTACTCGAATGCGGGATGCTAGGGGTCGATTCGCGAGACCAAAGCCTCCCCGAATGGAGACATCCCACTCGACTTATCTCCCGGCGGAAGTCATTCGGGTCATCCTAGAAGGGCTCATCGCGCAGAATGACCAACCGTCTGTAGAGGCGTTCTCCAGGGTCTCGTCTTTCTTCCTGGAGGACTGTCGCAAGCATCTCATGCAAGCCTTCGATCTGCGAAAGGCGCCTCGCGGCAACCCTTACACCGTCGTACCCGCAACCCAGATGATGGTCGAGTATATTACCCGATTTGCGGTTTTGCTCCAACGTCAACCCCACCTCGCCGGCTACGTGAAGAAAATACGTATCTTCTGCGACGACTCGAACCAGAACCTCTCCTGGATCAAACAGCGAACCGCCATGCCATTCATTTTGGATCGGATCCCGCAAGTCACCGACCTCGAGCTTACACTGGAGGAGCCCGTTGAATGGGCGCACTTCGATCCCGAGTTACGTCGCGCTTTTCTCGCAGTCATGTGCCGAGGCATGGGAGTCACTCAACTCAAGATAACTGGCGTCAGAAACCTGCCCATGATGCTGCTCAACCAGTCTCGCTCGCTCAAGAGCATGGAGCTGCACACGTGCACGTTCATATTCCCCGATATCTCGCTTTGCCCTCCCGAGGAACAGCAACTGATGCAGCGTATCAGCCAGGGTCTCTCACGCAAGACTTATCTCGACGAATTGACTGTCGGGAACTCTGGCGTTTACATCGGAGTGGCACTCGCAACTGATCATGGACGCTTCCTGAGGGTCGACATCTCGAGGTTGAAAAGGTTGGAAATAGACCTCGGCCGTCGACCACCGGAGAATGTGGAAGCGTGGAAGATTGTCCTGTTCGCTAGGAAGTCCATCCAAACTCTTGTCGTCAGGCAGACCGACATGGAATTTAAACCTGCTCTTTTGATACAGATGCCGAGTACGTGGCTAGCAAATCGTTCCCCATGACACTCATCACGGTCCATAGATCCTGGCCAATTCATGAATCACCCTCTCATGAAGCTATGGCATCTCGAACAACTGACCCACTTTGATCTTACCGTCGTCTTCCAGAGTCTCGAGAGGTATGAAGGGTCAAGCCACCGCCCCATCCTCGTGCGCAGGCCGCCTCAGAATTGTTACGAACAACCTCTCATCCCATGGGCAATGATCCTGTGGGCTGGAAACAAAATGCTGCGCACCATTACTCTGACCCTTGAATGCTACGCGCTCGAGGATGAAGAACTCTTCTCTACCTGCTTCGAGATTGAAACGGACCACACGACGGGCCCAGGTCCCTACCCCCCAATCCCTACTTCTTGGTCGCTTCTTGACACCGCGCTGAAGAATCCAAACGCGTTCCCCTCCTTACAACAGATCGACGTCGTCATGAAGCTTCCGGAAGCCTCGAGTAGCATGTCAGATGCGCAAGCGCCGATCAGTGCGCTGCAGAGGGAGGTCATGTCTGTGATCAAGAAGCTCTTACACGAAACGCGTCGCCGAGTCGTATTGAATATTCGGTGCGAATTGGACTAATCAGCTAGTATGTCTTCTCTTCTCTCCATTCTTGGTATTTCACGTAGGTCTTCCCTACAGGTCAGGAAATTTTATGTCGCCCGCCATCTATTTCCTCACTATATTTTCTCCTATCCATATCCCAATGCTCGATCTCACGGACAACCTTCCATAAATATCGCGCCACGCCATGCCCCATACTCATTTCTTTCTTTCTTCCTCTCAGACCATTTTGTGATCCACCCTCGTTCATATTACGGACCTAGAAATCGACGCAAGGACCGTATTCTAAGCTCATCGTCTCATTTTCAAGGACAGTAGTTAGTAGTCAAATGGATCGGAAGCTCCTCTTCAGTCTTTGTAACGCAGATGTAAATAAATTTCTGAAAATCTCAAATTTCTCAGTAGCTTGGCAGCAACGCGTATGTATCGCAGATCTTATCTTATCGCAAACTAAGGCCGCTTATGTCATTCAGATGATCGACAAGACCACCTCTTTCTGTAACCACCATGTTCGACAGCTTGCCATTCGAGATAATCCTTCAAATTCTTGCATACCTGCCTGTTTCATCTCTTTCTTCCTTATCTTCCATCTCACACTCTTGGAACGACTTCTTCGCAAAAAATGAGACCGCCATCTATCGCGAATCTGCTCTGCTCCATGGATTCGCTGATCAGCGCACCACTGAGCCTGACCATGCGAGTCTGAGCAAGAGATACTCAAATCGAGTGCTAAATCCAGGTTTCACTTGGAAAAAACTGTGTACGTGGCCTATCGACCCTCATCTGAGCTCACTGTCATCTCAACATCATCAGGCGAGACTCGTGTCAAAGTTCGCAACGCTTGGAGTGGATGCGCGGCATCTACTGTTATTTCCCTTCCTACCCAGATGCCCAATGCAGGTGCATTTCCAACCAAAGTCCATCGAATCAAAGTCGATGAGCAGAGAGGATTCCTTATGATTACGTCTCAGGAAGGTGGCCTTTTCGTGATGGATGTCGACACGGGAACATTCTTGTTCGCCTTGAGTCAGGTGCGCCCTTTCCTGTTCTACGTCGCTCCATCGCCAACGGTGATTCAAGGGCTATGTACATGAGTATGCGCACATCGAGTATTCGGAAGGCTACATGATCTTCGATCGGTTGGACAACTCTCGAGAGGTCTGGCGCCTCCAAGACATTGAAGCTACAGACGCCTTAGTGGATGAAGAGTCCCAGCCGGATCAGTTTCAGATCGAAGAATTTGAGATGGGCATGCACCTTGCCCGTTACGTGCAACTCACCCGGTCCTCCGATGTGGCACAACTTCCGCTGAGAGGATGCTTCGAACCCTACGCACTCTTAACGGCACCTGAGGTGACAAGGTGCTCGCGGTTCGTGTATCCGACGCTGTTGGCGGCTTCTCTCGATCGTGTCTACCTGTGGGATGTCCCGACAGGTCGTGTGATGGAAGTTCTAGAGGGACTCGACGTCCTTTCTACGGACACAGCTCTGCCCTTGGAGCCCGTATCGAACTCTCTTCCGACCCCAGACGCTGACGAGGCTGAAGAATACGTCTCCCCACCGACGGAAAGCCTCGAGGCAATCGTCTACGTGGATCACAGCGTTAACCACGTCTTCTTAGCTGGCCGCCATGCTGTCAGAGTTTTCGATAAGGCTAGAGTTGACAGCGAACATCCCTCTTCGAGCTCGAGCAATTCGAATGCCCACCAAGGGCGAGTGGTGCTGAATCTGTGGTCGACGCACCTACGAGCGGGGCGCTGGTCATATTCTCCACGATACGGCAGCGGAGTTCAAGAAGAAGGGTCTGCGCTCGTTCATTATGAGGTCGACTTTAGCGAGCGACAGTGGGTCCGACGATCTCGTAGACTCATCGATGAGTTCATTGCAGGTGCGATGCCCTTTAATCTGCGGCCCGTGGTTTCTCCTGATATGTAGAATAGTTCACGTATCACCCTGTGGGTTGCACTTCGCTGCTCTCCTCTCAGGCTGCCGCTTGCTCCTTGTGTCCAACTTCAAGCGAATGAACCGAAACCCGCGAACCCGAGCCCATGAAGTCGAATTGTACAATACCACTCTTGATATTCGCTTGGGGTCGCCAAGGTCAGCACGCAGTATCTACCTTGCATACGAAGCAGGAGATGCTGGGGAAGGGAGGATCGGAGTCGTCACCGTGCGTCCAAGCTCTTGCGACATCTTTCTCGTTTACAGAATTTCATGCCTTCTGACAGTCAAGCGCTGTCTTCGTCGTCATCGTACCCCCTCTGCCTGTACCAGAGGCCGCAACATTACCTGTCGCTCCTCCGAAGATTCGCATAGCTCGCGTCAAGGAGTTCATGAACCCATCAAGCCTCTCCTCCGTTTCGTGTCTGATGCTTTCCGACACCGGCCTCTTCCTGAACTGGGACGGTGGCAACAATGACTCCGAAGACGAAGATGCCTCGCGGGACTGGGAGGAAGCATTTGAAGAAAGTCTTAGGGATTCAGTCGTACCAGGCGAGGACAATCTTAACCGTACATCTTCCTGCCCTCTTTCATAATCATCCTTCGTTTTCTGACTGCATTGGGCTTTGATGGGACAGATACGGACGGGGAAGATATCGTGATTTCACCGGACATTCCTGGTATGTACATACGGGCTTCCTCTCATCGACCACATTAACGTTCCTCTCACTATGATGCAGACCAGCCTGCAGACGCCTCTATTGTGCATGCCGTCAATTTCCTGCCGCTGGAAGCACGTTGAAGATAGTCCGAAGGCGCCCACCCGCCATCTAAATACACAGTAATGCTACGGGTTTTGGAAACCAGAAATACGAAGCGTTCGGTGGGATATTGAACTTATTGGGTATTCGGGAGTGGCGATATTCTCAGGAATAATGTATATTGCTGTTCGGCACCGTTAGTCTTAGGAGCTCGTCGTGCTCAGGTTCGATCAACGACGATGTATTGCTTGCAACAAACGACGCGAGAAGTCTAGCCTCCCCAATCATGCGTAATTTGCTCTCCTCTCCCCTCGGCCTGTCGAAAGATATTTATCCCTGGCAGGCACCCTTGCTGGCGTTGTGGCAGCATGTCACGAACTTGCCCCAGCTCGGAAGATTGGTCCAATACTTGCGGCTCGAGCTCGACTGATATCCGGATGCGCCTTGGGCTTCGCCGCAGGCGTAGGTCGGGCCGACGCCAGGGAGGACGCAGTCGGCGCTGGAGCCCTTGGTAGCGTTGCACCAGAACTTTCCTGTGACGGCGTAGGCGGATGAGGCGCTCATGGCGAGGGTGGTGGCGACGAAAAGGATCTTGAATTGCATTGTTTCAAGTTTGGTTTGAATTGTGTTGGTAGAAACTATAGTAGGGTTGGATTCCCGTCAGTGATGAAGTGGATGTTCGATGAGATGGCAGACTTACCTATTGGGCGTTGGGGGAAGGTTTCTGAGGAACCCCCATCGAATTTGGCACCTTTTTATACTGGCCAGAGGTCCTTTCGGCTGGAGTTATTCCGTGCAGCCATGAGGTGGAACTTAGAATCCAGCATGGCCTCGCGATCTCTACCACCAACGCGTTGATAACAATATTGCACCCTTCATCACTTTAGCGCGTAAGTATCCATAGTTTTACCTGTATTCGTCTTGATTACCCATCGGTTCTCCGAAGTTTCCAAGGAACCGAGTCATATTGGACCAGACGTGCATCGCAAATGTCTTATGTTCCTTGGCATTACTCCACGTATCTTCACAGATGCTCTCTGTAACTCAGGGAATGATAAAGTAAACGATCCCCCCCCAAGCAATGCCTTGCTCGGAATCAGACAGGATGCCTGTCAATAGGACGGTCTTGAATCTTGATTGGGTATGTAAATACGGCAATTTCTGCCGAAAACACTGTAGCGTGGAGTATGGCATCGCACTTCACTGTAGCATTGGAGCGTCCTTATCACCTAATTATGTTTCACTTGAACAATATTGGATGCTAAGAACCCTGTGAGGTGCTTAGCGACGTCCTCGTTCGAGTTCCAGGACGGTATATGTTCTGGTAGAAGAGCCGCATGCACTTCGTTTGAGGTTGTACTGGTAATAATGTAGTCATCAAATTTGACTTCATGTCCAGAACTTCCTCAGCAGGGTGTACTCAGTGACTTGCATCCGAATATCAATTTCGCCGCGAATGTGGCGAGGCGGTGACAGATACTAAAATTGGAGCGTGGGAAGTACTACTTTGGATCATCTCGTTCTTGGCTGACCTATTTTTAGCTCCTCTCCGGGTTTTCAAAGGTGAGTAGGACCCAAATGAGTCACGCCAGTGAATATGAAACAGGTACATTGTGTAACATAGTACGTTCCAGAGACTGAGCAACGAACGTTGCGAAGCGCAACGATTCGCGATCTCCACAAACGAGCACAGCCAAGCCAACTACACCCATACACGGATCGTCATACTGGTCCGCTCGCCACAGTTAGCTACCCGGTTCCAGATTATATGTAAGCGCTCACAATATGACCAAATCTAAAAGCATTGAACTCTCAACCTGGAAAATGAGTGCTTTTGTGCCTGCCTCTCCAGTTATTGATTGCTAGGTTTCGATGTCAGGAGGAAGACGCTTCCGAGGTACCGTGCGGACTTGTTGGAACAAATATTTTTATCAGCTTTTTGTTTATGTTGATCTCTATCGCTGAGAAATCATGGGTGGCCACACATGGAGCGAGAGGAGATCATGAGATTGGCAGTGCACCATCGGCCGGTCGATGTAGTATAAAATGTCTAGGAAGAAAGTGTATTGTCCTCAGAAATCACTCTCTACCTTCAAGTGAGCCCTCGTCATAGCAGAAGCTCCATTTATTACTCACGCTGTTCTTCTTGTAGTCTCTACTGCTCGAACTCACCGTCAAACAGAGGTTCGTTCGCCGTCGATCTTCACCCCGCACACAAAAAACGTTACCTAACTTGCATTCCCTCAGCTTATACCAAATATGCACTTCAAAACCCTCGTTATTGCCACCACCCTGGCCATGAGCGCATCTTCCGCCTACGCCGTCGCCGGAAAGTTCTGGTGCAACGCTACCAAGGGCTCCAGCGCCGACTGCGTCCTCCCTGGCGTCGGCCCGACCTACGCCTGCGGCGAAGCCCAAGGCGCATCCGGATATCAGTCGAGCTCGAGCCGCAAGTATTGGACCAATCTTCCGAGCTGGGGCAAGTTCGTGACATGCTGCCACAACGCCGGAAAGGGCGTCTGCCAGGGGTGAAGACGGCTCACCGGTGCTCAGAATTACGACTGGATTTTTACGTTGAGTCGGAATTGAGGGCGTTTACGAAGTTATTTATCGCTTGGTTCCGCAATAAATCTCGCCTTTAATTCCTCGTTTACTGTACCCCTCCATACATTTAAATTTGGTACATCCCGCGGGATGCTGTGAGAATAGCCAAACTGGAATTCCCCGAAGTTCGAGATGAATGCGAATACAAGACACGTCAAATAGGTCCGAACGTCTTCATTCAACACCTCTGCCATTGGAGATTGAAGGTCTATAGAAGCGAAGGCATCAACGCTAAGAAAGACTCGAAGCAAGAAATTTGCTTACCTGCTCGAAGAAAGTGTCAATCTTGAGCTATAAACGGGGTCTTTGTCAGCGAGGTAACTAGTACTTCGCTAATTCGAATGGACATACGGGGTCTGTGCCAACGTATCCACTTCCTTCAGTGTTAGCGGTGTTATTGACACGTATGTCGCTCATGACATAGAGAGTACTTGGTACACCGCAGAAACTGTAAACAGAGGAGCCGAAATCGAAGGCGTCGCGACGACTGTAGTCCTTCTCTGTTCTTGGCTGAGCCACTCCGGTCCACATATATGAAGCTAAGAGCCTACCTGCCATAGGTCCTGTGATATTGTATCGAGCGGTAGCTGGTACAAATGAACCGGGGACTGTTTACTAGTCAGATAAAAATCCTCATAACGACATCGAGGGACGTACAATAATAAATAGATATCTGAGCAGCGGTTACTCCGGAGTCGAGGAAGTAGTAGCTGCGCTAAAGATAGAAGCCTTTGTCAGAAGTAGATGGCTCGCGTGTCGAACACGGACGTGCATTATCGACCGTTGAAATGCCAAAAGTGAATCCGCTGGGCACGCTGCAGAGGAGATCAATGGTGCGTCAGTGAAGGAAGAGGATTTAAATCTCACGCAATGCCAAAGGCCAATTGACAATTCTTGCGATTGACACTGATGGGAATGCCTGACCCACTCTCTACCCAATATTGGCTGTAGGCGACCGTAAGAGCGCTCTTGTCGGCTGGGGATATGAACGGAGTTAATGATCCATGAAAAATGAGATCAAAAACGGGAAAGCCAGTTGGGCAGAGGAGGGTTGAAGCGAAGGGTGAGGGTACATACCACTAAGGAGATAATATGCCGAGCCAAGTGGACAGCCCGCTCCTGGGAACTCGAGGCTCGTGCTACGTGTTCGAAAGGATCAGCAGAGTTCCATGGCGCTAGAGTAGGGAGAAGAAGAGGAGACGTGCATATTGAACCCCGGTGGTGGAGCGACGATTTGGGCGGTGAGTAGGACAGGTGCCACAATAAGTGAGGCAACGAGGAGGACGGTTAATTTCGTGAGTTTAAACATCGGACTGCAGGGCGGGAAAAGGTTATGAGGGCTCCTTCGCGAGCAAGAGATATCCTCAACTTTGACCACACCCAGAGGCATAAATACGACCTGTTGAGGAAGCGCACACGGACTTGTTAGCGTTCAGCACGGTGCTTCCTCCTTGACATATCAGAATGTATAGGTATATCGGAATATCACTGCCAGATGAGAGGAATCTATGAGCACTCGAGGTCCGTTATTTGTCGAAGGAAGATTGATCGAACTGTGAGGGATTCCCTTCACGGTCGGTTTTCTGACAGCCCGTCTGCACGAAGCGGAGTTGAGACATCAGCCCGGAGTACGCGGGTCCTCGAAGCCTTTGAGGCAAGAATAATACGCCCGAACAGCAGGGCAAAGGTTCTAATTCAAGTCATCTGCAATATCGCCGTTAGAGTGTACCTCGTGAGAGGAGTTTCTCCGTAGCAGTACGAAGGTATCATACGAGATATTCTTGCGGGACAACCGTGGAAGGAGAACGACAACAGTAAGGCTGTCAATAAGGATGGTGGATGGAACATCGACGCGTTTAAGGCGGTTAAGGAGATAAGATAAGATTTCCGTTCGGGTGTGACTCAGTCACGACTATACAGTACCTCGAAGCCACCATGTCACAGTTGCATCCATCACGGAAAGCGGAAACGAATCTTTGAAGCCGTCCGTCAACCTCCTCCTCAAGCATGAGGTATGTGTCACCAGACAGTATGAATGTAGTACATCTCATTGACGTCGGTATTGCAGTTCCAGTAAACTCTCAGTGTCAAGCGTGCGGGGCTCCATCGCCGAGCTCCTCGCGGAGGCTAATGGCGAGAAAAAACGCAACTTTGTGGAGACCATAGAGCTGCAAATCGGTCTTAAGAACTACGACCCCCAGCGCGACAAGCGTTTCTCTGGGACTGTCAAGTGTGTAGCCATCGTTCTCGTCTACTGTTCATGACTCATTCCTCGTGTGCAGGCTTCCCAACATCCCCCGCCCTCGCATGTCCATCTGTATCCTCGCAGATGCCGCCGATATCGATCGTGCAAAGCAAATTGAGCTGGAGTACATGTCCGTTGATGATCTGAAGAAGTGCGTCGGACGGCATCTCCTTTGTCGAAGAGTTAACTGACTATGTTCGAAAAGGCTCAACAAAAACAAGAAGCTTGTGAAGAAGCTCGCGAAGAAATACGACGCTTTCCTTTCCTCCGAGGCACTCATCAGGCAAATCCCTCGTCTCCTCGGCCCCGGTCTCTCTAAAGGTGCGTAGCCCACCTCGTCGCTTCCAACCTTCGCCTGACGCTCTTGCAGCTGGAAAGTTCCCCACCCCCATCTCGCACGCTGAGGACCTCTCCAGCAAGCTCGTTGAGGTCCGCTCGACCATCAAGTTCCAACTCAAGAAGGTTCTTTGCTTGGGCGTCGCCGTCGGCCACGTCCAGATGACCGACGACCAGGTCCTCTCTAACGTCATGATGAGTACGCCTACCTTTTTCCTGTCTAACTTACTATGATGCTAATCTGGTTTTTTCTTTGTCTAGGCATCAACTTTTTGGTCTCTTTGCTGAAGAAGAACTGGCAGAATGTCAAGTCGCTGCACATCAAGACGACGATGGGCAAGCCTATCCGCCTCTACTAGACGCGTCCTACCGCATCTCTACCGTCGCCCACACCTACCTTCGCCTCGTTGATAGCGTGTCACTGTTCACTCTTTGGGTCCGGGGGCGGAGAATCAGGACAGAGGCATAGTCGTAGTCGAAGTCATCGAGGCGGGGTTGGAAGCACGGAGAACACACCTGGCGGGCAGGCTGCAATGCACAACATGAAGCCCCGCACGCTTGGACCAACAGTTTCATGAGGAGGGAACTGATTGGGAGCTGATGTCGCCTGTCCCTTCATTCGGTCGTTTTCCGTGTTTTTGCTCTTTCTCGATTGCTTTGGGTTGCTCACCTTCTTCCATTCACATGTACATATGGGTATGCCGCCAAAACGTTCTTTATGCTTGTCGAAGTAGGCGTCCTCGAGGGTGCTGATAACAGCAACACCGCCAAATAAAGCCACGGTACTCAACATCCGACGTTCGACATCCAACTTCCAGCCGTGGGCATTTCTTTCATGCTGCAACCGCCTCTGGTTAGGACTGACGATGCTACCACTCGCCGTTCCGTGGAATATCCGTTTCGTCAACACGGACAAAGTCTTGGATGAACGTAGATTCGCCTCTCTGCTACATAACCCTTAGGTATTCCTCGCAGGCCTACCGACGACATGACTTGATTGGTGAATCTCCGAGGTTATGTGACCCTGCTCGACCTTGGTGGACGAATAGGAAAACGAGAGGCGGATGTTTTTCGTTGTACTCGGCTTACAAACCCATTGCGGAAAACTGAAGACCTTCGAACCTAGCTTTCCTTCCAACACGCTGGGGCAGCCACCCGGATCCCACAGCACGTCCAGTTTACCCTTGACGAACCCGCTCAGCCCTCAGAAATTCTCCGTAAAGCGGCGTCCCTTCATCAACACCGTCTTTCCTCTGCTAGGCAACCGACGGCTCTGTCCATCGACCTATGCCTTCGACTCCGATTGGCGTCCGTATGCAGATGAGGTCATCTAAATGCTACAGGGAAGAGCGCTTGCGCCGCTATATATATGCCTCCCATTAAAGAAAACATCCCGATTTCTAACTCGAATTAGGAACTCAAACTCTCCGAGGGAACGCTGTTGATATCTAAAGATGCTGTCGACCCTACTGTTACCTCGCAGGCCCCTATCTGCGTTCTTGCGGTGCACCTGCCTCGGCGCCGTCAGGTCGAAATCTCGTCATCTTTTTATCTAAACAAGCCCCTCGACCTCGCCGATTCCCGAATGCTCTGAAGCTTCAGGAGTAAAGCTCGCACCCGCTGAATGGGAATCTCATTCACTTTTCGAACACGACGTTGCTCTTGCCCCCTTTCACCATTTTGGTTCCATTCCCTTGACACGCAGCTAAGGCTGTTGGTCTTGGCGTCCTCGAGGGCTTCGGTACCGAGAGCGGATAGTATTTTTTCGGTTGTCCGCATTTCTTCAACGTTTTATCCGCTCGTTCGAAGGGCACATTCTGGGTTCTCGGTACCGAACGGCCTCCCGCTTACAGTGGTCCATCTCTAGTAGCGCTCAATGATAAAAGGATCCCGTCTCTTGGCCATTTTTTATGGTCCCTGGTCTCACTTCCTGACGACGTATGGAATTATTGTGAACTGCTTGATGGTCGTGGTCTATCGGTGTCAGCGGATTTTTGCATGGAATCCCAAGGACCACTTCTGTACTGACGTTTAGTCGGCCAACGAGGGGAATTCTCACATTGGTTTGGCGCTTAACTTATTGCCTTCGGCAGCTCACTCAGGACAAACTATACTTCCGACAGTCGCACTTTCAAGTGCTGCAGGTTTCTTGATCGAAATTCACCACGCGAAGAAACCGAGACACAGTAGTCGATCACCGCCGAAAGGAGGAATCGACTACCCCACAAACTAATAAATATAGCACGAGCAACGCAGCTCCCTTGAGCCGAATTCCACCAAAGAAAGGCCAGATATCTTGGGGGTTGTTGCCTTGAAATAGAGAATCAATGTATCGACCAGCAGGCTGAATAACAAGACTGCACCTAGCCTGTTTGTGAAGGAGACTCAATCCTGGGGTACGTTGGTGTCAGGTACCCCGACGATCTAGTCGATGACGAAAACCCCTAAAACCCGCGGATCTGGCAAGACCCGCATCCGTCATAAGGTCTAGAGGATTCTTTTTTTGCTCGATGACTGAACCCTAGCAGGACCAACCCTCCGTGTCATCGGCGAATGGTTGAACCTTGACCTTCAACATTAAATTCTCTGCAACTATATATTTCTCGACAGTTTTTCGAACGTCGATCCAAGGACACCCCCCTCCTCTCTCCTCGTTTCCTGAGACCGCCTTTCCTCCAAGATGATACCAACCACTGTCGCTAATACCTTCGGAGCGATTGAGATCGGGTCGTTCGGGGCTGCTTTTCTCTTCGGCATCGTCACTCTGCAGTGCTACATCTACTTCTCCCAGAATCCAAATGATTCGCGGAAGCTCAAGGCCATGGTGCGCTATCTTCGTCCTTTTGTGAGGTTGGATCTACTCACCTTATATGACATCGTCGCAGGTTGCCATAATTTGGTATGTCTCCCCGTAGACTGGATTCAAAGCTTGCTAAAGGCATGCTTTCTTCGATAGGGTCCTCGAATGCGTTCACTCTGTTCTCATTTTCTGGGAGGTATATCGGTTAACAATCACCTATTATGGGCGCGCGAAGGAGGTTCGCCAGTATCCCGGCTTCTCCTCCGTCCTGATGTTGGGAGGCTTCATAACAATGATCGTCCAGGTGAGCAGACATCGTCTCACTTACCGTAATATCCTCGCTCATCCGAACTGGAATAGTGCTTCTTCGCCTATCGCGTCTGGAAGTTCTTGCCAAGACCCTACCGTTTCATCGGTCTGGCGTGTGGCGTCATAGCCATCACACGCGGGATAATGAGCTTATACGGGAGTGTCGAAGCGATTTTGATGACCTCCTATCCCGCCTACCTGGCAGATTATCAACACTACCTGACTGCACTTCTGGCCTTGGGAGCATTCATCGACGTGGTTAACGCGGCATCCATGTCTTACTTTCTCGTCATGCAGCGCGAGAAGGCTTTCTCGAAGTGAGTACACCATTTACACCACCTCACGAAGGTTTCATAGAACTTAAATAGGACGACAACGCTCATAGACCGCCTGGTGGCGTACACAATCGGTATGTCTTGTACCCCTCTGGCACGGTGCCACTATCTCATCGATATTTCTAGGGACTGGTGTCATTACTTCGTACGCTCGCCTTCAGAGGTACTTTTGTCTGATAAAGTGGCGATACTAATCTCCCGTCTCAGCGTCGCCGCTATTGCCGTTCTGATCCTTTTTCAAACGCTTTCCCAGCGCGTAAGTGCCGGAATCTGTCCTCCCTTCCGGGGCTAGGCTGAGGAATTCAATTTTGTTAGTCATTTCTCTCGCACTTTACGTTGCTCTCGCGAAGCGTACGTGTCTTCTATCGTTGATAAACCTCTTGCTAACCTTGAAATCAATTTCTTAGTCTATTCCAACTCACTCCTTTCTGCGTACGTGACCTCCTCGTCACCTACGAGCAGACCGCTGACTTCAAAGACAATTTCAATCAGACTGAATGCTCGAAGAAGTCTCCGGGAAGGCTCTTCGAAATCGGTCTCTATCACCCATCCACGACTGGCAGGCACGGACTCTTCGGGGTCAAGTGGTACTCATCCGGAGATGGTGAAATCCACGGAGTTCTATCTCCTTACACAGGCTAACGTCTACTTCAGTCTAACGCAATCTCAATCGAGATGAAGACGACGAAGCTTGTATCCGAAGACCAAACTGAAGATTCGTTTGGGAGTTTCGAGACGAAGACCCACCTCAGCCCGATTTCTGAGACCTCGCCTCGAAGGCGACCTGATGATATGGTTTAAATCTGAGATATTACATGTACCTTTCTTTTCGCTTTCGCTTTCATTTTGTTTCCCCTTGGGCTCGTTGATTTGGGATGTATATCAGTGTACTATACAATGTAAAATTAGTTCCATCCACATATTGACTGCGTAACAAAAGATTGAATTATATTGAAAGATAGAAGCGGCCGACATAGGCCCTTTAGATGTTTGGCCTAATATATTCGACGTAAGACGAACTTGTCTTGGTTTCTAAGGGGGTTAAAGCCAGATTCTACGAGGCTCCTTTCATTCAATCCAGTTCGCCGCCTCTGCTTTTGGTGTGGACGAACCCGAAAATGCACAACGCGTGGGTAATCGCAACGAGCGTCCATTTCAAGCGCCGATAGGCAGCTTCTCTCCAATTCCTCCGCTTTCAGAATACGGTGCTCCCACCCTTAGCCGTAACATTCGGCCTATGTTCCTTCTTCCGAATCACTGCAAGACAGGTACTCAGTTTCCTTAGATGAACCTTCGGACGACGTCTCCCACGTCGAAATGCGGGCCTGGCATGAGTTACATCAGTAATATTTTCTGCGTAATCCCATCAAATTTTACCTTCTCTCGATATTTTCGAATAGCACGCTTGGCTTGCCTAGTCCGCCGGGGAAGGGCAATAGTTGCAGGATGGAAGATGAACGGCTTCGAGAGCGCCTGCGTGAGTTCTGGCGACTCGTTTGTCAAACGAAGGACGATGTTGAAGAGGTCGAGCGCTAGCATGTACATCGCATACCGTGTGATGAACGAAGTGATTTTCGGGAAGTAGTCGGAATCTAGGATCTGCGGCAGCTTTCGGAGGCTCGGAGACGTACGTTCTGGTCGCCAACGAGGGAACTGGATACGGGAAAGGAGGTTGGGAAGAGTCGATTTACGGGACGTGAGGCGCATCCGCAGCCTCCAGAGCCACGGCGTCCGTGCGGATCGTCGTGCCCAGGTGCAGACAAATCGTCGCGAAGGGTGTGTTTCCCGACTTCCTCGGCACCGCAGATAATGGAGACATGCCAGAGCCACCCGAACCAGTCTGTTGGACGAAAAATGCTCTTGATACGCTGCCTCGTTGTTCCCACCAAATAAAGCTATGACTGGGTCGAGGTCGCGGAACGACTGCCACACCCTAGGCATAAAACGCATTGGGTGTTGCAGTGTTTCGAAGTTTTTCTGATCCCATTTGACGTCCGCGGAGTCGAAACTGAAGAGTGTGGCGCGTAGCTTTTTCCATACACCGGACAGTCCCAGATTGCCTGGAATTCGCCTGAGCCAGTAGTCTTGAGGTTGGCGCCAATATGCGAACCAGATGGTACTAATGAGGGCAAATCGTTGTGGAGATGGGCAGGAATCGATTCGGCGAACCATGTGTTGATTTAGTAGCAGGGATAAACGGTCAAGGATTTTGTCCTGCTTCTACTGGACCGATGAAATCCTGAGCATGGTACTAGAACTTAGATTTGACACTCACCAGCATCTCTAGGGCGTCAAATATTTGCCACCGGACCGCTAGAGCGGCCTCGATAAAAGGGAACGGATGATTATCTACATATAACACTAGGGGAAAATTCCATAAAGCACGTTCAAGTTCGGGGGTAAAACGGGTCGCCTTCAGGTGCAAGTCAAGCTCTATCGTATACCACAAGGAAGGGTTAATCTGGAAGTCTAAGGATAGAACCCAGAACCCATGGTTTATCAGCATACGAGTCCATTAAGAGCACAAAAGCGAAGGTCATACCCGGTTGAAGTACAAGGGTCCACAGCAGAATTTTTTCATGCATGGCGGGAATGTCAATGTGATAGCTGCCAGACCGATGTGGGGCGAGAAAGAAATCGGGAAGGGAGGAATGGTGAATCTTTATCTGACCATTATCGTCACACTCCACCAAAGAGTGCAAGTCGCTCAATGCGACTAGCACAGACCCTTCCTTTAAGGCGACAATGCGCTCGATGACGTGAATGTGAGGCGCAAACGAATCACGTTGCATGGCGATCCTAATACCCAATATCTTCAGGACCAAGTCGATATCCTCGGCGCGCGAGAGGATGTGCTTGTAAAGGCTGTCCAGTTCCGCAAACGGCAGGTCCCGATCAGGTGGTCGAAGATCCAAAACAATGTCCAGGCGCTCAGGTGGCAGATGCCGGACCGACTTTACATATCTTGCGACGACAGCGGCGTAGACGAACTGACCTGATGCCTTCTGAACGAGCGTGTTTACCTGAGCTACTGTGGGCCAGCAAGGGGGTATCAGTGTTCGCAATGGATGAGACGCCTTTAGTCGTCCGAAGTTGCTGATGAGAAAGAGGCGAATGTCATCGCTGGGGTGGAAACTGTCGTTGAGTTCCAGATAGGAAACCATCGATGGGGGACTGATTGAGTTGATTGCAAACTTCAGCTGCTGCTCTGGCCGACTGGAGAGCAGAACCTTGAGCGGGAATCCACAATGTCGGGGGACACTGGATAGTAGTTCGATGAGACTAGCTTGCGCAGCTTCATCTAGGCATTCATCTAGACCGTCAATGACGAGCAAAGTCGGAAGGTGATATTGAGAGGAAATTCCGGTATCTAACAGAGATTGAAGTGGCTCGATAAACAGCTTGGTGAGTTGAACCTCGAGGGAATATTCGAAGATGAGGGGGTCGGTCTCGATAGCATCCTCGATGAAGGCTCGTAGCTGTGGAATGCGAAGGGCTGCACGATAAGAAATGTTGGCAACAATCGACTTCATCGTGTTTCGTCTGGAATCTGTCCGAAAGAAAAGAAAGCTTGCGAGGAGGAGATGCTGGGTGTCGCAGAGACCGGCGATCGTTCGTGCTATGGCCGTCTTTCCAGAGCCAGCGGGCCCATAGAGCCATAATACGAGGGCACCCTCGTCGAATTCGCCTAAGACCCAGTCCATGATCTTCTTAATTACAGCCAGGCGAGTATTCTCGTGACACTTTGGTGGATCGGGGCGATCGTCGGAGTCGTAGAACGCGTTCGGGGAGACATATTGTTTAAGGGTGTCGAAACCTGAAAATTTACATATTTACTATCAGAGGGGAAGAACTTCGATAAAAAACGTACCTCTGGTTCCATTTGTCGGCACCTGGTACGTGTTCACCTGGAAATTAGAGTGCTGGACGACGGTGCCGCGACTCCCGCCGAAGATACTGGTCATCCCCGAGTCTCTTGCAAGATACAATGGATGAACACGGACCGCGACAGAACCTTGAAGTCTCTGGCGAGACAGGCGTTGTGAATTTGATGGTGATAAGAGGGAGCGAAAGAGCTAGCCTGGTCCATCTGACTCGATTATGTAACCTGCTTGGGCTCCTAAACGAAAGGATACCGAATATTGAATACTGATTAAATTTTTTCCAAGCGTGAAGGAGAGTGGGATACATAGAATTCGAATGTACACAAGCAAGGAGGTCACTAATATGTGGGTATTCGCCTCCGATATGCCTTACTCTCCGAACCTGATTTTCTCGTGATACTCTCTGGAGTACTGGAGCATATCGCTTGCACCGTTGGAAACCTCGATGTTTGCGCCACGTTCTACCAAACGGCAAATATGGGCAGTGGCGAGCTCGTTAATATAGTACGGTGGAGATTTCGAGTCCTTCGCGATGGCCGTAAACCTCAAGTCAATCGAGGAAAGTAAAGGCCGTCCGTCGTTTCCTCTGATGGATCGCCTCGACTCGACACATTTGATGAACGAGAACCAGTTGAACGATAGCTTGCCGTCGTATGATAAACGCGTGAGCTTAGGGAGCAAGATAGGCCGGTCGGAGATTTCGCCGCTAGGAGGCGCAGAAAGGGAGTGGAAGAAGTCGCTCGGAAGAGACGTAATGTCGAGATGGAGGTCTTCGAGAGTTGGAATCGCCCGTAGAATTCGAACAAAGCCTTGATCCCTTTCAGTGCCTTCGATCGGACAATTGATAGAGAGATAGGTGAGAGGACAAGATGAGCGAGTCAGGAGGTCCGCCAAAGCGAAACATTCCCGCAAGTCGGAGGCGTAATACTCAAGGCTCTTCAATACGGGAAGCGTGATACTGTCGAAGAAATCGTTCGCTGCGTCCAGATCGTCAGGACGGATCTTCAATTTCGTCAAACAGGGAAGGATGATTTGGTCATCGAGTTCGAGGATGCCGTCATCGTTGATAACATAGAGAGAGCTTTCAGATAACGAAGGAGCCTGCTGGAACAGACAGAGGCAATCGACGACGGAGATGCCTTCAAATCTTAACGTTGTGACATTAGACCAATCGATTCGGATTGAAGTGAACGGGAAGTCTTCAACTGTCACGTCTTGCGGAAGCGGCGGTACGGTACAGATGTCAAACACTTCTCCTTTGTGTCCAGTTGCACCACCTTCGCTATTACTGAGGGGAGGTTCTATAGTCAGAAACTTCAACATTGGGGCTTCGTCGCACGCTGAACGGAGCCGGGGGAATAGCGAGAATGGCATGCCGACGTTCAAGTACTCCCAGCGCGAGGAGTACTCGTTGATGATCTCGACGACATTGGTGAAGTTCGTGACGTGGCGCGAAATATCCGACTCCCACTCGTCATAGCAGATGCGGATAAAAAGAGGAAGCTGCCCCGTCCGTCCGAGCCACTGCAGGAGAAATTCTTTCGCTGGCTGAAACGACTCCTCGAACTTGTTGAGGTCTACCGGGACATACGTCCACAAACTCGGCGTGGACCACGCGATCTGGCGCCACCTCCTGGACACAGCACCGAGAGTTAGGGGTCTTATATAACGGTCGCGGAGAGACGATTCGCCTGAGATGGCGAACGTGAAGATGTGCGAGGTAATTTCGGGAGGGAATCGGCGGCTGAAATAATCGTGTGTGTGGTTGGACTTGAGGAGTTCAAGATGGGTCTCTAGATGGTCAAGGAAGGCTTTGGTGTCGGCGATTTGAGCTTCGAGGTGGTTCACTTTCAGGCAGGAATAGCACATGAGACTGCCTCTTGGAGGAATGGGAGGATGACGGACGCCCTGGCCACTGGTACCATCTGCGCCGCATACAGTGCACCGACACATCGTTGTAGTTCAAACTTTCAATTCTTGTTCAAAATATGCTTCTCTTCGGTTGGGATTGTTGAAGAAACGAGGCGCAGGCAGTTAGAAGATGGAAGAAAGGTAACGAGCTGGAAAGAACCAATACTTGAGGTGAGATCAGATCAGACACATTTGAGCAGAAATACACACTTTGCAAGAGTTATTTGCTGATAATTGACAGCTTTTCACTGTCAGGAAGTGGGAACACTAAATCAAGGAGGGCGGGCGGCGAACATAAGAGTGACACAATGGTTTGCGTGACGGCTGATCACGGTGTGTGTGACACAAGTCACACACCCGCGATTAGCGCGGTTGAGTCTTTCGAATGACTTCCTATCATGAAAAATTCCCTATGGACCAGAAAGAAATCATTTGAGATTTCGTTCAGATAAGTAGTAAATGATATTTTTCATATATGAACAGCGAAGTACTATTTCTTGCTATCTTCTAGTGTCATGGAATAACACATTGGATGACTTTCCTTAACGAATTTGAGGCTCTAAAGTAAACGACGGGGTGCCAGCGTCGGGGATTGAAAGAAAGAAGGGGAGTTTCCAGACGTTGTGGCCTGGAATTTCGGGCCTGGCAAAAAGGGCAATGAGGCATGAATAAAGCATGCCGAAGGCTGCCGTTGTCAGGAACATTCATAAAAGGGAGGGTTGAAGCCTGGAATGAGACTTTAGAGCTAGGAAGGGGGTGCTTACCCTCCACCTAGATTTTTCGTTTGAAACGAACATTGAAGAGAACGGAGAACGAAATATTTTCCGGGGTCCTGACAGGCGACAGCGGCATCCATCGGCCTCACCCTTTGAAACGAGAATTTGCATTTAGAACGGTCTCCAAACGTTAAGGAAAGTCATCCATTATACAATCAACAACCTCGACAACGCGCTTGCGAGGAAAATTGAGTTCTCGTTATGTACCTCGAATAACTTCCAAACTGGTCAGAGCACCCTAACCCGCGGTGTTGCGGGATGTTGCGGAGGCCTTTGTGTCCGGGTTTACGACAAGGCCCAATCTAGAAGAGATGGTGCCGAAGTGTGTGGATTCAAGCCAAACGGCCAAACTATTCCGTATGCGTTTAGAACGTATATCAAGAGACCTGTCAAATAGTCATCCACTTTCACGCCACCAGGCAATGCAGAACCAGATAAAGCAGGATGAAGCCCACCTGTCGGACGTCGAGAATATAATCCCTTCCCGGGATAAAACTATTTGGAAACCCCCCTTTCCAGCAGTAACCCTGGATTTCCAAATAACTTGTTCGGAAACCCGGTTCCTCGAGTGCATTCGTGAATTGGAAACTACGGCGATCAACTACGGCGATCACTACGGCGGCATCTTCCGGCAGTGACAGGCAAGTTCGTCCCACCTCTGTATTCTACGCCTTCCTCCATTGTATATACCCTATTCAACACGGAAACATACAAAGCAGACATCAAGATTCTCGCCTGATAAAAGTGCCATCGCGCGTTGCCGCTCAAGCCGCTCGCAAAGGCAGGCACTTGGCCCCCTATTGGATTCGCGTAGGTGTCCTGCTCGAATACACGGGGCCTTACTCGACCTACAAAATATAAACGAATGCGAAGAACTGAAAAAATAGCGCAGGATCAACAGAAAAACTCGTATAATCAAGATCAAGATCGAACACATCGACAGCGGAGGTGGGCAATGACACGCACTTTCACCGCGCCTCCTCAGTGCCCTCGACCACCAAGAAACCCCTACCACACCCAGCGGCGGCGATGATGGACAAGAAGCTCACGACGAGGGCCAACACACGTTCTATTCCCGAGACGCCGGACCTAATCACACCCAACACATCGTGAGTGCCTCACCTCATCACCGACGATTAACACGAACTTACTGTGTTCTTAGGTGCTCGATAGGGCATTTCGACGACAGCGAGGCTAGCTAGAGCATCGATGGTACTGGAGGACGTTGGCCCGAGATCGCTGTGGAAGATGATGGGCCAACACGAAGATGGGCGGAGAACGTCCGTATAAAGGTGAGTTTCTCGTTGTTATGCACATTCGGGATGGTCTTACCTTGTTTCTAGGACGCGTACAATGTGTTGGACCATGAGAGCGGTGGTGTAGAGTGCATAGACGTCTGAGAGAGAAGGGAATGGCTGGGATGAGGTGAGTACATGGTCACCGAAGGCATAAACGAAGATTTACCTTCTAGTCCCTCCCACCCACCCCAAACGCCTAATATTGAGTCTCCACGTACCAGGACTCGTACAATACAGCCCCGGCATGCACAGCGCGACCAGAATAGGGTCTGTCAGCGGCGTTCTCGTGTATAGGTGGAAGACTCACCTTCGGCATTAGACCTCGCCTCAGGGGTCTCCTTTCTATCTCCGCAGACAACGACGTTGTGGGCGTATGAGTAGCACAACTATATGGTCAGTTTACCTAGTGTTTCACTCAGAGGAGGGAGAAAAGATATTGCGCTGGTTCAATCGAAGGGAATCATGCTGCCAAGCTGAGACAAACGGCGATGAGACGAGTGGATTTTCCGGTGCTTTGTCGGAACTATACTCTCCTCGATTGGTTGTAGCTGCAAGATGTCCTTATTATTTCTGGGGTGGTATGGGCGTCTTAGGACTGCGCTACGGGAGTCTGGCTCATCGACGTGAGCCTCCAACGGGTCACGTTACCGTTCGCCGGGAGTTGCCGCCGTAGTGATCGCCGTAGTCCGGCGCCGTAGTTTCCAATTCAGAGATTTTCTGGGTTCCTCGAGCATGAATGATCGTGCCTGTCCGGTGATGTCGACCAAATATGGCACCGTGCACCGTCCATGGCGTCGTCAGCTTTTCCCAAGTCGATGTTGTTTGAGCTGTTACTCCCCTTCCCTCCAGCTTTTACGCCCTGTAGTAAATCCATACCAGAATTAGCTGTATGAAAGAAGGTTGGTAGATATTTTGAACTTAAAGTGTGAGACGCACGGGGCGCGATTGGTTTGGGAAGCACTCGTGAGGCGAGGCGGGCATCATTTGCAACGTCGGCACAGGAGGGCTTGATAGACAATAAAGGGACAATGAGTGACACCATCATACATTGCTTGCTCTAATGCTTGATTAATCTGTATAAAGAGTCTGTATCTCAAGTGCCTAACCGGCGCTGGACTCAGACACTAGTAAGACATAGCTCTTGCCTCGGCGCCTCCTGCCAGTTCAGTCAGCCTGCAGTGTTCAGGGATTGTGAGGACCCATTCCGCGTGAACTGCTTTGATTGACATACCTGAGCTGAAGGTTCTCGCCTTCCGTAGGCTCAATGCCTTTGCATAAGTAATGGACGCCAGCGTCAAAAGGCGCTTGAGGCGCTTCTCAGGCGCTTCTGAGCGCCTCCCACATCGCCGGCCGCGCCTCCGGAAAGCCAAACATGCGCAAGCTTTTGATGGAGGATAAAACTATTTGGAAACCCCCCTTTCCACGGAAACCCTGGGTTTCTCGTCATTGATGTAGAAACCCCCCACATTTGTCCTTTCATCAAAAGCTTGTGCATATTTGCCTTTCCGGAGGCGACGCCGGCGATCTGGGAGGCGCTTCTTAGCGCCCCAAGCGCCTTTTGACGCCGGCGTCCATTACTTATGCAAATGCATTGAGCCTACGGAAGGCGAGAACCCTCAGCTCAGCTCAATAAAAGCAGTTAAAACAGAACAGGTTCTCGGAATCCCTGAATGTTGCAGGCAGACTTCACTGGGAGGATGCGCTGAGGTGAGAGCGAATCTGAGCGATGTCTTGATATTAGTGTCCGCTGCCCGCTTTGCGCTCGCAAGACAGCAGGATGAGTGCACTTTTCTGAGCGCTCTACATGATAAATTCTTAAATAGTCCTCTGTTATGTTCGTCCGAACGTTGCAATATATATCCTGCCTGATCGATTGATCTTTCATCGTGGTGGACTTAGATAATTTCTTCGCGGCTTGGGAGACGACTTGTCTTCACTCTCTGAGCGTTCAGAGATCTACGGAGATACAGACTCTTTGTACAGATTAATGAAGCATCAGCGCAAGCATTGTGTGATGGTGTTGCTCGTCATCCCTTTATCATCTATCAAGTCCTCCTGTGCCGACGTTGCAAATAATGCCCGCCTCGCCTCATGAATGCTTCCCAAACCAATTGCGCCCCGTGTGTCTCACACTTTAAACTCAAAATATCTACCAGCCTTGTTTTATATGGCTAAATCAGGGTGTAAAAGCTAGAGGGAAGGGCAGTAATAGCTCATACAACGTCGACTTGGGAAAAGCCGACGACGCCATGGACGGCGCACGGTGCCATATTTGGTTGACATCACCGGACAGGCACGAACATTCATACTCGAGGAACCGGGTTTCCGAATAAGTTATTTGGGAACCCTGGGTTTCTACTAGAAAGGGGGGTTTCCAAATAGTTTTATCCTTTGATGGAAGGACAAATGTGGGGGGTTTTTACATCAATGACAAGAAACCCAGGGTTTCCGTGGAAAGGGGGGTTTCCAAATAGTTTTATCCCCTTCCCGTAGATCAAGAGGATAGGGGCCAGATTCCCAATCAAGGCCTCAAATTTCAAACATCATCCAACCTCCATTCATCGCCAACGCGGAACGAATGAAAGGCGATGAAAGGGGGTCCGGACGTTAATTATCCAGCGGAATCCAGTGCACCCGCGAGGAACGTTCCTGAGCCTTGGCAGGTCGAATGTCGGTATTCGGCATCCGGAGGAGCGAGCACAAGGGATAAAAGGCCGACACTGGAAATGAATTCTTCTGCATCCCCTCTTCGCCACCCCATTCGCCAGAACAACACAGACGTCACGCATAATGGACTTCCTTAAGAACGCCGCCAAGGAGCTCACCGAGAACAAGCAAGAGGGGAGCAACAATAGCAACAACGAGGGTGGCAATAACCTCCAGAACAATCTCATCGGCACGCTGAACAATGCTCTTGGAGGCGGAGCGAAAGGAGAGAAGAAGGAAGGCATGTCGATGGAATCACTCACTTCATGATGATGCTTCTTTGATTCTGATACGGTTTCTCTTCGTAGACGTCCTCGATAAAGCCGTCGATGCCTTCCAAGAACACGTTCTCAAGGCCGGCACACAAAACAACGAGTCAGCGGTCGAGCAGGCGAAGGATGAGCAGATCGCCAATGCCATCCGTACGGGATTCAAGAGCGCGACTGGAAAGGACTTCCCGAACTTGTAAAGCGGAACTAGAGATAGGGATGAGTATAGAAAACGGAAGGATGTAAACGTACCACATTTGGAACGAAGCCGTATGAGAGGACACAATTCTCATGGTACAGGTATTATGGAGAACGAAAGTAGTGCAAAAAATTGCGATTATGACAGCTAAGGATACACTCTGAGTCTAAGTCGGGTTATTATCTCTATCACATCATAACACGCAGGAAGAAAACTCGAAGCACTCAACAAATGGAATGGCACTCCCTACGACAAATCAAACCCAGCTCCAGCCCAGATCGCCTTCAACAATTTCTCCTTCAACAGTTGCGAGCTCTCGTACCTCGGCAACTTCAGAAGATTCACGCATGTACTCGCACTAGGCAATCGTGCTTGGTCTCCACCGGCGTCTCGTATCGCGAACCCGGGTCTAAGCTCTCTGAAGCCGAGTAGAGGCGGACGCGAACATGAGGTGACGAAGCGCAGGAACGCCCGCAGGTCGGCCTGCGAGAATGTAGAGAGGACATTCCAAAAGATGAGGATGGTTGGGTGCGCGGACTCGTACAAGCCGCCGTACGAGGTGTTCGCGCGTAGGTCATCTACGGAGATGGGCGTGTGTGTGCCGCCGAGCAGGAGTTGAAGTTCGGTTTGGTTGAACATCCTATCACGGAGATTAGCTATACAGATACGATCTTAGAGAGTAAAGCCATACCTCAACCATTTCCGATCGATCATTTCGGACAACCCTTCGAAGAACGCCTCGCTTTGGAGCTTGATTTGCTTGCTTAGCCGGTAGTGCGACACCAAGAAGATATACTGGAGCCTGTTCTCTCGTGTTACAGTGATGTTAGATCCATTGGGAATAAGGTCGATCGTCTTTGTGACACCAAATTCTAAAAGACAGAAGGACGTGAACACAGCGAAGATGACAAACTGGAGGACGAAGACATACCCTCGATGGCGACTGTAAAATTCAGCGAGAGATCTTCGGGGTTACCAGCGTGGTGCTTCAGGAAGATAAGACCATTATACAGCTCGGGATCAAGCGAAGCTAGGTCATCAAGGAACGACTGTCGACCTAACCACTATTCGGAAAATTATCATCAGCAGCCATTCTTAATTATCGTCAAGAGTCGAATGGAAAAGAGAATACGAAACACGAGCATCGAAGGAGTAATATAGAATATAAAGAGTGTTGACGAACCTTGGCCAAAAAGAATCCAGCAAACGCGACATCAACCAGAATCCCTTCATACATCGCTTTGCCCAAAATCCTGCCAATGAAACGGTACCAGTTCAGGCTATGGGCTATTCAACGAAACAAATCAGTCTCAATTCTCCCAAAAGGTCAAATGAAAAGGGATTCGACTCCAACGTCAAAGCTGAAAAATGTAGGCACTTACCTTCAGTAGCATAGGCATGCGGGTTGGGATACAGCTCATTCTTCTTGTTTGCGAGCCAGAGCCCACGGTCCGTATCGAACACCTCTTTGCACAGCGACGTGAAAAACTCTTTGAACACGCCACCGCCATCAATGCCAGCCCTAGAAAGTGGAATGGGTCAGCTCTCATCGATTCGACGCGTCAATTGATCCAGCACTTACTCCTCCTGCCCCCACTGGTCAACGAACACAATTTCGACCGGTTGCTTCAAATCGACTCCTGAAAGCTTATCAAACCCATCTTGGGCGACCATCCCGCGTCGTACAGGCACACGTGGTCGGCCACCGGGCCCCATCGTCACCGGCGGGCCCGTGTCACTGGACCCAGGCTGTCCTGGATTCCTGGGGGTTGTGGAGCTACGCCTGGCCGCCGACGCAAAAAAGTCGTCGATTGCTTGAAGTTGGTCGTCGAGATCCCCGCCCTCAGCAGCGTCAACGTCCATAGATCGCGCCACTTCAGACATCAAGTCGTCCAGTGCTGCCCGCCCAAGGTCATCGACGTGATGACGTTGCCCGTCCTGTAGCCTCTCAAAGTCTTCCTCCATCATCCGCCCTATCCGATCCGCAGCGTCAATAGCGACTCTCCTCCTCGTTGTGGCAACAGGAGCTGGGCCACCACTCGATTGCGATGTGGAAGCTCCAGAGTCGACGTTGCCCAAGTCGGCAGCGATAGTGTCAAGACCGCGGTTGATCTCCTGGAGGTCATCCGCGACCTCATCCAACACGTTTCGGAGGTGAGCCACTGGGTTGATCGCCTGTGTTCTCCGCGAGCGTGACCTCCTAGAATGAGCCCTATGCTCATGCCCGTAGGCGTCTGCATGGACAAACTCTCGGAAAATACGCACGCGAACCTCGAAGGGTACCGCGAAGGGTATGTTGTTCAAAATTCCTAGGCGGGGTGTCAGAGCTTGCGCAAAGCGGGCTTGCATTTTAGCGTTGCGGGCGGCGTTGAGCCGGCCAGGGCCGCGGGGGTTTAAATATGATGGGAAATCGGATTGGAGGGAGAGTTGTTGATCCTCCATACTGTCACGAAGAGATGGACGACGAGTCAATGTAAGAAGTGAGCAGTCAGAAAGTACGTACACAGCAGCCTCAACGAACGAATGCATGTCGTTCTCAGAGTTGACGCCGAGATGGGACGTGACAAGCCAGTGGTCTGGCGGGGCAAATGGTCTTCGCGAGCTGTAGATGACATGTCATCAGCCCCTCAGACGCAAAAAACGACGAAAGGGAAAGACACTTACTCTCTGGCATGGACCGCAAGCAAACACCTCGTCACCTTCTCTCGCACCGCCTCCCATGTACACCTGACCTCGGTGCTAACCAACGTCTCCATTAACCTTGTCGTAGGGGCCGCCGAGTCCGCCCCGACGAAAGCAGAGTCGTCTCGCCAATAGAGAACAAAGGCAATGTTTAATAGCTGCTTCGAAAGAGAGACCAGCTCGTCGAGCGTCAACGGGTTTCGAGCTGCGTTTGCGGAGCCAGAAGTTGAAGTCAGTGAAGAAGATGAGGTGCCGAAGAACTCGTCATCTCCCATGGTTTGGAGAGCTTGAGAGTAGAGGTCGGCAAGGAGGAGCAGAGACGGGTAATGAGCCGCGTTGACTGGGTCTAGAGAGAAAGAAGTGTATCAGTGGATTGTGAAGGCAATAAGACGATGTGAGACGATGTGAGACGATGACGGAAGGAAGGTGTTAAAGCGCATGAAGATTCGCCAACTGGATCGGCAACGAACGACACCACCGGCATGGAACGTAGAGAGGAAGAACGCTGCCTCCAAAAGGGATGAACGAGGACAGCAGAGGGAGGAAGGAACAACAAAGCATCAGCGAAGGAAACTTACCCAAAACATCCCGTCCAACCTCATCCTTGCCCACCGGCGCCGCCCTAACCAAAACCCGATACAGCTCTCTAATCAAGCCACCTGTAGGGCCAGCGCTCGCCAAAATCGCGCGGAGAACCTCTTCTTCGCCTTTGCTGCCCTTCTTCCCTCCTTTCTTCGACGTGGAACTTGGGCTTGCGAAGTTCGAGCTTGAGGAGTACTTCGTGCCCGCCCGTGCCCAAGCTTGTGTCAGCGCGAAGAGGTAGCCGATCAGGTGGCGAAAGAGAGTGGGTTTGGACTGTGTAGCGCTGATTAAAGACGAGAGATGAACAGGCTCCGCAATCTTCTGGAGTCGCGCGAGGGTCTTGGTATCTAGAACGACAGGTGGTGGCGGTGGTGTCGATGGGACGTTGATGGAGAAGGAGGATACGACCGAGACGCGTGTTGGGTGCTCATCTTCAGAGTCGGAGGATGAGGAGTCGTAAATTGCCTTTTTCTTGCCTGCGGTGCCTTTCTTGACGCTTTGAGTGGCAGTTGCGGTGGTCGAGGAAGGAGAGACAAAGATCCCGGCAGGAAAACCGTTCAAGAGACGGGCTGAAAGGCGAAGATACATCTCTAGCGCAGGAACGGGAAGGATCTTGTACCGCGGCGAGAGGAGCATGTAGAGAGTGGCTACGAGGTGCACTTTCGCCCCTCCATCTCCATCTTTCACCTTCTTGTCTAATTCTACCTCGAGCTCATCGAAGTGGGATTGCAAGATCTGAAGTTGGGCCAAAGGAAGACGAGCAACAAAATTTGGCAGCTCATCCAGTGGCAATCGGTTGAGGAGGAGCGGCACGGAAAGAACGTGGGCGACTAATTGAGCAAGAATAGACGCATACTGAGGGGAAGAAGCTGCGAATGTTGACAGGGGAAGAGTGATAAGGGCGAGGAGAGGGGGATATGTCGGTGACTTTTTTGAGGTTGAAGGCTGGATATATGCGTTATTGGAATCACGTAGAATATTATAAAAGGTGAAAGAACTTACGATACGTTCAATAGCTCGTCCTAGCAGCGCATAGAACCCTCTTGCGACAAGGTACTCCGTGATAGACACCACAAGGGTAGACCCGTTGCCTCCAGCGCCCACAAATGCATCTGCGATGTCCTTGGAAAGGAGGGAATTGAGGATGGAGAGGTAATTCATCGCTCGTGGGGACCTGGTTCAGTTCGGCTTGTTAATCAAGGAAGAGTGGACGAAGAGGTGAGAAGCACTCACTGAGGCGATTCAGATACAGCTCGAACCAAGATCAAGCCAACCTGGCGAATAAGCGCGAGCCAGCTCGATTGAACTGCAGGACTCGAAGAAAGGACGGGCGTCCATAGGGCGTCTAGTGGCAGATTACAATCGGATTCGTCATCAGCTTATCCATCCAGCGAGACAACGAGACGTACGTGGACCCAAGGCTCCTATTTCCCCAGCCCACCTTGAGAGGGCTTCTTCACCATCCCGGCTCAGTTTATCCATGTTCTTGCCAGCCCTGCTACGCCTGCAGATCAAGACCAAGCACCTCAATCCCGTGAGACCTTTAACGTCAGCCTCGAACATCGCCTTCATTTCCTCTCTCGTCCTCCTTGAAGCTTTGACACCCCGGTACCATGCCTGTATACGCGTAGCTGAGTCGGTACGGAGGCGATGGGCCGCTCGCGCCTCTCGTTCGGCATGGACATTGCGGAGGATCGAGGTCGACGACGACGAAGAAGAAGCGCCACCGAGGTTGATCTTGCGTCTGCGCTCAGAGTCGAAGTTGGGGAACATTGAAGAGATGTATTAGTGTATTTCGAGAGTCGTGAAGAAAAAGATAAAGAGGAGGAAAAGAAAAGAAGTGTGGAAGTGGCGAGAGGGCAGACGATGACTGGATGCCGACTCGGGATGCGTAAGCCTGTCACGTCACATGGTCGCGATCTAATCTTATCTCCAACAAACGAAGAGAAGTCCGACTTGAGGGTGTAAAGAAAGGGCTGGAAGTTACTAGAAAATTCGTACAAGAGGTGGGATTGGTACCTCAAAGGATATTTCGATTGATGATCACCGATGCCCTACCTCTTGATAGTTCGAACGCACTGATTGTTTCAGATAAAGTTAGGCGCTCAACGGCATTTACGAAGCCCAGAGGTGACTGCGCATTTTGGCAAATATGGTCCTAGAGTAGATACGCGAAGGTGTTACGAGTGTGATGGCGGAATTATGGACTCCTGCTTTGTTTTAATTGTTTTCTGACAGCCGAATCGGTATGGAGATCGTAATTCTTACAGTGAGCGCTCACTTTACCGCCGTCTTCCACCACCTTGATGGGGAGAGCACGAGTAAGGGAGCTCTTACGTGGCGTGATAGCGTCAAATAATTCATTGATCGTGCGCACGATGGTGAAAAAAATTGTGATAGGTAATACCAGAATGAAACGAAGCGTGAAGAGGTGGTGTAGATGACGACAAGAACCCGAATAAAGGAGGAATACGAACATGTACCCAAAGAAACCCAAATGAAATGATAAGTATAAGTATGTGGTAAGTAAAGTGTATCAGTATCCGTGCGTCGATGAACAGACAAAGAGGTGCGTGGGGATAGGAGATGTGAGTGAAAACGTCTGAGAGAGGAGGTCAGAAAATACGAAAATACGAGGGAAATAATCAAGGGCGGTCGTGCGTACCTAGAAGACGATCTCGGGAAGCTCGAGCGGCTCATGCTGCTTCTGCGGGAGGCTATCAACGCCGACTGACGGATAGAGTGGCCCGAGAGCACCGTCCAGACGCATGTACGAATGCAGCATGTGCATGGCATGGAACGAAGTCACTCCCGAGATCTCAGACCAGAACTCGTTCGTGAACTTGTCCTGCTCGTCTGGCTCGTCCTCGTCCTCCTTCTCCTTCAGCGGGTAGTAGTAGGGAGTCAGGAGAATGAGCAGCCCGAGGAACAGCTCGTGCCCAGACAGCTCCCTCTCCTCGTGCGCCAACGTATAGGCGTCGTAGCAAGAAAGGAGGGAGATGATGTGCTCGACGATGGGATAGGGCACATCGCTGGTGTGGAGGACGTGCATGATGAAGTCGATGATGAGCCGGACTGCTCCCTGACCCCGGTAAATCCCTTTTTTCGACCTTCATCATCACATTCTCGTCGTCCCCTCGATCCCCGACACCTTTCCCATCGAGCCATATGATTCCTCGACACACCCGGAGATCCTCAGTCAGCAAAAGCATCCGTCCCGTGACTGGCACCGCCTCTTTCCCTCTCTTTCCCGTTTCACCGAGACGCTCGGCGCGCCACCCTTTCCTTGTTAGGTAGCCTTTTCTCCCATCAACGCAGTTGCCGCCTCGCCGCCTCTCCCCTATTCCATTCCTGTTTCATTCTTATCTGAAAATTTCTGTTTTTCTTTCTTCCTTCACCCACGGCTCGGATATCTTCCTTGCCGGGCTCTTCTTTCTTCATAGATATAATCCATGTCTACACACTCACACAATATAGAGAATTTAGTTCGTTTTTCCGTCTCTCACCTCCCTCGTTCCTCGCTCTCTCACTCGTATTCCGGAGGCGCCGTTGCCTCATTCGTCCCGTTCCCACGCTTAGCGCCCGCATTCGCCATCCGTCTTCGAGTCGCGCGCGCCCACTGGTTAGAGCCGCACAACCACGGAACTGTCCTCGCACCTCAGAGCCACTCATTGCGGTGTTTTGGGTGTGTGTTTGTCATTCATTATTCGCACGATCACCCCACCGTAGGCACATCATCGAGGAGGACAGGGTGGGTGTAGTGGTGTGAATCATGGGCCTCGGATGGGCAGCCGAGGATGCGGAGGACGGCGTTCAGGCTCATGGCGGCGCTGATGATGATGTGGGGATATTGGGGAGTGGTGTGGGGGTGGTCTCGGTGGTCTCTATGGTTTGTTTGGTGTGTGCCTCGGGGCAAGAGCGCCGCCTGAGGTGGGAGAGGGAGATACAGGAGAACGCCCTGGTAAGGCGGGAGGGAGGTGTAGATGCAGGCGCGGAGAATGGTCGTCGCGGCCTGAGAGAAGAAGTCATGGTGTTTGTGTTGGACGCAGCGCGCGTGGTGGGAGTGATGGTGTGTGCAGCGCTGGTGGCGATGGTGGTGGTGCGTCCGAAGGAGAACATCGTGGCTTAGACATTTGCTGCGAGAAAGTGGGGGGTTTTTATACGTTTTCGATGTGGTGACGTTCAACGTGGAGATCTTCAGTCCGAAACGAAATCCTGTGCGCGGAGGTTCCAAGGAACGAGTAAAACACAGAAAGGGGGTCGGGTGAGGTAAGGCATCGCCGATGCACCCCGAAGTCTTGTTCATGGTCGACGACACCGCGGGTGGTTATTTCTCTTTGAGTATGGAGGTGGTTTAAGCGCTTGGAATAGACGCCCGCGGTCGATCATCCACGCGAGTTGCCATTTTGGGACCTGTCACCGTTTCCTCCTTGGTTCGGATCCAAATTAGAAAAGAAAGATCCACTGACGTCTCATTGTTGGCCGTCGCCGGAAGCGGGTGCTAACATTGGACTCATGCCCGAGGTCTCGTCAATCCAACCTCCGCGGTGGAACCTGCATCATTTCCAAGGGTAGTTCCGGTAACAGGGGTGTCAGACAGGAGCGCCCCTTGCCAGAATATCTCAAATCCACGCAGTCCGGGTATCCAATATTTATCCTTGATGATATCAGTTTCTGGACGTGTCCGTGCTACTCGTATCTCTTTTTAAAAAAACTGGTTTCTCGGTGGAGTAAGGGCCTATAAGCTACTGGTAAGTCTCTTCAAATTCCATGAGCACATCCACCTTCCAAAGCCGTATTCCTCTGATTTAAGGCAAGTTTTGTTCATTCAAAAACAATGTAAGAGGTATGGCCGCGAAGGAGAAGCGTTTATTCACATAGACGGAGAACAAATCGGTTAGACGAACACGAGACGTACAAAACTTTGGGTAGGATCGAGACGGAGACAGGATCCAGCTTGTCCTTCCATCGCCGAGGGACAATTGGGCACTTCTCCGACTGAGGAGGTTTGAGGTAGACCCATATATCATCACCCTTGAGACTTCAATGATCACGTATTATGTTGTATTCTCGACTTCTGCATGCCTCTCCGCACGTTCTATATCCTCCACGTCGCCTTTCGAGACAGCCCGCTGATGAGCCTGCACCACGGGATCCTCCCCGAACTCGTCCACTATCGAGCGCATGACGCAACTGGCCCGCGCCGAACATCCCGTTTGCGCATCAGCCCTGATCTTCTTGAACAAAACTACACTGGGAGTCTCCACGAATGTGTTCGTGCTTTGGCGATGGCTCCAAACGCGAAGGTGGAGGAGGAATCGCGCGGTCATGAGACCGGAGAGCCTGAAGCGAGAAACTGTTAGGGGGAAAGAGAAACAGGGAAGCAGGGAAGACAGACGGGAGCGTGTGCGCGTTCAGCAGCCGTTGGATAAAGAATCCTTCCTGTAAAGGTGTATCAAGACGACGGGGGATATCGCAGTGGGGCCATGACACGCAACCGGAGCAGCCTAAAAGTAAGGATGGAGTCAGTGAAATCAGCGCTTATCTGGCGACACGCCTTACATGCTGAAGGACCACTGTGCAGATCGTAAGAATTGTCACGGAGCTGTAAAATCGTTGTTTAATGCTTCTCCGTCCGATGAAGCGAGATATGTACGCGAAATACAGTATACCTTCAAATAACATGCGAGTGACGCTGATTGAGGACTGAATCGCCAGGAAAGACTTGACACTGAAAGCCCACCGTGTTTAAAGATCAAGAAGGGCAATCCTCGTTTTGCGTCACGCCACGAAGTATTGTCGACGGCGAGGGCTTTCAGAGTTCGGCCTGTAGTGAATACGACCGCCGAAGTCTCAAAGATCACCGTGAAAATTGGGAGAAGGTACGGGACTGAAGAGAGAGGAATCACCGCATCAGTGAATAGACATCGAAGCTGAGCGACCGTGGTCTCCTGCGTACCTCTGAGGGAAATCGTTAGCTGTGATCTTTTGAACAAGACTCGAGACTCACGGAGGAGTCCCTCGATAACCGTTACACGCGGCATACGGGACATGCAGCTGAGAAGATAGTTGTTATCCATACCACAAAATCTCACCGGCGTAGTGGGGGACTACATACGATTGCGAGGCCGATAACAGACGATCCAAATAGCCCAAAGATGGTCAAAACGCATATATTCCTGTTAGAGATGGCATATGTCCTGAGACCCCAGACCACTGTCCAATCCGTACTCATCATGGAGACAAAGAAACGAGGTAGATAAAAATAATTACTCACAAACAATAGCTATCCTCCCGATGCATGCCACTATGGCAGCCAGCCGATATCCCTGATCACAGCTGTTGCGATCGGATAATCAAGCGTTAAGATAGTGTTGTCTGCGCGATGGACCCACAGCAAGAGATCTTACTGTTCCCGACACAAACATGATCCTCAGCGATCTTTCGATGGTCTGAAATAATCGTTCGTACGAACCCTCATCATTGGGAGCTTTTCTGCCAGCGCAAGGGCATAGATGACGTTCGACACCATCCCATAACGACATATGAAGTATAGGGCAGTCGCGAAAGAGAATTTGCATATCCAGAAGTGTTGAACCTCGCGTGGCCACGTGATGGCGTAGTCGTAGTACAAGAGCGCTGATGTGGGGATGAGAGACGGCACTGTGCAGATGAAAAAAAAGGCTCACCCAGGCTTGAACATTGAATACATAAGCGCACGAACCTAAGGGCGTAGTGATATGCCTATGTATGGGCGAAGGCATCGAGGGAAAGAGAGCGACGCACATCGTGGCCTTGTTTTGAACCTCCAGAGGACTCGACATGTTGTTGTTCTGGGTGCAGCGTTGAAGTAGTCCAGGAGAAAGTGGACGCCGGCGTCAATTCCTTCCTGAATACCTGAAGGCCTTATATATGCAGGAACGGCGAACGGAAACTTACCATCCAAGATGGGTGATTCTGCACAGGTTCGTCCATTGTCCTAGGAGATCAATTACGCGGCGAGGATGAAGATCGAATGAACACGCCTTTTGACATCGCGATACCTAAGTTCGGACACCCCGATCAAATTATCGTTTGGTCTGGAGAGCGGAAACGCTTCATGATATTTACTTTGCGGGCCTTGTCGACAAACACATCGAAGAAAACAGCGCCGAACGATGTCCGGATCGTCGATCAGAACTTCAGGATAAAGGATCTCGTTTCATATAGGATCAGGATTGGCGATGCTGTGCAAAGAGGAAAATGCCAAGCGGTCAGGCGCGCAGGAAAGTGTTCTCCGCACTACCGCAGTGTACGTTTCCCCATGAGGCTGGTGCTACCCTTTTCTCCTTCTTTTGCTTTCTCGCGATTGTCCTATTTAACCTTCAGAGAAGAATTAAACCGACCTTCATCGGCCCCTTGACGTACGTGCTCTCCCCTTGCGCAACCTGGCTGGTCTTCGAGATGCGCTGTAAGCTTTTCGTCCAGCGGAAGGGGCTGAGCATGACGTCGATGAGAAAGTGCCACCTTAGGAACAAGAAACTCCAACGTACCTAATCCCTGACAATCGAGACCGACGTCGTCAATGGTGATATTCAGGCGAAGCTGCACTAGCTAGGCGGTCAGCGTTTTGTCAGCAAACGGCACGGAGAGATTATGGAAGAAAATCGATAGTCTGGGACATGGCCCGACGTCGTTGACTCAAGTCCGGTGTCCAAGGAAACATGAGCGGAGCAGTGGATTTAGAAGCAAAAGGAGAAGGACGGAGAAATGAACAGTCAAAAGAATGCCATCACCGAGAGAACGAACGAAGGGGTAAGGATGCCGACTGTATCGGTCCTCGGAGCATATCAAGAAAACTTACTGTTCAAACCGTCTTTCCACGCAACTCAAACACAATCCGATGCACGAACCCCGTCTTCTGCCCCCGCAGCTTTCAGACGCGTAGAAGACCGAGATGTGATGACTTTGGACCCACTTCATGAGCATTATAGTGCTCATATTTCCAGAGTTTGAGGAAGAGGTCGCAAGAATGGGCCAGAGCTAGAGAACAATTGCCGGAAACTTGAATTATTTTTCAGGCCCTCTCAGAGTCGGAATATGCCAGCAGAAGAAAGAAATAGAGTAATATGGGTTGATGAGAGATCGCTGGGGTTGGGCAGACACTCGTCTTCGTTTCCTAGCAATCGTTGAGATGCCATGCAGTGAACGCTTTACGAACATAATTAGAAACTTGGAGATGCCACATCCGAAGAGCAGACGCACCCATCGTCAAATGTCCCCTCTGCGAAGAGATCCACGGCCCGACCCGTAAGAACGACCCCGGCTATGACAAGCGGTGAAATTTTGAAAGGCCTTCCTACTCTCCTTTTTCATACCCTGAATGACCTCATACAGAACCGCGTCGAGCGAGGCCAACTGTCCCGAGGCCAGATCCTCCTTGCACTGGTCCAAAGTGCACCGCCAGTTTGCTACTCGAGTAGATAACCCATCCAAATCTTGATGTCGGCTTTTGAAGGGTACCCAGCGTTAGGCATCTTAATGGCCAGTTGAAAAAGCGGAGACATACCAATGCTCTCGTCACCCTGATCTGTCGCCGGTGATGAAGTGTGCTCGCACCGCAAATCGGAGGCCCATGCCCACAGCGACGCTAGCTCCCTATGTAGCTCCGCGATCTTGTCACTTTGGGTTTTCGTCCTACTCTGAGACGCGTCGAGCTCCCGCTGAATGCGATTGCAGTTGTCTGCAGCTGCCTCTCGTTCCCCAAAGTCCCTCATTTGTGCCGCTATGATCTGGCTGTGACTTCGCCTTGCAGCCCCGCAATGCGTCGTTTCGCCAGCTCCAGCTCGTGGAGATACTTCGTGGCAGCCCTGATAAAGCTGACGCTCGGCCGTCTCGTCCTGCCAGTTCTTCGCGACGACGTCCAGGCAGCGGCTCACGGCGACTTCACGCTCGTTGGCCTCGTCCAACTCAGACGAGGTGAGGGCCAAACACGAGCGGAGATAGTTGGTGGACGAGTCCCCAGATTCGATTTGGCTAGCGTAGGGTGCCATTTTCTCTTCTATGGTCACAGCATCTGCGTCGAACATTGAGCGCACTCTCGCCGTCGAGAATAATCCACGCACCGTAAGTTCCCTCCCTCGGAGGTGTACCCTCTCCTCCATCCTCTTCCGGCACACTGAGTTCTCTCGAACCTTCCAGCGTCCCACACAATGGTGTGCCTTCAACGGGTCCAGTGAGGGAGGGGGCCCTTCCACCTCGCTCATAGATTCGAGATCTTCGAGGCAGCCACAGTTCGAAAGGCGGTTCGTGTCAGGCTTCGAAATGTCGGGTATAGTCTACTTGAGCCAGATTGTAGGGATTTTACTCATTCCTCGATTTGCAACGCGTAGTCGACATTGTGGGTTGGTCGTGGTAAGTAGTCTTAAGTAGTGAGCAGAGTTCTGCACGTTATCGTGTCGATGTTCCCATTTGGTCATTGGCCGAGAGAGCCGAGATGAGATCGATTCGGATTAGGTAACCGGTTTGCTCGTTCCGTTCCTTGCCTGCCGCCATCTCACTCTTCCCTCAGCCCCGTCCCATCGTTGCGCCATCCTACCGTTTATGCCATCTAGCTTCAATTCGAAACACCCATACTCGTTACCCAAACTCTCCCGTTCTACCTCACGCTTCAAACACGGACGAGATCAGTTGGGTGTTCTAGAATCGAGCCAGCGAGCAGAGTATGGCGAAAATGATCACTTTCACCCTGTCCTCTGCTCGTATCCATCTGGTCACACTTATCCAGTGTTCTCATCCCCCTTGATGCAAGAGGGCTGGGTTTCCATAGTTCCATCGTCAAGTTTGTCGTCTTTTGTTATCTCGATCTTCGTAAAGCGGGCGATGTAACTCAGTCCCTGTTCTTGGCTGCTTCCATAATTCGCGCTTGAATCTCTTCGTCTGTGCAAGCTAGAGATGCCTACACCGTCTCATCACCACTTTCCGATGTTATTCTGGCCTTTTTCGAGTCGGAACAAGAAAGGTAGAGGCTCGTGGCTCCATTCGCGTTCACGCTAAACAGTTGAACCATTCACCTTTATCTGGTCCTCCAGCACGTCTAGCCCGGAATTGAGGAATACCGCCCCATCTCTCATCTTTCAGCGATGGCGACTTCGTCAGGCTCCTAGCTCAGTACGCTGCTTTGTTGCGCTGATTCTATTACACTCTTCGACTTGTGTTGGTCCATTTGTCGGAGTACGCGAAGGATGCCACACACGAAGATGGACCTGCAGTTGGCGTTATTCCACTATAATTCGTGCTTGTCTCGAGTTCAATCGGCTTCTGTCTGTACTTTGTCACCATCTCGTCCTCATTCCGTGCACTGTAGAAGTCCACGGTTCGCAGCACGATTGGGACACATTGACTCCTCTCGGCCATCCTCTCATCGCAACGCAATGCAACTCGCTGGATGGCCCTGCGATTCGAGGTGGGAACGTGGCGCCTGGGTTCGTACCGATGTCTCTTCGTATTCAATGCAGTTGGATGCAATGTCGGCTCAAGGTCAAGAACTATAGTAAGGCTCTTGTTCGCGGCCTTCGACGCACTGCAGACGAAGGAAAACAAGTGATTAAGGAAAACCTGGACACGACGGTCATTTCCAACGGTTGGGCAGGATAATTCGAAGTAATAAAGTCGTGCTCGAAGACGTTGAAAGCCGATGACCACAATGGAATATCTCTTCTGTCTAGTTCGCCCCTGTCGCTCCAGTGTCTGGAAGACTACTACGGGAATTTACTTGTCATGAAAACACCCTCATGGAATTCGATTGTTGTGCTATTCGGTCTGTAAAATCGTCGTCGGCCTCACGCTCATAACGTAGATCAAGAGTAACACTCGCCTACGAATGCCTCAACAACGCAGATCTCCTTCCTGCCCCACTCCCAGACCGAGACGCCTTCGACTTCGCACGCACCACTCGGCCTCGTTGCCTGCACTCGCGGACGTCCGACACCACCTCCTCTCGACCTCCCTCGCCTTTGAAGGTTTGTTGTGTAAGACCCCGCAGCACTTGCACTTGTGCCAAACCGACGGGCGTCGCTGTACAGCCGCGTGTGAGCCCCAGGAGCGGCACGAGGCGTCCAATGCTTGTTATTGATTCGGAGTTGGGTTTGGGTTTGGATCTGTGCCTGCGAGCATGGAAGGAATGCAAGGTGAGCGTGAGTTTGAGAAACCTGAAGCTCAGAGGACACGACGTACCTCGCGTCTCCGAGAATTGGAGAGAGCCCCGCTCGTAAAGACGAATAGGAATGGGAAGTAAGCGCGTAGTTGGAGGCGTCCGAGCGTAGTTGGAGGCGTCCGAGTACGTTCATTTATTCTCTCCTCTATTCGTCTGTACGAGTTTGAGTTCGGGTAGGTTGTGAATGTGAGGCAGAGAGAGCCGGAGACTTAGGGAGCGGCGAGCCAGCGCACACTCCACTCGTTCGTAGGTCGTGGTGGTCACGGTGAAACCTGTTCAGTGGGTTGGTCGTTGGTGATTGGGAAGATGTTGTATTTGTATCGATGTAGCACCGCGTCAGGGTGTCAGTGCCGTAATGAAACACGATGGCGTGATGATGGATCTCGGAAAGTGGTCGGCGGTGTGAGTACATGGCCGTGGTCGATTGGGTCTTTGAGGATCACTCTTTCGGTTGACCCAACCCGAAAAGACATTGCATGTGTATATTATTATGTAGGAAATAGCGTTGAATATTTCTTGATTGTAGCTACTAGTGGGAATGGATTGTGGGCGAAGGCACGCAGTGCCTTTCGACCGGGGGTGAGGTCTTCATTTATCCCTGGTCCGAGACGAGATCGCGACGGGCGGGTGGGAACCAAGTGAGTCGATGAAGATGAAGGACTTTACTTGCGAGGTTTCCTGAAGACTTCATCACCGATCCTGCTTTATTTCTAGGGAGCGGAGGGCGGGTGAAATTTGAGGAATTTGTCCGTTGGACTTTCCAGAACTTCGATGGATGAGTGGTGGCACGAGAGAGAAAAAGGCACGTGCCACCTCATCCGTTCGCTCAAAGACTATGTTCTACCGCTTCGCTTATTCTTCGCTTCACTTCTAGAACCGCAATGTATGTTTCCACCTCGGCATGAAGATGAATGGAACTCGGAGAAATGGCGGACCGGGTAGATCCGGCACTCGGAGCTCCATCTTATCTTATCCCAAAGACTTCCCACAAGCCGCAATCGTTGCCCCCTTTTCTCCACCATCTCTCTCTCACCTGAGTCGATGCGCCTCATCGCCGAACGGGCCCCCTCTTTCCTTGTACTGCGACGAGGGCTTGAATGCTCCATCACTCAGCCAGCAGGCGTAATATGGCAACCGTTTTGCTCTTATCTGCCCTATTCTTGTAGGGCTCAGAGATTCCCGGTCACATTCCCCAACTACGCATGAAGGCTAGGCGATCATCATCAGCAGGAGCGATCATCTGCAGGTCAGTTCATCGTAGCCTGCTCTACGTCGACTGATTGGAAGCTTTAGTTCAATATTTCTTCTCCTCGTGTCCCCCATAATCAAAGGACGAAGAGTCTTTGGGCATCCCGTCTTCGCACGCGATGAACAGCGGACGTCGTTAGCACGTACGTTGCTCTCTCGGTGCGATGCCACGGGGAACCGTCCCTTGAGGCTCTTCGTCTATGTAGGGGGCGATATCGCTCTTGTTTCATTGTTTCGAGGCTGTGGCATCGACGCATCTACGTTCTCCCCTTTTGATCTGGGGATGGTCAATTTTCTCAGAGATGGAATATCTCAGGAATTTTCGTCACCACATCGACACTTTCTGGGTCGAAGCGGGAGGGACAGATCTTGTGGTCGTTCGCGCAGGTGCTGTACCAATAACCCACTTAGTCTTTTTGTTCCCATCTGCGGAGAGCGCACATGAATCTCCAGGCCTATCCCTCCTGCATCGGGGAAAGTAGCACCACTCAGCCCCTCGTTCATTCCCTTCGTCGATTTCCGACTCGATTCCCCATCCGATTATCCCCGTCGTCCTGTGAACACGTCCGGAATGACGCTCTTGCTTTACTCTTCATGGCCATTTTCACCTCACATCGCAACTCTTGCGTTCTTGCGTGTCTGCTCAGGAAGGGTCTCGGAGCATTGTCGTCCTATTCGTGGTTGGGAGGTTATTACTCATTGCACTATAATTACTCCTCCCATGATCAAAGCGATGCTGATAACCCGAGCCCTCCCTCAGTGGTGAATACTAGGGAATAACAGCGGAGCCGTTGTGTCCTTCCAGTGTCCAAATCGCGATTCGCGTATCTCCGTCTTACTTCGGCCAACCCTTTCTGCAGGGTCCCGGGTACATGCCAAGAGGAAGCATTCGAGGCGTTTCGTTGCGCGAAGGGCATATGATAGGAATGATTATTGACATCCTTATCGTCTTTCGCGCTTAAGGCGAACTATGTGGCCCGAATGCATTCCTCAAACTATGATCCGGGCTAATGAGTCGATTGAGAATTCGCTTGTAGCGAGAGTTCAGGTCTTTGGCCGACGCTACGTCTGAGATCGGGTTCGCGCTTTCGAACTTATGAGATTACGATGCTTGAACCTGGCAGGCGGCTCATGGCTCTCGGTCAGGGTTAGGGGGTTGGTACGGTGACGCAGAGGTGTAGGCTTTCGTGAAGGAGCTGCTCGGCCTACTTTACACTCTCGCTTCGACATGTAGAGGCCATAATTCGCCAGTTGGATCGGACGAATCGTCGAGTCTGACCGTGTGCTGTTGGGCGATGTATTAATGTGTCGGGTACGAAGGAGGTCGCTCATGCCTTTGGATGCCACTCGGCTCATGGGGCATGCTGGTCTCAAGTTAGTCGGAGAACGCGAGTCAGGAAGATATTCCACGGGGTGATAGGGTCAAAAAATCCATTGATAGTGGGCGCGATGCATAAGAAATTTGTGATAAGTAGGACCAAGATAAAACGAAGTACGAAGAGATGTGGTCAATGACGGCAAGAACCCGAGGAAAAGAAGAATATGTATGTACCGAAGGAAACCCAAAACGATAAGTATAAGTAAGTAAAGTGTATCAGTGGACGTGTGCCGATGAGGAAGAAGAGTGTTTCGCGCGGATAGGGGATGAGGGCGAGGACGTCTGAGCGAGAAGGTCAGAAAACGGGAAAGAAATGATGGAGGGTGGACGTACGCGCCTAGAAGACGATCTCGGGAAGCTCGAACGGCTCATTCTGCTTCTGCGGAAGGCTATCGACGTCAACTGACGGATAGAGTGGCCCGAGAGCACCGTCCAGACGCATGTACGAATGAAGCATGTGCATGGCGTGGAACGAAGTCACTCCCGAGATCTCAGACCAGAACTCGTTCGTGAACTTGTCCTGCTCGTCTGGCTCGTCCTCGTCCTCCTTCTCCTTCAGAGGGTAGTAGTAGGGAGTCAGGAGAATGAGCAGCCCGAGGAACAGCTCGTGCCCAGACAGCTCCCGCTCCTCGTGTGACAACGCATAGGCGTCGTAGCGAGAAAGGAGGGAGATGATGTGCTCGACAATGGGATAGGGCACCTGGCTGGTGTGGAGGACGTGCATGATGAAGTCGAGGAGGACGGGGTGGGTGTAGTGGTGTGAATCATGGGCCTCGGATGGGCAGCCGAGGATGCGGAGGACGGCGTTCAGGCTCATGGCGGCGCTGATGATGATGTGGGGATATTGGGGAAGTGGTGTGGGGGTGGTCTCGGTGGTCTCTATGGTTTGTTTGGTGTGTGCCTCGGGGCAAGAGCGCCGCCTGAGGTGGGAGAGGGAGACACGGGAGAACGCCCTGGTAAGGCGGGAGGCAGATGTAGCTGCAGGCGCGGAGAATGGTCGTCGCGGCCTGAGAGAAGAAGCGGTCATGGTGTGTGTGTCGGACGCAGCGCGCGTGGTGGGAGTGATGGTGTGTGCAGCGCTGGTAGTGGTGGTGATGGTGCGTCCGAAGGAGAACATCGTGGCTTAGACATTTGCTGCAAGAAATCGAGGGGATTCTATACGTTTTCGATGTGATGACGTTCAACGTGGAGATCTTCAGTCCGAAACGAAATCCTGTGCGCGGAGGTTCCAAGGAACGAGTAAAACAGAGAAAGGGGGTCGGGAGAGGTGGAGTGTCCCCGAAGATTCTCAGAGCACCGTTCACGGTCGACGACAACACAGGTGGGTATTTCCCTTCGGGTGTGCGGGTGGTTTAGGCGCTTGAAATAGACGCCCACGGCCGATCATCCACGCGAGTTGCTATTTCGGGACCTATCACCGTTTCCTCCTTGGTTCGGATCCAAATTAGGGAGGAGGATCCCATGACGTCTCGTAATCGGGCACTGGCATCGTAATCCGTGAACTCATGCCCGAGGTCTCGCTCCACGGTGGGACTTGCGTCGTTTCCAGCGGTAGTTCCGGTAACAGGGGCGTCAGTTAGGAGCCTCCCTTCCCAGAATATCCCAAGTCCGTGAGCAGCCTGGGTATCAAAACCATCGAGCACTTTCGCGGCAGGTCACAACAGGGGGGGTCCGCCGGCTTGGTACCGTCGATGGGTCGTATGGTGTTGACCATTCCGTTGGCGTCTATCATCACCCAAGCTTATCAGAAATTAGAATCTATTCCAACGAGTCATATTTCTCTAGTTCTCCTTGATATACATTCACGATCACAAACAGCGAGGCATTATGGGCCGGCGAGCCGTCAAAAGGATTAGATCTTTCAGACATTAGAAGTCGCTGCCGTTGGATCCAGGGTCGAAGCGCCACTGTCCGCAAAGATCAGTTTCGAAGCCCCCCTACCAAGAAAATATAAGTCTCAATTGTATAAGATTCAGATTCAAACACACCTGCTTGCCGTTCTCTCCGTTTGTGTTGCAACCGTCAAGAGGCAGCCTGAGGAGTCGGTTGCAGTTACCGTCGATCGTGAAGCTACAGCTAGTTTTCAAAACAGTATACACTTGTCAACATATGGGTGGTAGCAGATTGTATAAATACAACACACCCGTTGATGGCTGAACCGCTCACATATATGGTGAATGAGCCATAGTCGTAGCGGGACTATAATTATCGTCAGCAAGAGCCGGATACGGACAGTGGAAGACCAGAATTACATAGAGGGTCTGTCCGTTTGCAACATGGTGGCCGATCGCACGATTGCTAGAAAGTAGATTTGTTACTGGTTGGACCGGATTTATAAGGCATGGTTGAATAGTGCAGCGTACTTGCAGAAGTCGTCGATCACAGAAATCGAAGGCGCACGATCGACCTGGAAGAGAGGCGCACAATAAGTCGGCGCAATCCTGGAAAGAGATGCAAATACATACCTTGGTACCTGTGTTGTAGCAGCTAACCACCTCTGCACCCACACGCTTCGCAAGGATGCTGGTTGTATTGTCAGCTAGATAATAGAAAAAATCTATGATATTAGCGTGCTGCATTACTGCTAATTTGTTGTAGATTAACCTTCGATAATACCAGTTTCGACGCTGATCCACTGAAGAAAGGATAGAATATTAGCAATCAGGTGCAGTTCATGGCCCTTCGTCGCCGCGTACCTTCGCAGAATCCGAACGTGCTGCAGATATGGTCCCTGCAAATGAAGAGGTCGCGATAGAAAGGAGTGCAGCAACAGTAATGAGCTTCATTGCTCTTGAAAGGCTCTGTTGGTGTCAAAGAAGGACTTAAACCTGGTACTTTCACTACGAGGAGGGCGCCTTTTATAGAGATTCCCGAAATTTCTTATGCAGACGGCTTAAGGAAATTCTTCGCTCTGCCGGCTGCGACAGGTGCGCATCAAATACATACGAGCAATAATAGATTCTGAATCCGATCTACATACCCGCAATATCGACACAAAACCTCGTCCTATTCCTATTCAAGGAGCATGATATACGGTTGGCCTCGGCCGGCTTGTAGGATCTACTGTTCCTCGTGCTTTGAGGCTAATAATAAAACAATCTGCGATAAAAATATCGTTGACTCGGTACGGCGGTGACGGCTAGTTGGTCCGAGTTTCATAACGAAGAGTCTACCACAGAGGTATCGCCGCGACATAGTCGGAATGATGTTAGTACGATGTCCGCTGGCCATTCATGCGAGCCTTTCTATGTTTAGATCTCAAGTCGATTTACACAGTTCATCCTTATGCTCGTTGTATCCGTCCTCATGTTCTCGTATAGTATACTCATTCTCTCATTTTCGACCCCTCCGTTATTTACTTTCTTACAGTATAAAGCAGATGAAGTCTCGACAATACACTTCATCTTGCCGTCTTTCTTCCATCGATGCCGAAGTCTGCTACATTCCAGCTGTCAATGACATAAATCGTTGATCATCCACCTTGATTTCACTCCGCCCTTTGTGATTCCATCCAGCCTTTACTTTTCTCGCTTGACTTCCCGTCCTGTTCGCCCCGAAATCCCCGTATCCCTGCTCTTCTCCCGATACTGCCGTACCTGCTGCATATGTCTCCCACCTTCTGCCCCCATGTCTGTTATTCGTTCTCAATCTCCCGACTTCCGATTTCTCTGGCATCGTTACAGTAATTCCGGGCCGTTTCTTTAGATTTCATGCCCAGGCACCTCCCTCCTTACCTAGGCGATATCAACCTTGTTTCGCGGCACTGACTTGGCGAGCTCATCCAGAGGCGTCACATTGCTGCGGACTTCGTGGTATCTATTGGTACAGTTCAAGAGAGGGTATTTCACAGACTGAACATAAGTTATATTAAATCGGAGGAATACGGCCTTGGAAGGTGGACATGCTCATGCAATTTAAAGAGATTTACCAGTTGTTTATAGACCCTTACTCTACCGACAAACCGAATAAAAAACCCCGATATCAGTAGAGTATAGTAACACTGTCAGGTCCAGAGACTGAAATCGTCAAGGATAAATACTGGATACCCAGACTGCATGGATTTGAGATATGCTGGCAAGGGGCGCTCCTGTCTGACACCCCTGATACCGGAACTACCATTGGAAACGATGCAGGTTCCACCTCGGAGATTGGATTGAGGAGACCTCGGGCATGAGTTCACGGATTACGATGTCAGCACCTGCTTCCGCCGACGGCCGACCATGAGACGCCAGTGGGTCTTGCTTCCCTAATATGGATCCGAACCAAGGAGGAAACGGTGACAGGTCCTGAAATGGCAACTCGCGTGGATGATCGACCATGGGCGTCTATTTCAAGCGCCTAAACCACTTGCATACTCGAAGAGAAATAACCACCTGCGTTGTCGTCGACCACGAACGGGGCTTCGGGCTGCTTCGGCGATACCCCACCTCACCCGACCCCTTTCGCTGTTTTACTCGTTCCTTGGAACCTCCGCGCACAGGATTTCGTTTCGGACTGGCGATGATAGACGATCCCCATGTTGCACGTCATCACATCGAAAACGTATAAAAACCCCCCACTTCCTCCCAGAAAATGTCTAAGCCACGATGTTCTCCTTCGGACGCACCACCACCATCGCCACCAGCGCTGCACACACCATCACTCCCACCACGCGCGCTGCGTCCGACACAAACACCATGACTTCTTCTCTCAGGCCGCGACGACCATTCTCCGTGCCTGCATCTACATCTCCCTCCCGCCTCACCAGGGCGTTCTCCCGTGTCTCCCTCTCCCACCTCAGGCGGCGCTCTTGCCCCGAGGCACACACCAAACAAACCATAGAGACCACCGAGACCACCCCCACACCACTTCCCCAATATCCCCATATCATCATCAGCGCCGCCATGAGCCTGAACGCCGTCCTCCGCATCCTCGGCTGCCCATCCGAGGCCCATGATTCACACCACTACACCCACCCCGTCCTCCTCGACTTCATCATGCACGTCCTGCACACCAGCCAGGTGCCCTATCCCATTGTCGAGCACATCATCTCCCTCCTTTCTCGCTACGACGCCTATGCGTTGACACACGAGGAGCGGGAGCTGTCTGGGCACGAGCTATTCCTCGGGCTGCTCATTCTCCTGACTCCCTATTACTACCCTCTGAAGGAGAAGGAGGACGAGGACGAGCCAGACGAGCAGGACAAGTTCACGAACGAGTTCTGGTCTGAGATCTCGGGAGTGACTTCGTTCCATGCCATGCACATGCTTCATTCGTACATGCGTCTGGACGGTGCTCTCGGGCCACTCTATCCGTCAGTCGACGTCGATAGCCTGCCGCAGAAGCAGCATGAGCCGTTCGAGCTTCCGGAGATCGTCTTCTAGGTGCGTACATCCGCCCTTGATTGTTTCCTTCCTCTTTTCTGACCTCCTCTCTCAGACGTTCTCGCCCTCATCCCCTATCTATCTCAAACACTTTGACTCCTCAGGACCTCGTCTACGCACAAACACTGATATACTTTACTTACCACATACTTATACTTATCATTTCATTTGGGTTTCTTTGGGTTCATATTCCTCTTTCCTTGGGTTCTTGTCGTCATTTACACTATCTCTTCGGAATTCATTCTATACCTATACTTATCCCAAGTTTCTTACGCATCGCTAGACTATCAATGAATTTCTTGACCCCCTCACCCCATGTAAGAGCTTCCTGATTTCCGCTCGCTGGATAAACTGAGATTACCGTGCCCCGAACTGAATGACGGCAAACGCAATGGACGACCTCCTTCGTACACCACGAAAAGTATCGCCCGAAAGCACATGGAGAGACTGATACCTCAAGGATTAGCCAGGATCTCGAACGACCCCGCCGAGCGGTCAGTCTATAAAGCGCACCCCATCCGACAGGTGCTTTCTTTCCTCAGACTAATTTCGGTTCTGCTAACGATTCGTCCGATACAACTTACCAGAGGTACGGCCTACACCGACCGAAGCGGCAGCGTCAAGTAGAGTGAGGAAGCCCCGTCATCTAGTACGTTATCGTACTAAGGGCTGTTCTTGGTGTCGAGCACCTCCATGAGACGGAGGTTGTCGACTGCGAGCTGGTTGAGGCGGAGGTTGAGTGACCGGCGATCCTTGGCTCTAGCTTTGTCGTTCCTCTCTTGCCATTGCTGAATGTTGACGAGAGCCGATATCTACGCGATGTGGGTTGAGCTTGCTACCACCGTGGAACAAGCGTTCGACTCACTTGGAAAGCCGCTATTGTGGCCGTAAGTCGAGCTTGATAGTTTTCGATCGAAGTGACTGTTTGAGCCCTGACGAAAAGGATTTGGAAGAAGGATAACGAGGCATGCTTCCTGACGAATTCCGAGATATCTTGCAGAAGTCTGACGTAGCGTCGGCCAAAGACCTGAACTCGCACCACAAGGGAGTGCTCAATTGACTCATTCGCCCGGCTCATAACTGGAGGAAAGCATTCGGACAGTTCACTGGGCCTTAAGCATGAAAGACGATAATGAAAGAAATAATCATTCCTATCATACGGTCTTCGTGCGACGTGCCAGCTCGGATGCTTCCTCGTAGCATTTATCGGGGATGAAAGGGCTGGTCAAATAGATGCGTGAATCGGGGCTAGGACACGCTGGAAGAACGCAACGGCTCCGCTGGTATTTCCTACTATTCACTGATAAGGAAGGGTCCGAGGTTATCAGCATCGCCTTAATCATGGGGAGGAGTAGTGATAGCGCAATGAGCGAGACCATGTCCCCACCACGAATGCGATGACGATGCTCCGAGACCCTTCCTGAGCAGACACTCGTGAACGCAGGGGCTGTGATGTGAGGTGAAAATGAACATGAAGAGCAAAGAACGAGCGTTGACCCAGACTCGTTCGCAGGATGAAGGAGATAATCAGATCGGGTATCAAGTATGAAATCGACGAATCGAGCGAGCGAGGAGGTGAACGGCGGTACTTTCTCCGATACAGGAGAGATAGATGTGGAGATCCGTGCGCGTTCTCCACGGATCAGAGCAAAAACCGAGTATTTTATTGTCGACCCACCACGCGCGAAGGGCCGCAAGATCTGTCTCTCCCGCTTCGACCCAGAAAGTGTCGATGTGGTGACGAAAATTCCTGAGATATTCCATCTCTGAGAAAATTGACCATCCCCAGATCAAAAGGGAAGAACGTAGATGCGTCGATACCACAGCCTCGAAACAAGGAATCAAGAGCGATATCCCCCGCCTACATAGACGAATAGTCATGGACTCGGAGCAAACAGTCAGGTGGTATCGCACCGAGAGAGCAACGTACGTGCTAACGACGTCCGCTGTTCATCACGTGCGAAGACGGGATGCCCAAAGACTCTTCGTCCTTTGATTATGGGGGACACGAGGAGAAGAAATACGCCAATATTGAACTAAAGCTTCCAATCAGTTGACGTAGAGCAACGATGCTGCGTGGGGATCGCTCCTGTTGACGATGTGCGCCTAGCCTTTATGCGTAGTTGGGGAATCTCACCGGAAATCTCTGAGCCCTACAAGAATAGGGCAGATAAGAGCAAAACGGTTGCCATATTACGCCTGCTGGCTGAGTGATGGAGCATTCAAGCCCTCGTCGCAGTACAAGGAAAGAGGGGGGCCGTTCGTCGACGATAAGAGGTGGAGAATGGCTGCGGTATTACAGAATGAGCGGTCGAATTGTAACAATTAGGGCACACATGGGATGAGGCGCATCGACGAAGCGGAGGAGACAGCGAGACGGAAGGAAGAAAGCTGCGATCAACAACGGCGGCTCGTGAGAAGATCTTTGGGATAAGATAAGATGGATGTCCTAGGACCTAGTGCCGGATCTACGGTCCGCCATCTCTGCGAGATCACCTTCACACCTTCATAAACGCCATCCAGGACAGAACCGTACACCTTTACCACAGCCGTGTACATACTAACACCAACCTGTCTACCAGCCCCACTCTGACCCATGCATACCGCCAACCACTTTCCATGCACGATCCATCATCACGCCATCGTGTTTCATTACGGCACTGACACCCTGACGCGGTGCTACATCGATACAAATGCAACATCTTCTCAATCACCAACGCCCAGCTCGCTGAACAGGTTTCACCGTGACCACCACGACCTACGAACGGGTGGAGTGTGCGCTGGCTCGCCGCTCCCTAGCTCTCTGACTCTGCTGCTCCCTACCTAACCCGACCTCCAATATCTGACGAAGAGAGGAACAAAAATGAACGTACTCGGACGTCTACAACTACGCGCATACTTCCCGTTCCTATTCGTCTTTACGAGCGGGGCACTCTCGAATTCTCGTCGGCGCGAGGTACGCCCTAGCACCCTGGCCTTCGCCAAATTCATTCTCATGTTTCGCATTTCTTGCATGACCTTAGGCGCAGATCCAAACCCAGGCCCAACTCCGAACCAATAGCAAGCACTGGACGCCTCGTGCCGCTCCTGAGGCTTACACGAGGCTGCACAGCGACACCCGTCGGTTTAGCCCAAATACAAGTGCGACAAGGTCATATACGGTTGACCTTCAAAGGCGAGGGAAATCGAGGGGAGGTCGTGTCGGACGCCCACGAGTGCAGGCAAGGTCGAAGGCGTCTCGGTCTCGGAGTGGGGCTGGAAGGAAGGCCGCGTTGGGGCATTCGTAGGCGAGTGCTGCTCCCAACAAATGTTATGAGTATGAAATTGACGTCGATTTTATAGATCGAATCGCACAAAGAATCGAATCCCATGAGGGTGTCTTCATATGACAATTAAATTTCGTAGTAGTCTTCCAGACGACAGTGTCCAGCTAGATAAAAAGGATACTTCATCATGATGGTCATCGGCACTCAATGTCTTCGAGCCCGACTTTACCACTTCGAATTCTCGCGGTCAAGCGTTGAAAATGACCGTCGTTTCCAGGTTTTCCGTAATCGCTTGTTTCCCTTCGTCCAGAGTGCGTCGAAGACCACGAACAGGAGCCTTACTATAGTTCTTGACCTTGAGCTGACATAGCATCCAACTGCATTGAAGACGAAGAGACATCGGTACGAACCCAGGCGCCACGTTCCCGCCTCAGACTCAAATCGCCTGACCATGCAGCGAGACACTTCACAAATATACAAAGACGGAGGAGTTGCGATGCAATACATATGAGGATGACCGAGAGCAGTCAGCGTGTCCCTTTCACACTGCAAACCGTGTACTTCTACAGTGCACGGAATGAAGACCAGCGTACTGGGCTAGGAGCCTGACGATGAGAGATGGGGCGGTATTCCTCACTTCCGGGCTAGAAGTGCAGCTGGAGGACCAGATTCATGAAGGTGAATGGTTCAACGTCAACTGTCTAGCGTGGACGCGAATGGAGCCACGAGCCTCTACCTTTCTTGCTCCGACTCCAAAGAGGGGGGAAATGACACCGAAGAAGGGTAATGAGACGGTACAAGCGCGGATTATGGCAGCGACAAAGAACGGGGAATGGGTTAGGTCGCCCGCTTCGAAAAGGTCGAGAGACAACAAAAGACGACGAACTTGACGATGGAACGATGGAACCCCAGCCCTCTCGCATTAAAGGGGACGAGATCAATTTACAAGTGTGATAAAACACATACAAGCACAAGACAGGGTGAAAGCGAACATTTTCGCCATACTCTGCTCGCTGGCTCGATTCTAGAACACCCAACTGATCTCGTCCGTGTTTGAAGCGTGAGGTAGAACGGGAGAGTTTGGGTAACGAGTATGGGTGTTTCGAATTGAAGCTAGATGGCATGAACGGTAGGATGGCCCAACGATGGGAGGTGCATCGACAAGGCCGAGGGAAGAGTGAGATGGCGGCAGGAGGCAAGGAACGTGCAGCAAACCGGTTACCTAATCGATATCATCTCGGCCCTCTCGGCCGATAACCAAATGGGAACGATAACGTGCAGAATGCACGTTACCACGACCAACCCACAACGTCGACTACGCGTTGCGCATCGAGGAATGAGGAAAAACCCTACAATCCGGCTAAATTATACTATACCCGACATTTCGAAGCCTGACACGAACCACCTTTTGAACCGTGGCTGCCTCGAAGATCTTGAATCTACGAGCGAGGTGGAACGCTCGACAGAGAATCAAGCCCCCCCCTCACTGGACCCGCTGAAGGCACACCATGGGGTGCGACGCTGGAAGGTTTGAGAGCATCAGTGTGCCGGAAGAGGATGGAGGAGAGGGAACACCTCCGAGGGCGGGAACTTACGGTGCGTGGATTGTTCGACGCCGAGAGTGCGCTCAATGTTCGACACAGAAGCTGTGGCCATAGAAGAGAAACTGGCGCCCTACGCAAGCCAGATCGCATCTAGGGACTCGTACACCAACTATCTCCGCTCGCGTTTGGCCTCCACCTCGTCTGAGTTGGACGAAGCCAACGAGCGCGAAATCGCCGTGAGCCGCTGCCTGGACGTCGTCGCGAAGAACTGGCAGGACGAGACACCCGAGCGTCAGCTTAAACGGGCAGCTTCCACGAAGTATCTCCACGAGCTGGAGCTGGCGAAACGATGCATTGCGGAGCTGCAAGGCGAAGTGTCGTCGGCGAATGAGGCTATAGCGGCACAGATGAGGGACTTTGGTGAATGAGAGGCAGCTGCAGACAACTGTAGTCGTCTGCAGCGGGAGCTCGACGCGTCTCGGAGTAGGGCGAGGACACAAAGCGACAAGATTGTGGAAATACATGCTAAGCTAGCATCGCTGTGGACACGAACCTCCGATTCGCGGTGCGTGGACGCTTTATCCCCGTCACCGCAGCAGGGTGGCGAGAGTATTGGTAAGTCTTTGCTTTTTCAACTGGCCATTAAGATGCTTAACACTAGATACTCCTCCGAAGCCGACATCAAGATTTGGATGGGTTATCTAGGAAACTGGCGGTACGCTTTGAACCAGTGCAAGGAGGATCTGGGATCGTGACAGTTGGCGTCGCTCGACGCGGTTCTGGATGAGGTCATTCAAGATATGAAAAAGGAGAGTAGGAAGTCCTTCGACCACTTGTCATAGCCGTGGGTCATTCTTAGGGGCCGGAGCCGTGGATCTCCTCGCAGAGGAGACATTTTGACGATCGGTGCGTCTTCTCTTCGGATGTGGCATCTCTAAGTTTCTAATTATGTTCGTAAAGCGTTCACTACATGGCGTCTCAACGATTGCTAGGAAACGAAGACGAGTGCCTGCTCAACATTCAACCCCAGCAATCTCTCATCAACCCATCTTACTCTATGTTTTTATTCTGTTGGCATGTTCCGACTCTGAGGGGGCCTCAAAAATAACTCAAGCTTCCGGCAATTGTTGTCTAGGTGCCCGCGGGTAGCCTCCGGCCCATTCCTGCAACCTTGCTTCCTCAAAATTGGTGAATATAAGCACTATAATGCTCGTGAAGTGGGTCCAACGTCATCTCATCCTGTACTTCTATGCGTCTAAGTACTGTGGGATTGACGAATGTAGCGCGAAGCCGAATATCAAGAATCTGCATCTCGCGGGCACAAGACGGGGGTCATGCTCAGCATTTTGCACGAGCGGATGGTCCGAAAGGTGAGTTTTCTCGGGCCTATAGTCCATTTGTTTTCGTTTCCCCCTAGGTTATTCCCTGGACACTGATGTCCATTTGACCATGGTACCCCCCTTTCGTTTTGCTCTTTCTGAAGCAACGCCCTGCGCCCTTGTACCTGTTCATTTCTTCGTCCCTCTCCTTGCGCTTCTAGGTTCACTGCTCCGCTCATGTTTCCTTGGACACGGACTCGAGTTAACGACGTCGGGCCACGCCCCAGACTATCGATTTTCTTCCATACTCTCTTCGTCCCGTTTGCTGACAAGACGCTGACCGCCTAGCTAGCGCAGCGTCGCCTAAATGTCACCATTGACGACGTCGGTCTCGATTGTCAGGGATTAGGTACGTTGGAGTTTCTTGTTCCTAAGATGGCACTTTCTCATCGACGTCGTGCTCAGCCCCTTCCGTTGGACGAAAGCTCATAGCGCAAACTCTCCAAGTATATAGTATACTAACCATCTCGAAGACCAGCCAAGGTGCACAAGGGGAGAGCACGTACGTCAAGGGGCCGATGGAGGACGGTTTAATTCTTCTACGGAGGTTGAAGTGGAGAAAAATAGGACAGTCGCGAGAAAGCAAAAGAAGGAGAAAAGGGTAGTACAGGTGGGCCAGCCTCATGGGAAAAACACACGAGATATGGATAATGTGAAGGTTCGTCGGGGACATCAAGTTCATATTAAATTATCTTACAGCCTCCGATTGCAGACAGGGGAATCTTATCTTATCGGGAGGCCTTCATCAACCGTTTCCTCTCGTCCCCGCACCGCCATGAGCCTACAGCCTCCTTACTCCGAAATCTTTGTCGGCGCTCTCCCTCCTTGCCCAGGAATCGCAAGAATATTCAAGAATATGCAAATTCAACGTTGTCTATCGCGACCGCAGCTTGAGTAAGTTTAGATTAGAAGCTCCATGGGCGCATGCTCAAGAATCTTCTCCAGAAGACCCATTTCTCAACACACTGCGCTTCCAGCGATTCTATTCACGAACGTTTATTCTATAGGCGGCACCTCGCGGAGATCGTCTTTCAATCCTGTGGCTTTGCCTGCACTATAGTGCTGCCGCGGGTGCGCTGCAGTTTGGGCCCTATCGGATCGGATGCAGCATGACCACTCTCACAGGTTTCAATCTGGATGGAAGCTGTGCACGAAATTTGCCACGCTTGACTCAATATGTTTCTTCTTGTATGCCGCTTTGTTCCGTTATGGGCGCCTCCTTCCATCTCTCGAGCGCTCTCGTTACGCTTTCGAGCCTTCCTCGTGTCTTTCGCGCTACGGATTCGTGGATTTGTGCACCTAGGCACCAGCAACACTCGTGCAGTGCATGGCGGAGAACACGCCTTACTCCTTGGCACTTTCCTCTTGGCACAGCATCGCGAATCGTGATCCTGTGTGAAACGATCCCTTATCCTGAAGTTCTGATCGACGATCGGGACATCGTTCGGCGCTGTTTTCTTCGAGGTATTTTCGACGATCCCCGCAAAGTAAATATCATGAAGCGTTTCCTCTCTCCGGACGAAACAATAATCTGATTGGGATGTCCGAACTTAGGTATCGCGATATCAAAGTGTCTTCTTTCGATCTTCGTCCTCGCCAAGTAATTGATCCCCTCAAGATCTCCTCGGACAATGCACGAACCTGTGCAGAATCACCCATCTCGGATGGTAAGTTTCCTTTCGCCGTTCCTATATATAAAAGGCCTTCAGATATCCAGGATGGAATTGACGCCGGCGTCCACTTTCCCCATCAACGTTGCACACAGAAGGCCAACATGTCGAGTGCCCTGGAGGTTCAACACAAGGCCACGATGTGCGTCATCCTCTTTCGCTTGATGCTTCGCCCATATACAGGCTTACGCTTCACTCCCAGGTTCGTGCGCTTATGTATTCAGTGTTCAAGCTTGGGTACGCCTTTTTGTCATCCACACCGCGCCGTCTCTCATCCCGGCTTCAGCGCTCTTGTACTACGACTACGCCATCACCTGGCCGCGCGAAGTCCAACATATCTGGATGCGCAAGTTCTCTTTCGGTACCGCCCTGTACTTCACATGTCGTTATGGGATGGTGTCGAACGTCATCTATGCCCTTGCGCTAACAGAGAAGCTTCCAATGATGAGGGTTGGTACGCGTTATTGTTTCAGACAATCGAGAGATCGCTCAGGACTGTGCTTGTGTTGGAAACAGTGAGATTATCCTGCTGTGCGTTCATCGCGCGGACAACACGTTTTTAACGCTCGATTATCTGATCACAATAGCTGTGATCAGGGATATCGGCTGGCTGCCATAGTTGCATGCATCGGGAGGATAGCTATTGTTCGTGAGTGATTCTTATCATACTGTTTCTTTGTCTTCATGATGAGTACGAATTGGACAGTGGTTTGGGGTCTCAGGACATATGCCATCTCTAACCGGAACATATGCGTCTTGACCATATTTGGGCTATTTGGATCATCTGTTATCGGTCTCGCTATCGTACGTAGTCCCCACCACACAGGTAGGGACCGTGGTATGGATAAAAACTATCTTCACAGCTGCATGTCCCATATGCCGCGTGTCACGGCTATCGAGGGAATCCTCCGTGCGTCTCGAGTTTTATTCAAAAAGATTAGAGCTAACAGATTCGCTCAGAGGTACGCAGGAGACCATGGACGTTGGCTTTAGGTGCTCCATTTACTGATGTGGTTATTCTTCTCTCCAGTCCCATACCTTCTCCCAATTTTCACCGTGATCTTTGAAACCTCGGCAGTCGTATTCACTACAGGTCGAACTGTGAAAGCTCTCACCGTCGACAATATTTCGTGGCATGACGCGAAGCGAGGATTGCCCTTCTTGATCTTTAAACATGGTGGGCTTTCAGTTTCAAGCTTTTCCTTGCGATTCAGTCCTCAGTTAGCGTCGCCCGCGTGTTGTTCGCAGGTCTATTATATTTCGCGTAAATATCTCGCTTCGTCGGATGGAGAAGTATTAAATAACGACTTTACAGCTCCGTGACAGTTCTTACGATCTGCACAGTGGTCCTTCAGCATGTAAGTTGTGTTTCGCAATAATCACCCTTTTTCGTAACTCAATCCCTGCTTTCAGGCTGCTCCAGTTGCGTGTCATGGTCGTACAACGCCATTCTCTGTTGCCCTGATACAATCCTTACAGGAAGGATTCTTCATCCAACGGCTACTAAATGCACACACACTCCCGTCTGCACTTTGTTCCTCCTTCTTTCCCTGCTTCCTAATACAATCTTGCTTCAGGCTCTCCGGTCTCATGACCGCGCGCTTCCTCCTCCACCTTCGCGTTTGGAGCCACCGTCGATGCACAAACTCGTTTGTGGAGACTCCTAGTTTGGGTTTGTTCAAGAATATCGAGGCTGATGCGCAGCCGGGATATTCGGCCAGGGCCAGTTTCATCATGCACTCGATAGTGGACGAGTTCGGGGAGGATCCCGTGGCGCAGGCTCATCGACAAGCTGTCTCGACAGGCGGTGTGGAGGATATTGAACGTGCGGAGAGCCATGCAGAAGCCGAAAATGCAATATAATACGTGATTATGGTCTCAAGGCTGTTTCACGGCTCTGCTTCAAACCACCTCGGCCGGAGTATGGCACAAGGCCCCTCAGCGAAACTATATTCCTCGTCGCTTCATGGCGGCGATGGAAGGACGCTACATCAATGACGGGCACTGTCTCCATTTCGACCCTATATGAAGCCTCGTACGTCCCGTGTTGCTCTAAATCATTCTTTCTCCGTCCAGCTGAATGAGCATTTGGCCTTCACGGCCTCAAGGCCTCACCTCTTACACTGGTACTGAAAGTTCGATCTCCTACATCATCTCTAGCCACACCGAATGAAACCTCCGTCTGTTTCGTGTTCCCCCTTAAGTCTATGACGATGAGACCTATGACGGCCTCCCCAATCTCAAACACGCCCGACACCTACTAGAGGTTCTTGCCCGTTGTCTTGACCAACTAAACACCCGCTTCTGCCACCTCCAACCTCTCCGCACGCTTGGCAAACTATTAGGCATGCACATCCTTCAATTTCTTGCTTCGTTCGCAGCCCTCTCCACGCTGGCTAACGGTAAGTTCTTCCCTTATATAGTATATTTCACCAGTGAACGACTTGAACAGCGCACCCTGGCGGAGAAGAATTGATGGAGAGGGTGAGTCGTCTCCGGTTCTTCACCACTCATCGTATCTATCGAATTTCGTACAGGACGAATTTAGAGCTCGTTCGCTCCAAGCTCGCAGCTGTTCCTCCCAAATAGCCCGATTTGTCGACATGCGCAGAGCCCTCCGCGAACCGAGGCCCCTTAGGAGAGGCAGCGGAGGTCAAGATAGAGATAACGATGATGACAATCACAGTGGGGGCCGATACACTGACATACAGAATGTGTGTCTCCCTTCTATCTTACATTTTTCTCGCTCCCTGATCGCTGAAACACTCCAGTTCACTTGCGTTACGGCGCCAGAGGTCACCGAGGGCCCGTACTACGTCGGGAATGAGTACGTTCGGAACGATCTTCGCGAGAACCAGCAGTAAGTTATTGACCTCAGTCAAGGATAATGCTTATTATTGAACTTTATTCCAGAGGTGTAACGCTCATCCTCGACATCGGCGTCATCGATACGACCACCTGCCAACCTTTCCAAAACGCCTTCGTCGACCTTTGGGCAGGTGTGTCTTCCTTTCACCTCTTTCCTCTATCCTTGTCGTCTGATGCAAGACACATTGGAAAGCGAATTCCACGGGCTTCTATGGCGGGTACCAGGGTGGGAACATTCACCAGGATACCTGGCTGCGCGGTGGCGAGTTCACAAACACCCGCGGGATGGTCGAGATCACGACTATCTTCCCTGGGTTCTACGTGAATCGGACGGCGCATGTGCATATTATGGTACATAAGGGCTCGGAGGCGAGGCCGAACGGGTAAGTTCACTTCGTTTCATTTAGTCGTATTGAAGGTAACATTTGACTTGTGGGATAGGACAATCATCTCGAGCTCTGGGACAACCACACATATCGGGCAATTCTTCTTCGACGAAAGCTGGAACGACCAGGTCTACGCTACGCATCCGTACAACACCAACACGCAGGGCCGTACGTTGAATAGTCAGGATTGGTTTATTGGGAGTGCAGAGGGACAGGGATTCGTCCAGTAAGTGCTCTTTCTAACCCAGTTTGTGATTCTGGTTCACTCTGTGCGCTCCACCAGCATGCAATACCTCGGAAATTCGCTCGATGACGGCCTTCTGGGCTATATTAGTGCGTGTTTTTTCACTCTCGCTGATGAATTTTGCTGATTTTCATTCAAACTAGCCGTCGCCGTTGACGGCTCCAAGAACTACACGGTGCAAGGGAAGAACGAACTTTAGACGTCTAGACCTTCGAGTTTGGCTGTGCAAGATTCAAATGTATTTTTAGCCCCCGTTACACTGTGTCCTTACTGTACTCTAATTCACAAGTCCGATAAGTGAAGAAGTTGCACAGCACCTCAGTACGCCATCCAGGAGAGCAAAGATTCTCTGAGGATAGCCGTTCTAGTGTCCTTCACAAGAGAAACGCGAGAGTACGGAGAGGCCATACAACAGATTAATTGAAGTCTGAGAAGCCCCGATCCATGAGAAACACAGCTCGTTCCCGGCCGATGAGAACCCGCGCGAGTCTATTTTACTCGACGGGAGAATGAAGAGGCCCGTCCTCTTCCCTTGTACCTTCTCGTCTTCTAGACGATGCGTTTCACCTGGGATTTTGAGGTACGAGTCAATCGCCGCACCTGGTACCTGCATTATACGTCGAAGCATTGGACAGATTCTGAGCGAAAAGTAGAAGAGACGGGCGGACGTGGGAGAGGAACTGCCGGTGTTAATTAGAGGTGAGAAGGCAGGGGGGATGGAAGGCGTATAGATAGCCTTTAAGCGTCTGAGCGAGGTCCCTTGGGTGAGCGACGAGAGGCCGAGAGATGTCGAGTGACCAAAAGATGACGAGAGTGTGCAGGTGTGAGAACAGAGTATGGCCGTAAATCTCGAGAGAAGGGAATCCAGGTATGAGGATTGGACCACCAGATGTAAATAGGCGTGTGTCGAGAGATCTAGCTTCCTAGTGGCGGCGAAGCGCCCTGGCGATGCCGAGATGGACGAGATGGATGAGACCAGGACAAAGGCATTTAGTCGTTGACTGGGTGGAGAACAACTCGAAGTTTTAGATGTTGCTCCACAAAAAAGTTTATAGGATTGATCTTCCTGACCAAACTCCCAATGGTCGTGTATGTATCTATCAAAGGACACGTCCAAATGAATGAATTCTGAATTGAACACGGTGGATAGATCGACTCACTTTCCAGCCTTGTACTTTCAAAGAACTTCCCAACACGACAGCGCCGCAGCGAAGGGAATGGAGAAACTCGGGGGGTACGGCGAGAGTTGGATATGAAATCTGATTTGTACCTTGCTCCAACGTTGGCGACGGCGGGAAATGTATCGGTGGACCAGCCTCGAGTTCATACGGATGCAAAGAAGAAATCAATATACATGTACCTCCAGGCTCGACTTGGGCCGAGTATAATGGGGTCTCCAGACCACCATCGAGCAGCAAGGCCCGTCGCGGTTGCTGAACCCTCCCTGCACCGTTCGTGTGAACGGTCATGCCACTACGTAAATATGTTGGGTCTAGAGCATGGGGGTCAACGGGTTGCGAGGCGCAAGTCCGCCTTCGAACGGCCTGCTAAAGGTAAATGGTTAAATTAATCTGAGCTCGGAGGACGATAGATTCTGGAGGGTAAAGGTAGACGCACGATGAGCGACGATCCCTTTGGATAATGCCGCTGGCAGTCCGGCGGCAAGCACTGTTAAATGAAAGAGGAACATGAGCTCATTAATTTCGCTCCAGAGAGACGGAACACGAGGCGTAGGCGTTTGCGCGCTTGTATTACGTTGTCGTCCTGTTCGTCGTCCTGACTCCCAAACTTGACATGAGGTGAAGGGAGCCCCGAGCCGTTCGCGCCGTACAATACGCGTTACGCGTAGCAGGGCCGTGCGTCCTTTAGAGGCTTAGGCCCTCGATCGGGAGGTTTGGCGAAATGTGCGAACCGGAGAATTATTGGAAAAAGGAAACTTTAAAAAGACGAGAGAAATAGACATTCGAACAATGGCCCCGCTGGCGACAAGACGGAGGGGCGTAGGCTCGTAGAAAGATGGATTGGCGGTCCCGGCCCCGACTCGGAGACTCTCGTTCATGTTCGTAATACGGTCGGAGCCTGTAGCGAGGCGCGCTGTGGCTGGGACAAGAAAGAGAAAAGCGCTGGGCGCAGAAATTGAATAGGAAGTGTGCATCTGGACGAGCAGGCACTTGAGCTCTATAAGAGATCGGCGTTCAGCACTTCTCGCGACGGAAGCAAACTTCGAAACTTACCTCGAGGCAAGCGATCCCACGTTATTTCCAGGGGGAACCGTGATGATTTGGGTGCCCGGAGTTTCGCGAGAAGAGGCTGGTCCAGTACAGGACGAGAGGCACTGCGATTGGCTGGGAACGTGAACACTAGATGGGCGTCTGGCATCGAGACTTCGGACTTGGTCGCAGAGACTTTTATGCCCAAGGTGAAGTACATCTTGCTTGACGACGAACGAATGTTGAGCCAGTGAACATGGCATGGAATTGATGCATCCGTGGCCTATTCATGTCGAGCCGTCCGAGTCGAAGCCTGGGCGGACGTTAGATCCAAAAAATGTCTATCTCACTCAAGTACTCAACTTCACTATGAGAGGGAACACTTTGGCGTTCCCGTTATTGGGTGCAGTAATATTTTGGCTAGCGTCTGGCGTCGTCGCACAGGGGACGCGGGACGTAATCTAGATTAGACTTCCAATTAGTTTTGGCGAGACTGATCTGAGCGTAGCGGAGAAGAAGTTTACGAGAAGGCGGCACTCACACGACGCGGAAGGGTCGCGGTGTACAAAATCTCAGGCGAGCCAACCCCAGCACACCTTTCTCCCTTCCCTTCCCCACGCGTTCCTTCCGTGCGAGACGTCCTCCGAGCCTACGAATAGTGGCTGTGGACGATTCCGTTGGCGTCGGTGTGCAAAGGTGCGTGGGACTTTGTCGTGTGTTGTTTCCCGACGATGGCGAGCAGCGATTTCCTTGCAATCACCACCACCATGTCTTGTCTCAAATCCCCCGATCTATGGCAGAACACTGATATCAGCCTCGACAGCTCTTGTCTCCGTATAACCCAACTCACCGGTCGTCCTCCATACGGAGATAGGCACTATCTTCACCCCTCTTTCGACTTACCTCTGCCGCCTGTGTTGCTGGACTTCACTTGAATCCGAACTTCGAACCTCGAATATGGGCACCACCGAGCCAGATCCGTTCGCGATCTTTCATACACCACCTCCAGACGAGACGCCGGGCGAAAGGGCGGTACGAGAGGCGAAGGAGGCGGAGGCGAAGCGGGTCAGTGATATGATCGACGACCAGCTCAAGGCGGAGAAGCTGGCGCTAAAGAAGGACAAGTACGTCGTGCGGGTGCTGCTGCTGGGGCAGTCGGAGAGTGGTGCGCCCTCCTCTTTTCCACCTTGTCATTGTGCTCACCGATCTCCCTAGGAAAGTCAACAACGCTCAAGAGTCTGCCCATCTTCCATCCCCCATCTCGTGGGCATCCTCACTCACCTGTTTGCAGACTTCCGCATGCGCTATGCCAAAGCCGCCTGGGAGGCCGAACGCGCATCCTGGCGGTCCGTCATCCAGCTCAATATCATCCGCTCGATTATCACCATCGTCGAGGTGCTCCAAGCCGAGATGGACGGCGACCCCATCGAGCCCGGCACACCTACGACGCCCTTCTCGCCCTTACCCCAAAATATGCCCCTCTTTGCACCCCCGCGCCCTGAGTCGCCCGCCCTCGGCACGAGAACACACTCGATGTCCAAGCAGCCACTGTCGTCACTCCTGACGGACAAACACCAGCTTCTCAAGCTCCGCCTGGGTCCGCTACGAAGAGTGGAGACAGACCTGAAGCGGAGGCTTGGGGAGGGCGCTATTGAGGAGGCCGATGGGGCTGCTGCGAACCTGGGTGCGCTCAACCTTCGCCTCGACCTCGACTCGAGTTCGGGGTCGGGGTTACTAATGAAGAAGCAGAAGAGCGAATGGGGCGTGCACCGACTGCAGGAGGCGCTGGAAAAGAGTTCCTCACCCCGTGTGGGTAGCCTGCACGGCCATGGCAGCGATAATGGCAGTGGAGAGGGCGGTAGTGACGATGCTACGGACGTCATCGCGAGCTGTCGAGAAGATATGCAGGCGCTGTGGTCAGATGAAGCGGTCAGAGTCGTGCTGAAGAAGAGGAGGTTGCGGTTGGAGGATTCCGCGGGGTTGTACGCACCGTACCTTTCTTCATCTTTTGTTCGTTTCCCTGACGTCTTGCAGCTTTCTCGACGATCTCGACCGGATAGCCCAACGTAACTACGAGCCCTCAGACGACGACGTCGTCCGCGCTCGTCTGCGTACCCTCGGTGTGCAAGAATACCGTATCTCATTCGAACCCCAAAATACCGCAATTTTCGCAGGTGCGTTGGACCTCTCGCTCGAGCCCCGGCCTAAAGCGTCTATTGACCTTGAATGTAGGCGGAGTTGGTGGTAATGCGGGCAAGGAGTGGCTGTTGTATGATGTGGGCGGATCGAGGACAGTGGTGCGTCCTTTTGAGGTGCATATATGCGCTTTCTCTGACGCAATCTTGATGTTGGCAGAGACACGCGTGGTTGCCGTTCTTCGACAACGTCCAAGCTATCATCTTCCGTGCGTCTTGGGCCTATTTTCGTGGTTTCTGTGATGTTGATGTATGTTCGTCAACTGTTCTAGTTGCTCGTAAGTCTCCTTACATTTTTTGCCGTCGTCTTTCTTCATGACCCTTCCAGCCGTATCCTGCTTCGACGAGCGCCTCTCCGAGGATTCCAAGATCAACCGACTCGAGGATTCGTTCCTGCTTTGGAGATCAATCTGTGGCTCGAAGCTGCTCTCGAAAGCGTCGATGATCCTATTCCTCAACAAGTGCGATCTATTAAAGAAGAAGCTCAGGTCGGGGATTCCAGTCAAGAAATACCTACCCAGCTACGGCGAGCGGCCGAACGATGCCAGCGCCGTCGTAAAATGTGAGTGGGGTCCGTATATGCGGGTGTTGGGTGGTACTGACTGCACCTCGACGTTGGCAGACCTTAGGGAAAAGTTCAGGGAGATACTGAAGCAACAGTCGCCTGAGATACGGCAGAGCTACTTTTATGCTACAACCGTCATCGTACGTCCTTCGTCTTCTCAACAGCGTCGCACGTCACTAACTTCAATGGCTGTCATCAAAGGATACGAAGGCCACCGCGACGACGATCAAGGCTGGTAAGTTCAAGTTCATTCGCATCTTCCATTACTCTTTTCGTTATTCACAATTGTCGTTAAAGTGAAAGACAGTATCATTCGAGACTATCTTAAGAACGCCGAAGTCGTCTGAGACCATCCACATCCCTCACGAACTGCGCACGACATCCTTCTTCGACATCGCATCCATCGCATCCTCTAATTACCACCCTCGGTATACATCCTTACGCCCACACGCCCCCTCTCCACCACTACGACAGTCATCTATCGTCCACATTACTATCCTATCTTTTGCTGATACCTCATCTATTTTTATACTTCCATCTAAGCGTTGATGTCGTTATATGCTCACTTATTCGGTCGGCCTGGCTGCTGCTTTCTTGGTCTTTATTGTACGTACACACGTAGAGTAGATTTTCGATGTCTAATGAAATTGTTTTCGCCCCTCGCCTCATGGAAAGCTTGTGTACGGTGCCCGAGATCAGATCAACTCGGGGAACGCCTCGAGGACGAACGTCTGTTGATTCTTGAAGTGCGCTGGCTCGCAGAGATGATCTGTCGAAATCCTGCATAACGAAATCTACGGCAAGAAAGAGGATCATCTTGTCATATTGGGTGTGACGGACAGCAGAGCGGGAAGTGATGTAGGAAGGTGCCCACGGTCAACAGTCAACGGGAAGAACCATGATGGATCGTGTTCTACGGCCCTCTAGTCTTTGTGCAGAAGGTGGATGAGACAGACGTGCACGCACTTATTCTGCCAGGCTAGCAGAAGCAAATTTATTACAAAATTAGAGCAACATACCTGAATGGATGTATGGGCAAGCAGCACGAATAGATGTGCAAGTCTGGCCAAGGAGAAATATTTTCTGCGAGGGCTTCAATTCCAATAACACGACCGAAAAATGATATCATTGCAGGGAGGTAATAAAGCGAGAGTTTAACTTCACATTAGTATCCTTGAAACCACGATATGCGGGGAACTGAAGTGCGCTCGGTGAACATATCAGACCAAGACCAATGTATGTTTTCCATCACCCCGGAGGACATCTACCATCATGATACATAGCTGCTGTCAGAGTTATCAGAAGAAGGGCGTCAAAAGTGAAGCCAGCACCTTCAGCCATTCAAAGAATAAGCCTTCCACAGGGGGCGTCGATAATCCGATAATCGAAGTTCGAAGCCGGGAAGGGCGCCAGTCATGACATGAATTCACGTCAAGGTGATGCGCATTGGCAAGATGGACCTTCGTGTCATAGACATATCATAGATTCAAATTCGGTGGAATGGTCCAGGGGCTTCGGGCAACACGTAGTTCCTTCGCCGTGTCTCTACTGGGACTCGAGCCCATGGCACTCGAATAGAGATTCATAGGAGAAAAGTTCGTCTTTCGCGAGATATTCAGTCTCGACACGGGAGAAACTGCGGCTTTCTTCCTCGTCGATGCCACAGAGGTTTCGTTACGTGTCGTTCATCCACCCACCTATAAGGCTCTTCGATCCCTTCCGCAATCCCTCCACGGAAATAATTTGCTTCATCCTAAGCCTTTCCAATGCCACTCATTTCCTCATCGTTCCCAGAAGGAACCCGAGCCGCGCGGCGCTGAATCCCACTTCTCACAATTCATGTCGAGGGTGAAGCACCGAATCATATCCAAGAAAAGAAGAAAGCGCAAGTGCCTATATCATCGCTCTCAGCGAGGAAAAGAGCCGGCTCAAATTCTGCCTGACAAAGTCCATGGCCACCGAAACCCGGAGGATCATCCAGGTAACGACTGGGGCGCCATGGACGATGACAGAAACGGCTCTCTTCCTATGCTAAGCGAACGGCTCGCAGGCAAGGATTAACCAAATAGATATAGCAAAGATCATGCGGCGACACTGAATCGACGTCAAGCTCTGGAAGAGATAGACAATTGGTCCGATTCCGAGAAGCGCTGCGAGGAACAAACGAGGATGGTTCGAATATGCCCCGTCAGCGCGATGGGACCATTGGGCATATCTCTTCCAGAGTCAACACTCTTCAGTGCGTAAATTACGCCAGAGTCAATTCGTGAGGTTTCGTGAGGTTTCGAGTAGGCAAAAAAAAAGCCATGCCCGAGCATCGATGGTTAAGAAAGAAGAGAATGAAAACGTCATCTGCCAGACGAATGCAGGGGTATCAGCAACTCGGATAACGTGCGCGATGAGCGGCGAATCAGATAGCATCTAGGCATCGGACCGCCGAGTACGCGCGAACTTCTGGCCTATCTGCGGTGAATGAGAGCGCAGGCCACGGCGAGTTGGGGCATTTCCCTTTCGCCGTATATTCGAAGTGGGTAACAAGCAGGGATCAAAGCCGATAATGGAGATAGCGAGGAGAAAGATCAAAAAATGTGGATTGGGGAACAAAAAAAAAGGATGAAAGGAAGAAACGACGCACGCCTTCTCGCTCGCACATTGCCCAGAAGGCACTCCTCCTATCTCGCACATCGAGAACTCGTGACTACTACACCCCACCATCGATGCCGATGCAAACACCACAGAGCCATGGATAACAGCAAGACTCTCCTTATACAATGACATTCTCCAGTGCCGTACGAAATCGGCGCAGCCTGGGCTCGAGTGCAATTGCGTCGGTGTCGGCGTGGGACGGTGCGAGTGTCAAGTCGGAGTATACTCTACTCACCTCATCCAACCCTCAATCCTCTAGATCGCAGGATCGGAATACTCACTCCCCCACTCCGACATCCGTTCTTCCTGATAATGAACTCACAGCCAGGGAATTCACCTTGCACTACATCGTGTGTGCGGCGTTTTCCCTGCCTGAGAACCGGACCGAACGAGAGTCGGAGGTGAAGCGTTGGTGGACGATGGGCGATAGTGATGTCGACTCGGCCAGAAAAATGAGGTGTGACGAAGAGCCAGAAGGAAGGGATAGAACCGAGTTCAATGGGCGGTTCTGGTGTCGCCAAACATCCCACCCCGGGACGACCGTCGATCGACGCCCACGCCGACGTAGCGAACATATCACACAGAAACGCGGCCGATCTCGCAGTGCGGTGCGAAATGGGCGCAGCTTGAGTGTGGATGCAATCTGGGCTTGCATCGGCGTGGTACGGTGTAAGGGAGTGGGCGGAGGCGTTGTGGACTGCGGTCTAGTAGCAGTGCTCGACTAGATGTAGTGGAAGTGGTGGCGCGGGTGAGAGGAAAAACGAGGCCTGGCGTTCGAACACGAAGCAAGGGGAAGATAAGATAATATCTTCGTGATAAGGACCCGACGATCACCGACTCTCTCTGTCTCTCTCGCCGAAAACCCGAAAATCGAACAAAATAAATTGACTCGAGGAACAGAATATGCGCCTAGTGTTGCGCGAAGGCTACGACAATTGATGAGTACATATATAAAGTACAGCGTTTATTGTGGTAATTTATTTGGTTAAGTAGTCGATTCAGGATACGGAACGGGGTTTGAGGAGTGGGTAAGGTAGAGTAGAAACGAGAAAAGAGGACAGGGAAGGCAGCCTAGATATTAGACGAGCATAATTTCGATTGTGGACAGGTCAAAGCCGAGACGGAAGAAAGGGACGAGAACTGAATTGGGAGATGGGGTGGGTTTGTTTGATCTCAGGTTTCGTGGTCGGTATTGTTGGTAATGAGTTTTGTTGAGACGGTAGGCGTGGACGTGTTGGTTTGTTCTTCGACTCCGAGCGCGGTGGTGACGATTCACCGAGACGGCGTCCGTCGGTCTCGGGCGAAGCCTAATCGCCCCTCGTCCTCGACTTGGACCTATCCTTGAAGATATTCCCCGCTCCTCCCCTCCCCGTCGACTCATACTCCCCACCCCCATACTGCCCATGCACCGGCTTTTCGATCGCCGGCTCGTGCGCGGCCGTGATGTTCGCAGCGCCGCCCCTGCCCGTCGAGTGCACCCCTTCATGGGCGGCGGTGGTAGTAGAGTACTTCCTGCGCTCGTCCTCGTCTATCTCCTCAGCGACGCTGTGCCCGGCGTGGATGTTGCCTGCGCCGCCGCGCCCGGTGGAGAAGACAGCTGCGGTGCCTGTGGTTGCGGTGGTACCCTGGGAGGTGGGGTCGCGAGAGCGGGAGCGGGCGATGTTGCCGAGGCCGCCGCGGCCGGAGGAGCGCTATATGAGAGGAAGGGGTAAGTAAATGGATGGAGGGGGGATTTGAGCTAATCATGAGGAAGATTCCGAGGTCCGGAATGGACGGAATATGGGGATGGCTCGATACGAGGATGAAAGGATGGTGGGTAAAGGAATAGGGATGAAGGTGACAAGGTGGACGAGGAAAGGATGAGCGAAACGAAAAAAAAAAAACTCACCGCAGCCCCTTCCTGCGATGCCACATATTTCTCGATCACGTCCTGCTCCGTCGAGTCGACGGGCGCAGATGGCTTGCTCGGATCGCGCGATGGCGAGCGTATGTTGCCTGCACCTCCTCGTCCAGTCGAGAAGACCTGCAAACCAAGAATAGATCAGCATCCGATCCCTGCGATCTCCTTTCCCCCGTAATAAAATTGCAGTACGGGGCGAAAGGTGTCCCGTGGGGCGAAAAGAGGAAGAAGGACCGACCTCGTTGGGATGGGCAATGGGCTCGCGGCCACGGGTTACGGAAAAGTCGTCTGGTCCGGTCTCAGGGCGGTCGCGCGAGAGGGAGGCCTGGCGGATGTTCCCCAGTCCGCCTCGTCCGGTGGATTGCTATAAGCCCGCCAAAAAGGAGCTCTGGTCAGCCCAAAGCCGACGATGTACACGAACGAGCACGTACGAAAGCATCGCGGCCGCGAGAGGTAGAGCGTTCGGCTGACATTTGGAGTGTGTGTTAATGCGCTGGGTGAGTGGAGATGATGGGAGAGACGAAAGAGCGGAAGGGGTCTTTATAGAAACGGAAGTGGGGTGATTGACAGACAGAGCCTCATCGGGCCAGCCCACCGACCGACCAACCCCTGCGCCCAGCGCAACGCCGTCGATCCAGCCCATGCCCAATGACCACGAAAAGGCACAGAAAGCCGTCGAAAAGAGACAGCGGAACGCACGAGATAAGATACGCTACGGGTCCAAGATAAGCGCACAGCGACCTTATCTCTCTTATCTCGGGACCGCCTCTCTCTTTCGAACCACCACCATCGCCTCATTTCCGCGTAGTTGTAAAAGCGACACTCACTGCGCGAGTAGATGGGGGCGATCGAGTCGTTTTCCTCCCCGCCGTCCGCTCCGTGCGTCAGCGTGCGACCAAGCTTTGCGCCCAGGGCAGAGATTTTGCTTGATAGGGAGATCCGCCGCGAAGGCGAAGGCGAAGAGGTGCGTTCAGCGAGTGCGGTGGCCATTGTCGTGGTGCTTTCGTAGGTGGATGGGGAAGCGGATGAAGAACTGTGGTGGGAGGACGAACGTGCGAGTGCGGTAAGTCTCGCTTTATAAATGCTTGGGTGGCCTGTGCGTTCCTTGTTTTCCTAGTCCCTCTAGGTCCCGGCGTCCAAGCTCCCATACGCCATTTTTCTGCTACTCCTCGCTCTCGAGACCCGGGATTTGGCCTCTTTCGCCATCCAACGTGATCTTCGCCTCATCAGACCACCACGGCTCATTTCTCCGCCTGATTCGATTTCGCCATACACGTTCCTATGTTACAACTGCCACACACCGTCACGTCCGTCTGACCTCCCCGCAGTGCTCCCATCTATTCGTCCTCCCTTCAATCATTCTCTGCGTCCAGGAGACCTCTCCATTTCGGCTCGGATCTGGATCCTATGGCATCATGCGACGTATGTTCTGCCATCTCCTTCGCCCTTTCGCTCGTTCGGCCGTAAAGGTGTACGTATTTCACACCTATACATCTGACATGCCATCTGTCGTTTTCTTCCTATGTTCCGAAGCCGCCATTTACCGTTGCCCGCCCTCGCGTTCTCGTGTCCAAGCCGGAGGTTCCTTTGGGATCCTTCCCCTGAGGCTCCCCATACCCCGACATCTGGGTCTCCTGGCCCGATGGTCCGACAGCCTCAACGTACATGGTCGCGCCGTCTTTGGAGGGTATGTATATGTTCGTGTCGCTGTTCGTCAAGTGAATAGGCTCGTAGCTCGTGTCACAACTTTACAGCACGAACACCAATCTCGTAACTTGGCTTCGCCCCGAGTACACATCTTCTCTTCGTCTTCGTCTTCCGGAAGATTTTCCTGATGACTACAGTGCTCCATCTGTTGAGCACCCTCGACGTCAGCGCGCTGTATTCTGATGATTATCCCTCTCTTCCTTCTGCCTGCCGCCCGACGTAAGCAATTGTACCCCATCTTCTGTCACATCTTCTGTCTTTCTCGTTCTATCACTGTGATCTTTCGTCTCCTCGCCGACGTCTTCGTCTTCGTCATCGTGTTCCGCCTTCCCTCCCCTGATTTTCGTCACCTCTCGCGGCCTACTCCGAATAGCGAATAGCCCACTTATCACCCAGGCACCGACCACTCCTCAAACGCCCACCGCCCAACTGCCCAGGTACATACCCAAGCCGCCAAGTACGCGCCACCCCCGCACGCCAAGGCCCAAGGTCCAGAACACGTCATATGCGTGGGTGGTCACATGGACCGCTGAACACAAATTCATTTGCGGTTTAGCTCATCAGTGTTCAGTGTTCAGTAAATACTTTCAGTGTTCAGGTGCGCACTGTCTTCCTTGGACGTTGGCCCACGGTGAGTTTTTCGCTATCGACAACGATTTCCCCCCTCCTCCTCATCGACGTTGCTCCTGGTTGGCTCGCAGGGCGCATATACTCGCCTCGGACACGGCACGGATGACACGGACGTTCAAAGATATCCAGACTCCGGTAGGTAGACGCACGATGGCGCCACGATGGTGCATGGTTTGTTCGCTCAGAGTCTTCCATCCGTAACGTCGACGACAGCAGTGCAGTTGCCATCTGCCGTTAGTCTACAATGTACATAGATTCTATTCCCATGGGCCATGGCTAGTCTACTTTTACTCCGCTGTTCGTGTCATGTACCGCGTCGAAATGACATTCTTTCACGAACGTCGTTGGTTGCACGCCAATCAATGTTGATATGACTTCTCAACTTTCGTGGCAAGATGGTAGGCTCGAACCTGGGGTAAGCACGAGAAGCTCTGTCCAACGTCCAAGCCGTGTAAGAAATAGAAATGGCAACATCTTGCAACGACTCCATCGAGCCGAGTGTTCTCAGCCTACGCCAGGGCGATAATCCCTCAACACCGAACCCATTTCAGAGACCTCTTTCTGATTCAAAGTCATTCAAAAGGAGGGTCCTCCGAATGCAAATTATATCTTCGTACTCCCTTTTCCATCCCTCTCGTGCCTTTCCGAAGAGAAAAGGGAGAACATCGGGAGATGCTCGTTGGCTGGATTTATTTAAAAGGCGGAATGTAGAGAAAATTCACGCCGATATTATTTTGGGCGGTTCGATGGGTGATAGACTCCATTGAGAGAGATATTCAGTCGGATGGAAGGGTGAAAGTAGGGCCTTTGGATCGTAGTGATCCTAAGAGTGCGAAATGGGGGGTTCGAAATATGAATTTGAGGGCGAACGGTATTATTTCGCTCCCCGTTCCGAGGACTGGGTAGAGCAAAAGAAAAACAGTCCGGATCCACCTTGTGAATGTCGGAAATATCTGGCCAACGCAGTGTGATCCCCTGACCGGTATTCACTGGTATTCCCCCGGCCAGTTGAAATCATGCATGCGTGAAAATCGAGAGTGACGGCACCCATATGCTGTCGAATAGGCTAAAAGAGACCGTTGGTTGACCGACGCAGGTGGTCTTGATGAATCCTTTTTTTTTTTCTTGAAACGGAAACGCTGAATCCACACAACGAAAGGTCCGGTTGCATCGTCCTCAACGTCAACCTTGACGCCGTCGTCGCGCTACCCACCACTTTGTCTTCCACATGCTTAAACCCGGAGATTAAAGTGATATGAAGATGTCGTGTCTCTAGGCATTTAGTGTGGATGATTAGCGCATGTTCGAAAGAATAGAGACGGATAAGCAAACATTTAACGGCTCGTCAAAAAAAGTGGAAGTGCCGTGGTTGTCGTGCTTCGAATGCCCATGGGAGTGTATTTAAAGTGAGTTGGTATCCTCTATACACAATTTCAAACGTAGGAAAGTAGCGCTAGCTCTGTCGACGATGTGGAAGAGCTGAATCGGAAAACCGAGAGCTGAGCCTGTGTATTCAGGGAATCGGCCGAACCGTGCCGATGATAATCAAATTGCATCTTATCTTATCTTCCTACCCATCCTCGAGCTGCGAACCAGCCACAAAGAAAGCTTGTGCTTCTTCTCTCCTTCCACAACATCGCCCCGCCCGCAGCCTTTCCTTGTACTTCGTTCCTCTTGCCGCTCAAGCGCTCACTTGCTGCACCCGCACTCTATCCGCATAGTATAGGCCTACTCGCCGATCCCTCTCAGAGTCTCGCCGTTCTTCACCATTATCATGTAGCCTGATCTAAGATGCTTGTGGTATCGACTCTCGCAGCCCTGGGGTCAACGGTGATTGTGAGTGCGCGGCCCTCTGTGCAATGTCACCAGCGTGGTGATTGTGGCTCTTCATCTACATGTGCGAGATATGCTGATTTCGATTCCTATCCCAAGCGCCGCGCATGCTACGACGCGAGCCCCGTTTCTCCTGTACAGAAACCAGAGATGCGAAACTCGCTCTTGCTGACTATACCAGGACATGGGACTGTCGCCTTCTTCTCGCCATCTCTATAACTCCCCTTCGAGGACGTCCTCTGTCGCTCTGGAGTCGAAATAGGAGAGACAAGCACTCCGATATTCACGCAGACGGCGTATCGATAGATCTTTTGATATGTCTTCGTCCTTGGAGCGTGTGAGCCCTCTTCAGTGCTTCATCTCTCCTTCTTTTCCAACTCTCTTGATTTGGCGTTCTCTGCGGTTCCGCAGTGCTTGCTCTACCGCCCTTGCCCATTTCCTCCATGACAAATTCTTGTACTAGGAAGACATCTCGAGAATGACATTTCCCGCTCGACCTGCTTATTCTCAGTCTGCCGGCCTTAGCAACAAGTCACAAGGCAGCAGATCGACTGTCCGTCCAGTCCGACCTCTGCTCTCTGTCTCCGACGAGCAGATGCAACCTGGTATTTTCGCTTCATTGATGGTCCGTGTGTGTGTGTCATCTCAGGAAGGGTCCTATGACATGCTTCTACGATTCATACGGGAGGGTGGTAGCACTCGTTGCGTCATTATGCCGACCTGTGGCCTTATTCGGCGCGACGCAGTTGGGGTTTCTTCGAACGAGGGCTGTGGGATGAACTAGCTCACGACGCGGCTACTGGAGAAATTTACTTGAGAGGATCCTTCATCTCCCGACAAAGGGAGAATTCTCGATCCCGAAGTTCTGAAAAGCCTTCGAGGATCAATACCTCTTGTCTCGTCTCGTACTTACACAGGGCCCAGGGGATATAAGCGCATAACACTCACTATATGCTATCTGCTATTAGCACGAAGGACCACAGCAATGACAACGGACTCCAATCAGGCGCTAGCACTGTTGAATTGAGAATGCCGACGAGCAAGGACTCTTGCAATCCGGATGAATAATGAATGAGAGTGTTGGATGACGCTGGGCGCTCAGAAGCAGTGCACACCATACCTTCAGAGGACTTACATTTTGAGAAATAAATAGAAGGGCAGCTCACATATTGGCGCTCGGGGGTGCACAACGTTCAGTCGGCAGAGACATCTACCGTTGGCAGCCATATTATAATTACCGCTTACGGAAATGAAGTGAACGACTTGTGCTTCTTCACGGACTCAGCACAATAGAAATAGGATCTATCAACTTTTGTGAATATGTGAATTTGCGAAGTAATCGCCCGGTCCTGCTTCGCCTGACAAGGTATGAGGAGCGAGCTTCCGTCACTGAGGTATTGGAAAAAGATGGGGGAAGGAAGGAGGACCGGTGTGCAGGACTCGTAACTTGGTCATCCCGAACGGATTTCAGTAATATGCGCCGAGCCGGCAATGCCAATAACCGTCGGCACACCCTGCTGACAGTTATTGGAGGTACACCCAACGTCCATTGGCATCCACTGACATCCACTGACATCTGTTGCATATAAAATAAATCTCTATTGTCCTCCACTTACATGTACTGACCGCCAATAGCCTCTAATGTCCTCCAATATCTCAAAATACAACTGCTAACAACATCCACTGGCCGTCGTTGGATTTCATTGACTGCCAGTCAACATAACTAAGTATTCACCTGGCATGACGACTTCGTGCATCGAGGAGAAGAGCATGCCGCGTAGTTAATTTCTACCACAGCGCCTTGCATACTGACCAATATTATACGAGAAGAGGTACACACATAATATGATAATAAATCGGCATATATATGGCAAAAAATGTTATACCAGACCGCAGTTAGGGGAGCTACAACACCAATGGCGGATATTTTCCGCAGCTGGGATGCGGGAGTTGAATTCCTTGGCGGGTGGTCGCGCTATTGGGTTACCGTGACAATGGGGAGGCCTGCTGCACGCGTCGATCAATCATGACTCAATTAGAAATAGGCGCCCACAATCTAGAATAACGAGACGTACCCGAAGCCCAGAATTATTCCCATCCATTGGGCCGGCCTTTGTGGTTCATCGGTTTCTTGAACATGAGATTGAACGAGCAAGAGTGTCGAGGACGGCCGAGAGGGGATCAGAGGATGGTGTCCGAGAACCACAATTAGAATTTAAATTTCATAGTCCATATTGTCGACTGCCAATGGGTCCCAGTAGACGCCATTAGGGGCCAACGACCGCCATTGGATACCACTGGAATAAGGACATTGAGATACTGACAGATGATGGCAGGGACAACGAGATCAATGTCCCCGGATAGCCGACATTGTCCAACAGTTTCCACCAATTTCCACCGATGGCTATTGGTGGTCACCAATCTCTTTTCCAGTGCGGGGCATATAACTCACGGATTTCGAGATGCAAGGAAACAAGAAACTTTGACGAGACGGTTCTTCGGAGTTAAGAGGGCCAAATATCGCCGCCCAAAGACTCCCGTATCAAAGTTAAGCGCTGTTTATGGGAATCTAAGAAAATGATAAAGTTTGAACAAGGAATTGGAAGCGAGCACAAGGATAATACACACAGAGGGCGAAAAACAAGCGAAAGAGGGATCCGAATGCGAACATGAACAGAGACAACCGATGTCGAAAATACGAATAAGAAAAGAACTGTCCACTCACTCCCCCCTCGTCGCCTTGATCTCCCAAAGCCCCTTCGGACCCCTTGCCAATCCCTCAAACACAACCTTCTTCCCCAAGAAATCCAGCTGAACGACACCCCGACCCACCAACGTCCTGTCCTGCCCACACCTCGCCTGGAACGCCAGCGTAATCGCCAGCCGCTCCTGCTCGCCCAGCTCCTCGTTCCAAAAATGCCGCGGGTGTATGGGTGTCTGCAACTGCGCGTGCAGCTGCTCGAGGACGTCCCAGACGGTGATGCCGCTCGGGTGGTTTTGGTGGACGTCGACGTACCAGGGGAGTTTGGGGTGGTATAAGCGGGCGAAGGGTGCAGAGGGCTGGAAGGCGAGCTGGGCAAAGTCGATGTTGTTCGGTTGGCGAGGGAGATTGAGGAAGGCGATGGAGGTTGGTGCGAGGGTGGGCGGGCGGAGGTCGAAGAAGACGGGAGGGGCGGAGGGCTGGAAGTGTAGAAGCGGGTGTAGGGCGCGTCGCGTTACGTCGGCCCATTCTATAGCACTCGAGTTAGCAGAGAATATAAAGAAAATAGAGACGATTTGCCTTTGACATCAGACCGATTCCTGCCCACTCTGGGTAGGTACGTCGCCAGCGCAATACCCCGTGGGTTGTAGTCCGCCCGCCAGTCCCTTGGCCGCCTGGCCAAATTTCGCTCATCGAACAAATCGCCCTGAGCGTATCCTGGGAACGCAGATTGCGGGTACCGCGACTCTCCTCCAGCCCAAGCCGGCTGCGAACCCCACGTCGCCGTGGTACTTCCCCACCCATTTCCAGTATCGTTCCAACGACCCCATGCATTCGCCCCTCCCCACGATGTCGACCGTTGCACCCGCCCGTCGTCCGCACCCATCGAGTTGGAGCGCTTCATCGCGCTTTGCGAGTGACTTCTGTGGCGACTCCGTCCGCTTCGCTTCCTCTCCAGCTCAGGTCCAGGTGTATGCGATTGCCGCCCCCATCCTCCAGCCCAATTGTCACCCCAACCTCTCTGCTCTCCCCAAACTCCTTCTCCACCTCCACCTCCACCTCCACCACCTCCAACAGCACCAGCACCAGCACCAGCCCCGAACCACCCGGCCGTAATCGGCTGGTCAGAGTCATACGGCGTCCCAGGTGCGCTCGGACCACCAAACCACCCTCCACCTCCACCTCCGCGCGGCTGTGGTGCTTGCACTTGCACAGGCGGGGCGCTCCACGGCGGATAGTTTGCCGGTGTAGCAGGCACACCCCACGACGTTGCACCAGGCGATGCACCCCACGTCGGTGCGGGTGTTGCGCCCCAGGGTGTGGTTGGTGTCATGGGGTTACCCCAGACGGGTGTCGTTGCACCAGGAGGAGGCCAGGCTGGTGCAGAGGCTGGGACGTAGTTGCCATACGTCCACGGTGAGGACGCGTTAGGACCCATGGCTGGGGTTGCGGCGCCCCATGATATTGCTGAGGGCGGCGGTCGTTGTGTCGGATACGGTGTTCCTCTGCCGGGTATCCAGTCATTACTGCGAGTCACGAGCTATCAGTATATCGCACCTCGAAAGCGAAGCCCAGACTAGTTAACTCACCTAGTATCTCCTCCTCCTCCACCCCCTCTCGCACCAGGAAACGCGTCAAAGAACCCTGGCTGCCCGCCGTTGCTCGCTCCGAAAGGCGGCGGGATGAATGGTGGTGGGTTCGCGTCGACAAGAGGCGGAGGTCCGCTATCGCCGGGGCTGAACATCGATGGGTCGGATTAGAATCTTGGTATCAGAATTTTCGTCGTCGTTGCGGTAGTTGAAGGTGAAGGTGAACTTGGAGTCGAGGTCGCAGTCGGAGCAGTCGCACAACGTTGGATCTGTACTCGTCCTCGCAAGGCCGCTATGAGATATAGCCCCAAAATCGCCGTATGAGCGACAGCTTGACGCTACCCAGCGTACGCAGCGGCGCTATCGATTTGGTTCCGCGGATGCTGATCGTGTCGATCCCTTCTTGGGCTCTTGCTTTGCTCGGTCCTTCCGCTTGCTTGCTGGCGTCGTCGGTGTAGCTGGGAGAGAGACGAGTAAGTTTTCCCATCCGTTCAGTCTGTTGATGTATGTGTAGGTATAACGTAGAATTACTCACTTTCGGACCCCTGGGGCGCTCTGTTGCCTAGAGCACAGCTCTGTACTGGTTTGAGAATTGATGAGACCGACGTCGGTGCTTCCCTGACGGCGGTGCGTGACGGCATTGCGAGCGTGAGATCGATGAGGGAGAGATGCGATAAGATAAGATGGGCAATGTTCTCACCCCTAACCACCGACAGTTCGAGCCTAGCTTTGAGTGGAAGAAAAAATCGAAGTGTTCACGTTCATAAATGTAGTTCCCGGGACAATTCACCTGGTTTGCGAGGAGGGTAATGATAGATCGTTCGCCCTGTCGTATTTGGTGTGGATGGTCGGAATGTTTTATCATTTTCTTAGATTCCCGTAAACGGCGCTTAACTTTGATACGGCAGTCTTTGGGCGGCGATATTTGGCCCTCTCAACTCCAAAGAACCGTCTCGTCAAAGTTTCTTGTTTACTCGCATCTCGAAATCCGTTCGGGATGACCAAGTTCTTCCCCCATCTTTTTTCCAATACCTCAGTGACGGAAGCTTGCTCCTCATACCTTGTCAGGAGAAGCAGGACCGGGCGATTACTTCACAAATTCACATATTCACAAAAGTTGATAGACGCCCGACCTATTTCTATTGTACTGAGTCCGCGAAGAAGCACAAGTCGTTCACTTCATTTCCGCAAGCGGTATGGCTGTCAACGGCAGATGTCTCTGGCCGTTGAACGTTGAGCACCCCGAGCCCCGATATGTGAGCTGCCCTTCTATTTATTTCTCAAAGTATAAGTCCTCTGAAGGCATGGTGTGCACTGCTTCTGAGCGCCCAGCGTCATCCAACGCTCTCAGTCATCATTCATAGTGATTCTCTGAGTCCTTGCTTGTCGGCGTTCTTAATTCAACAGCATTATCGCCTGATTGGAGTCCGTTGTCATTGCTCTGGTCCTTCGTCCTGATAGCAGATAGCGGATAGTGAGCGTTATGTATTTATATCCCCTGAACAAGACAAGAGGTAGTATGCCCTGGCAAGTGCACCAAGATTTGGGAACCGAGATCCATCAGTAGAGGTGGACAGCCCAGAGGAAAAGGGCAGCTGAGCAGCTTTTGTGATCACGTTCTAATTTAAAGCGAGGTATGGGGAGGATTCGGATAGAAAGCTGGTGGGTAGAGGTGTCGTTCAGGTGGATTTCTTGGGGAAGAAGGTTGTACTTAAGCTTGAGGCCTTGAGGCCTTGAGCGTTTGGCGAGCGTTCCGAAGGGGCTTTGGGAGATCAAGACGACGAGGGCGGGGTGGATTCAGATGGACAGTTCTTTTGTTGTTCGTATTTTCAACATGGGTTGTTTCTGTTTATATTCGCATCCGGATTCCTCTCTCATTTTTTTGTCGCCCCTGGTCCCTTGTTCAGAACCCGTTTCCTACGTGACGTATCCATATTTCCACGATTTAAATTGGCAATAAAACTCCTTTCTTCGGCTGGAGTCGGGCGGCTAAATATGACCTCGAATTTAAAACTAGAAGCTTTGCGAATGAAATCTAGAATCGGACATGATGCAAATATCCAATGTTTTCGCTGACTACAAACTCTACATGGGTGGGATGATACATATCTAGTTGCAGCAACAAATGAGGGCAAAAAAGGAGAAGGGCAATAGCGGCGATGAAAGGGGTCTGGTCGAGGATATCAAGTTTTCTTCTTTTTTGTCGTCCTCTTTCCCGAGGTACTCTCCACCGGCGTTGGCGGCCGCGACTCTTCCATCTTCTGGACCTCCTCAATGCCGCGTTTCTATGAACGAAGAAAGACGAGTGTAAGTCGGAAATAGTTTCATGACGGACGATCTGCTGAAGACGCACCTTGCCCTTCGTCGGCTTCAACTTGGCCTCCTCTGTCTGCCTCTGCTCTTCCTCCTTCTCGATCATTCCCAGAAGCGTATTACACCTTCGCTGGAGCTCCTGCGGCGACCGGCTCTTGAGGAACCAATCGAATCGGAAGACGGGGAACTCGGTGATGTCTCTCTTGATGCGTTCGTAGACGTCGTCGGCCTGCATGCCGTAGTGGAAGAGCCGGCAGAGGAGGTACCGATCTTCCTCTTCGCTATAGACCTTGCCCTTCGTGGTTGGGTAGTTCAGTTCGAGCTCTTGCATCGGGTACCGGACGGAGTTGATCTTGCGGGCGAGCAGCATCTCGAGGTTTTCGCGCTTCGTGCGCTTGGCCTCGCCTTCCTCAATACGTGCTTTGATACGCGGCCACTCTGAAGCACGTAAGGTGAGTCGACCATGAACAACGAAGACCAAAGCGATATTACGCACCAGCCAACGTCTTACACTTCTTGTTGAAGACTTTCAAATACTTCTCAACCTCTTCGGGCGTCTTGTCCTGGATCTCAGAACTGATATACATGGCATCGGCACCCCTAGTCATATACGTCAGCCCTCGAAGAAACGGTAGACGACCATGCGAGAACTCACCATCCATAGTTCTCCATCGCGCGAACGAGCTGCTGGAAGTCTCGTCGACTCCAATCTGGGAAGCCCTGTTGGACGTACTGCTCCTTCAACTCGAGATCGTCATCATCGAGAGGTTCGGCTATGGAGAGTAGTCACGTCAACCACCATAATATCCAAAGCGACAATGTCGAGATACCTGTGTCTATGAACTCCTGCGCAGCAAGACGTTCCTCCTCCAGCTTCTCGGGCGTATCTTCCGGTCCTTGCGGTTCGCGAGTGGTAGCCGGGATGCCATTGAGACGCTGAGTATGAAGTTAGTATCGAACAGTCAAGTTGTGATGACGAATGTCGAGCCTTGTGTACGGCGAGCTCTCGTTCTTGCAGAGCTGCGAGTTCGGGTGGGAAGAATTGAAAGTCTTGGCTATATATGAGGCGGAAATCTGCATGAGCATCGCAAAGTAGAAAACCAAATTGAGTGAACATACACAGTGATCTGCTTCGGCGCACGAGGGATCTTCGGCGCCTTGTCGATCTTGGATGGACCAGCACGCAGCGTATCCTTGAAGTAGTTGTCAACCGAGTAGTTGGACTTGCGTTCGCGCTTCGACAGCGATAGGAGGTTGAAGTTGAGTGCTTTTTTCTACGAACGCAAAGGTTGGGTCAGCACCGAGGTGGAGATCAACAAAGCTGACGTAACGTACACCAGGGCGGAAGTCTTCACCCTCCCACTGCTGCACTGACGCATCCGACTTGAAGTTGTTAAGATCCTCGAGGTTGAGGGCTTCGTATTTGCTGTTAAGCTCGGAGGTACGCTCTTCTCCTTTCTGGATGATGGCGTCGATGTCGTCATCGATGAGAAGGCTCCTAAGACGGGATAAAAGATGAGCAAAGTGGCAATCAACGAAGTGGATCGAGTACATACTCTTCAGTTGCATTGATGATCTTCTCTGCGCCGTGGGTAATCATCTCAAGGAGCTCGTCTTTATTCGCCGCCGCTGGTGGTGGAGAAGGTATCAGTAATGATAACCAAAACAAAGCCGATGGAAAGGCATGAACTTAGAACTTACTCTTTGCCTGCTGTGCTCGCCCTTGCTGAATCACCAGCTGATCCAGTCGCAACTTCTGCGCCGCCCGCTCCAACATCCTCTCCTCGACACTACCCTCCGTGATAAACCTGAAGACGTACACTTGCTTCGTCTGGCCAATACGATGCGCCCGGTCCATAGCCTGCAGATCAGCTTGCGGGTTCCAGTCGCTGTCGTAGAGGATGACGATGTCGGCGGTGGTCAAATTGATGCCAAGGCCGCCAGCGCGGGTGGTGAGGAGAAAGATGAATTTTTCAGAGTCGGGCTTGTTGTATTCGTCGATGGCGGTGATACGGTCTTCGTGGGCGGTACTTCCGTCAATGCGGCAGTATTCTACATAGAGGTCAACGATAGGAAGATATTGTAAGCAACAAAAACGTACTGTAATGGCGGAAGAGGCAGTAGTCTTCAAGGATGTCGAGAACGCGGCTCATCTGACTGAAGATGAGAACCCGAGAGCCCTTCTCCTTCATCCGTGCGAGTAGCTTGTCGAGGATGATCATCTTTCCACAATTCTGAATGAGGTGCTCGTCGGTGGTGTATGGAGGCCCAGGCTCGGCGCCATCAAAGAGGTATGGGTGGCAGGTGACTTTACGAAGCTGGTCGAAAACGTAAGCAATGAAGAAACGGGCGATGAGGGCGACGCACCTGCATGACCATGTTCATCAATCTTGTCTTTCCTTCCTTCTTCCCAGTCAGGCCTAGCGAGCGTCGGTGTTAGTATATCGACGATTCAAGTACTAAGTGTCGAAGGAAAGGTACATACCGTTGACCGCGTCGATATCCTTCTCCAGGACCGAACGGTACCATTTGCGTTGCATATCTGTAAGCCCGACATAGATGTTGATTTCCTTCTCTGAGAAGGAAAGTCAGAAAGGAGCGATAGAAAAACGAAAACGCGAGAACGTACTAGGCAGTAAACTCTTCTCAACATCGGATTTGACGCGGCGGAGCAGGAACGGCCGCAAAATCTTGTGCAGCGCCTCGACGACCTTCTTACTTTTCTCCTCCTCAACCTCCGTATCGTTCGAGTCCTTGTGCAGGAAAGAATCGAGGTCGGCGTAGTCGACGAAAATCTCAGGGCAGATGAAGTTGAGGAGGGCAAAGAGCTCTTTGAGATTGTTCTGAAGCGGCGTGCCCGTAATGAGCAGGCGGCCACGCGACAGGAACGACCGCACGATCTGTGAAAGGATGGAGTCGACGTTCTTGATCCGGTGGGCCTCGTCGATGACGATGTACTCGAAGGAAAATTTCTTCAAAGCCGACTTCTCGATGAGGCAGATCTCGTACGATGTGATGCACACTTCAAAGTCTTGCGGGATGAGCCGCGTCGCGATGATCTCCGCCCGCTCGTCCTTGCTGCCCGTGAGGGAAACAATGTTGAAATCGGGTGTCCAGCGTTCAAATTCGCGGGCCCAGTTCTGAAGAGTTGATTTTGGGACAACGACGAGGTGTGGGCCGCTGATTTCGCGGTAATGCTTAAGGTAGGCGAGGAAGGAGATTGTTTGTAGCGTTTTTCCGAGACCCTGAGCGGCGTGAGGTGAGTGCGTGGGCACGGGAGAGACATGGACATACCATCTCGTCGGCGAGGATCCCATTCAAACCGTTGTGGTGTAGAGAAACCATCCAATTGAGGCCTTGCAATTGGTACGCTCGCATTTCGCCGTGGACAACTGGACGCGTCATAGGGTAAGGAACGAAAATCAGAGAAGAAAATATGGCACCGTACAGCTCGGGGACGCCTCGAACACGAATGGCTGGTCGTTTCCATCCAGACCCGCCTCTCCATCCTTCAACATCTCCTCGTCCTCCTCCTTCTCTGACTTTCGATGTCGGGCACTGTTATCACTGCAAAGAGATGTGAATATAGTAATCAAGGAATGAAAATGAGTGACGTACACGGCCTTCTTTCGCCCTCTCCCCTTCGGTTTCGGTTGTGCATCCATCAGCGCCGCATATTCGGGGTCGGAAGCTCGCTAAACAGATATGAACGAAGTCCCATAACACGAAATTATCGCGGACCTTGATGTCAACGAAATGCTTGAAAAGTTCCGTCTGGCCCAGAAGGTACGAGTACCGCTTGACGGCGTCCGTAATCTGAAAAGGAAAGATCAACTACGGAATACCGCGTAAAGTTGACGAGCATACCTTTGCTTTGTCCATTTCCTGCCGCTTCCGATGCAGCTGACCCTCCTCCGCAATCCTCTTCTGCTTCTTTTGTTGCTTCGCGGCTGTCGCATTCTGTTTCGCCTGGGCGGCGGTTGCGGCAGGGTCCTTTCAAAAACGGTTAGACGTTGCTCCGAAAGCTCGCCACCTGCTGAACCACCCACCTCTCGGTCGCTGATAAGCTCATCCTCCTCCGCAGGCTCATCGTCGTACTCGCTTTCCCCATCCGCACCTTGGCTGGGCTTCGAGAAGATAAGAACACTGATGCTCGCGAAAGTTCGAGGAACGTACCTGTCGCGAAACGATGTTGCTGGGAACGACGTCGCTGAGGATGTCTTCTTCCATTGGTTGGTCAACCGTAAATGTCTGTAAGAGGGTGAAATCGCGGTCAGATACGAAGAGATATCTGAGGGGGGCGTACACTCATGTTGGGCGTGGCGGTTTGGGAAGAAGGAGGAGACGTGACTGTGACAAGACGCGCTCACCTCGTTTGACCGCTCCCACCCCTTTCCGCACCACTAAGTCGAATCAAGGGTTGATATCTTCCGTCATCGCGGCGATTCTTCTGTGTCCTCCAGCTTTTTGTTTTGTCTTTACACAGCATGCTCTGGAACGCTATTCAAGCCGAACTATCCATGAGGAACTTCGGCCTCAAATCTACTACGCGTCTAAGTTGTTTCAAGCATCCCGTCGAACGTGTATGGTCGTGTGTCGATGAGGAAGCTATCTCGCTGCTCTTGCTTGTCTCTGTCGCGTTCTGCAATTTGCAGTACGAAAAATGCCTCGCCGTTCCGTGCAAAGGAGCTTCAAGTTATGCCCCACCCTCTGGAGTCCTCATTCTGGATCCTGCTATGCACGCTCTATCAGGCTAAACATTCTAGTTTCCAACCCCTACCAGCGTGCCATATTCCACTGTTCTACTTCTGATCGGTGGCACCATGCCTTCACCTAGTGACTGTGGCTGCACCTCACGAGTCACCTTCGAGAGGCAATTTCACACCGTCGAGCTCTGATGCAGCGGCCGCTATTGAAAGTTATATCTCTCTATGAAATGAGATGTGGTCAGACCCCATTTCGCTCCTCATAGCCGAGAATTTCGATTTGAGTAAAAACATAGTACAGTTCCGAAGGGCCATACTCGGGCGAATTACCACGACCAATGAACGAATCGCTGCCCCTCAGCACTCCCGATTTCAATAGCGGGTGCCGTTGTGTTGCCGTTAGCCATCACTGTCGTTGTGTTCTCTAGTATATCCTCACCTAGTATGTCCGCAGTAGCCGTATGTCGAACATACGGTAGCCTCATGGTAATTTAGTATATATATAGTAGCTCATTGCAGAAGCTATTCTCTAACTTCGGCTTCGTTTAGCCTTGGTTCTGACATAAGTCGAAGTTCCCCCGTAGAGTTTCCCCTTGACGGCTACTACAGCGCTCTTGACGATCCTTTGCACCAACCCTTCATTCCACCCTTCCTCTGACTCGTACAATAGCCCTCGGGCGTTCGACCACAAGTAGAATCATTCCTCTACCGTTCGACACTCACCAAACCACGTCATTCATCGGGGGAAGCCCTTTCACTTCAATTTTACGAACACCTATCCGGTCTCAAACTATTATATTTCCTCATCATGTGGAACATCCTCACCGATCTCGTCAACGCATGGAATAAATCGGCCTTGGCCATGGAGAATGCTGCTCAACAGATAGCGAAGGAGGACCGACGCTGGGAAATGGTGCCACCGGCCATGTATGACGGAGACGCACGGCGAGCCCGAGCATTTTTACAAGAATGCGAAGGCTATTTCCTTATGGAAGAGATCGAGGACCTCAAAACGAAGATCTACTTTGTCTTGTCAAGGGTCAAGGAAGGCGCAAACAAAAAGGTCACAAGATGGGCTGATAGTACCCGATCCCGTATCCTCGAAAGGGCAGCCAAGAACCCCCCAGAGGAATCTTTTTCAAGCTGGGACGAATTCAAGGCAGATTTCGAAAGGTACTTCGAGTTCGACATGGCACAGGAAGAAGCCAGGAGGATGGTTATGACCTTGGAACAGGGAAACATGACGTACGAAGAATATTACTGGGAATTCGCTTCCTCTGCTGGCATTACAGGGTTCAATGATGTTGCACTGCAACATTATTGGAAGCGCGGACTCAACAAAGGACTCAGAGCTCGACCGATGCCCGATTTTGTATTCCTGCAAGATAACACAGATGGTACGATCCGAAGATGAAAAATGTCTTTTTTTCGACCATCGTATTCCCGTCCTTCCCTCGATCCCCGACACCTTTCCCATTCCGTCGTATGATTCCTCGGCAGACCCGGAGACCCTCAGTCAGAAAATGCAGCAGCACTGCCTCTTCCCGTTTCATCGAGACGCCCGGTGCGCCACCCTTGCCTTGTTAGGATGCCCTTTTCTACCGTCAGCGCAGTTGCCACCTTACCGCCTCTCCCCTACTCCATTCTGTTTCATTCTGTTGGAATCCGGCAATCCGGCATTGTCCCGGATCTTCCAGTAAGCGTCCGTACATACTGCAATGGAGCTTAGTCATCGTAGCATAGCTTCGTATAAGTATTTAGTAGATAGTTGTAGAAGCTACACTAGATACATAGTATGTACAGTATATAAGGACCTCTGTAGGAGGCCCGAATATCAAGTTCTTTCTTCCACTGCGCCAACACATTCTTGTTTGGAATCTTTCTTTCTTCCATCACACCGGGTTGGAGATCTGTTATGCCGGTCTCTCTTATCTTTGTAGATAATAAACATGTGTCCATCAATTCGAGAAGTTGTTCCTCGGACCAAGATGAATAGCAGCAGAAATAACAGAAACGAGGAGAGCTCCAATAAAATAGAGGAGGAAATGGCTTACGAGTGATTTCGATCGCATATTAGAGGAAACTCGCTTTTCGTTGGGCTGTAAGCCTTGAGCCTCGTCTTCGGGAAGAATCAAGTCCATCAGTCTACGCTTCCGCTGAGGACGAGACCACATCATCAACTAGAACGAGCACAGCGCAGATATATGTGAAAGGTTTCACATTCTTCCGCTCATTGTCTCCAGGAAGCAGCATGAGGAATCCCGTCCTCGTCCTCTACACCGCCAAAGACGACGGAAACAAGGAAAGGAGGCACAGAATTCTAGCAATTTCCTTCAAGTTCGCAGCGTACATGTGAGCCAGAGGAAGGGCTCTCCAGCAGGGAGATCGAATGATTCTTGGGAAGGAAACGCCACATCGATACGAACGGTGTTGCGTCCCCACCATGAATTGTGTATCCCTGAGGCGAGGCCCTTCCTGACCGGATCGGACGTGCGGGAATGGAGGAATCGTGAAGCGAGAATTGAAATTAAAAATGAAAGGGAAGACACGGGTAATTACGAGTGTCGCCTCGAGGATACTCCTATACGTCCTGCAAAGAGGCAAAATCCACGAGGCATAGAACAAGGAACAACTGTGTAGGAGACATTCGGTGAATTTCGTACGGGCCTCGCGCACGAGGCGAACCTGAGGCTGATGATAAATCCTCTTCGCCGAAAGATGAGAGATGGAGCATTAGAGGTGTCACGATACATGACGCCGGAGAAGGAGAACAAAAACCAAATGGTGTAGATGTCTATCTCCCGCGTGCATATCTCCGAGCTCTATCTCTCCTGTGGCGAATAGGAAGGGCAGGAAAGGGTTCAGAGAGGGATTGAGTCGCCGGAGGCAACTCGACATGGGGTTCACGGCGGAGAGACGTGATCGCGCTAGGAACGGTACCGTCCTTTACCACGAATTGACTGGAAATGTGCAGAGACCGAATCCGTTCAATATCATGAGCGGATGCACCAGAACAATGGGTATTGCTGTGGTGCGGGTGCGGCAGGGAAGAGTCAAGGAATATGTCGCTTCAATCGACGCATACAAAGGACATACCCAACAGGAGACAAGGAGAAGAAGAGAAGAGAAAGAAAAATTGAACATAAGTTGGAAGGAAGGAAGAAGAAAGGCGGTTCGTCGGTTTCGAGGGTCGTGAAGATGGATCTGAGAAAAGCGTTACAGTCTCTCACCTGCGCAGATTAAACGGCGTGATTTTCCATACGCCCTCCTACTACCTAGAAAATCCCCAGCGGGAGACGAAGGTGCAGCGAAGCGCGCACGAGGTCCAGGGCCCATCACGAGCGACGATACGATACGATACGATGCCAAAAGCAAAAGGCTCTTCGTTTTGTCTTTTCAGTGCAGTGTCGATGACGGGCGATCCTGGGCTTATTTCGCAGGTTCCTATGGAATCTGGATAGATCGACGGAGACTTGCATAAAACAAATTCAAAGCATAAATTACTCACTGGATCCTGTAACTGGCGATCCAGCTCCTACTCGGTGCCATCGACAATGCTTGAGACCCTAGCCGCCATGCGTCTTGGGGACGGGGTCATAGGAGTTTTCACGCTCGGCGAGCCTAGGACGTGCGAGAATGCAGAAATTCGGCATACTCTTCTTGCTGGCTCGTGATACATACAGGTCGCGATCGATCTCGTCCCTGTTGAAACTTGACGTTGGACGATGCTGACGAGGCGAGGGCCAGTACAGGAAGAAGACGAGACGAGAGGGGGGAAATGGGGGCGGAGGTACAGTAACAATGTGCATGTGAACGCGTGAGTGGGAGCGGGCAGGACAGAGCGGGGAACATTGATGGAGCCGAGCAGCGGAGGGGGTAGGGGAATGGGGGTAGGGGGATGGGACGGCGGGATGGCAGAAAGGGTGGTGCGGACGGAGGCGGCGAAGAGAGCGCAGGGAGCAGAGTGGTAGGTCGACGAGGGAGATATAGTACTCTAGGGTGGGCATAGGATCGAAAGTGCTAATGAATATTTGAACAGCAACAAACGGAATACAAGGGTACCAGTAGATTACTCACCGAGAACCGGATCCTGCAAGCGGCAGCCCAGCATGAGTCCTCGACGACAAGACCCTAGAACCCTTGAAGTTGTAGCCGTCATGCTCTTCTTGCTCATTCGTGATGCAGTTAGCGATCGATCTCGTCCCTCAGCCTGTTGATGTTAGACGATGAGGGCGAGTGGCGGTACAGGAGGACGACGAGACGAGATGAGGGGGTGGCGGTGGTGGCCTGAGGCCTGAGGACGATGTGCATGCGAACGATTGAGTGGGAGCGGGAGCGGGCGGGACAGAGAGTGCGGCACGTTGACGTTGATGGAGCCGAGTAGCTGAAGGGGAATGGGGACAGTGGGAGGGACGGAGGGAGTGGGACGGCGCCGGAGGAAGGGAGGGCGGAGGGTGGTGTGAATGGAGGCGGCGAAAAGATCGTGGGGAGATTTACGTCTAAGAACATGGAAGAGAAACGAGGTGTGAGTCAAGATTTGGGGAACAACCAGAGAGAGCACGCACCTCGTGCCTCCGAGAGTTCGAGAGCACCAGAGCCCCGTTCGTAATGACTGACAAGACCTGGAAGCAAACACGTAGTTGGGGACAACCGAGTCCGCTCATGTCATCCTTCTTCCTTCAGTATAAGTAGCTTTTATACGTTGTTTCCGTGCGCATTCGATGCCGAGTTCAGGCAACGTGCGGAACATGCAGATGGAAGGATTACAGATCGTGGAGGAGGTAGGGGGCGATAGGGGTTGACACGAGGGCGTGGAGGTGTGGTAGACGATGTGAAGCTGTGTCGGACCCAAGGGGTTCGCGGACCGCAGATCCGATCAGACTTTATCTTATCTTATCCCTCCGATCTGCTCAGAAACCCATTCGCTCCCCTCTTGCTCCTGTCTACTCATCTCCTTCTCCCTCTCCATCTCTGCCTAATATACGAGCGCCATGTCCTTTGTCAACCCTCCGCTCCTCTCGCCTCCCTTGCACGTGTGAACACTCCGACAAAGGCCAGCACCAGCAGAACGGATTGGTGTCAACGAGAGAATGAGAAAGGAAAGGAGACAGGAAGAAAGAACATTTTCGAAGAGGACACGAGTAAATTGCACTTGAATTCGTTTTATGCAATTCTCCATTGATCTATCCATAGGAAGCCGCGAAATGAGCCCAGGATCGCTTCGGATCGCCCATCATCGACCACTGAAAGGACAAAGAGCCCTTTGGCATCGTATCGTCGCTCGTGATGGGCCCGCATGCGTCCTTTAAATTCACCTTCGTCTCTCGCTAGGGGACATTTCTAGGAGGGCGTATGGAAAATCACGGCGTTTCATCTGCGCAGGTGAGAGATGCTTTTCTCAGATCCATCTTTACGACCTCGAAACCGACGAACCACCTTTCTTCTTCCTTCGTTCGAACGTATGTGCCCTTTGTATGCGTCGATTGAAGCGACATATTCCTTGACTCTTCCCTGCCGCACCCGCACCACAGCGATTTCCATTGTTCTGGTGCATCCGCTCATGATATTGAACGGACTCTGCACATTTTCAATCAATTCGTGGTGAAGGACGGTACCGTTCCTGGCACGATCATGTCTCTCTGCCATGAACCCCATGTCGAGTTGCATCCAGCGACTCAATCATACAATATCCAATATCCCTGCCTCGTCCAAACTCTCCGAATCCTCTCCCTGCCCTTCCTAATCGCCGCGGGAGAGATAGAGCTCGGAGATATGCATGCGGGAGATGGACATCTACACCATTTGGTTTTTGTTCTCCTTCTCTGGCCTCTCGTCCTTCGGCGAAGAGGATTTATCAGCCTTTCGCCTCATGCGCGAGGCCCTTACGAAATTCCCTGGTTGTCCTCTGCGCAATTATCTAAATTGTAGGATCCTTGTTCTATCCTCGTGGATATTGCCTCTTCGCAGGATGGGTATGGGTATAAGCACCCTCATTGTCCCCCGCTTCCATCACCCTTTTCTTGTCATCCATTCCCATTCATTCTCCCGTCTGCTTCATCTTTCACATCCGCCAATCCACCAGAAACACACCCGCTCCTCAGCGTATCGAACATCCCAGACCGGCAAACGAGGCGCGCGGCGCAGCATTTAGCATTTCTCTGCAGGGGAGGCCCGCGATATCAATATCTCCCAGATATCACGATACATCACCTCTCTGATACCGCTGGGTAAAGTATATTTGGACGTTGAGGAGCGGGTGGAGCATTCGGCGGGCGACTCGTGTTGTGTTCGATGTGTTTCTGAGCGTTGTCGCATTTGCGCACCTTCTCTCAACTTTGTTTAACGCCTCTCGAGCCCTCTCCGCGTGCGCGAGAATATGTCAATGTCTCGAGTGCTGCTCCGCCGCGCCTATTAATTGCCTTGCTTTCCAAATTGAAGCTGCGCAGATTCTGTGCCTTCAGCCTTCTTTTCTTTCAACACCACATGCGCTCTCGTCTTTTTTATAATTCCGTTCACCTTCAGTCCCCTCCGCCTTTACCTTATTCTTTACCTTATTCTTATTCTTATCTCGCATTCGTTCTCTTTGCATTATCCATCGTTCCGGATCGTTCCTCTCGATGTCCTACCTGTGGTTTGAGCAGCCCGGATCCTAGTCAGAACCTCAGGAAGAGAGTTGTGGTGCCTATGCTCAAGTTGTCATACTGCCAACCGAGGTTAGACATTCCGTATTCCTCGTGCCGCAGTCCGATACTGCGGCTTAAATGCTATTGGTTCTTTGAACTCCTCTGTCCGTTTGGCATGACGCTTTGGCTCATCTCGAGCTCGTTGTCTTATCTAGCCCGAGTTCCTATCGAGTATCGATACCGAATACTTGGATTCCTGATCTTTCTCTAAGTATCCCTCCGTTTCTTTCCTTTCATCAGCATCTTTGTCGCCACTTATTTCATCACAACTCCTCCTTTCTCGCATGTCCGATCCGGTTACTCGAAGGAAATTGCTAGAATGTGACTCTGCGCCTCCTTTCCTTGTTTACATCATCTTTCGCGGTGTAGACAAGGACAAGGACGGGATCCCTCATGCGGATTTAACTTCCTCGAGACCATGAGCAGAAGGATGTGAAATCTTTCACGCCTACTGCGCCGTGCTCGTCCTGTAGAGGTTTAACGTTCATGATGTGGTCTCGTCCTTATCTGCAGCGGAGACTGATGGACTTCTACCGTTTGCGCCACTGAGTGGTTGTCTACATGGCTAGATAGAGGAAGAGGAAATGGTTTACAAATGATACGAAACTCATTTTTATTGGACAGATAGAGTCGTCTTCTCGTTTCTGTTATTTCTAGGGCTATCTCATCTTGGTCCATGGAACATGTTCTTCCCGAGCCTTCTGTTCGATTGACGTCTAAGCCCACCTTTCTTTCCATCCGAGTCCAGGTCCAGTAGGTCCAGGAGGAGAATATCGACTCGGTCTATCGAGTGGGTAGTCATGGAGGCTCGCTACCAGATTAGATCGCTATGATAAGGACTCGCAAAGAGAAAAAAAGAATGAAAGAGAATGGAGTAGGGAGAGCGTTGATGGTAGAAAAGGACATCCACCTCGTTGTATCCTGTATTGCCAGAATACGAAGCGAATACCTCGCAATATTCTTCGTACGTCATGTTGCCCTGTTCCAAAGTCGTGATTATGCTGATAGCTTCTTCCTGTGCCGTATAGAGCCCGAAGTATCTTTCGAAATCTGCCAAATTCACCTGCTTCTCAATAGCAGAACGGCCTCCAAGGAGTCACCACTGATGACTTTCAATCGGATTAACCACAGGCGTTCGTCTAGACTCGAGAGTCGCCACGATTGGCGAAGCGTGTATTGGTATTATGACTCGGGAAAGATCCAGCGACGAGTCGGACTGCACGAACTGACGATGGGCTACGGAACTGTATAAAATCCTACGCTGAGGAGGGCTCTTCAGCTGGTCTCACCCCAACATCATCTAACAAACCCATCGTCTTTGCGTTGATCGCAAGCTTTACACGAACCTCACACCCACCATCACATCGTCATAATGATCCACATCCCCACCTATCTCATTCTCTCTGCCTTGCTCGCTGCTCCCACCATTGCAGCCCCGTTCGAGGTGGACGGACACCAGCAGCACCCACACGGAGCCGTCGGGTACGTCTTTCTCTGCATTCTTTCAGGGATCATCAGGTTCCCTGACTGCAGCGCCTTTACATAGCTCGCATGAACACCTTGCGGGATGCGACGACTTCTCCGCTGCTCCCCGCCGTCTGCAGCCTAGCCGCACCAGGCAGGCGCGCGAGCTCGAAGACAACGAATCCTTGTTCGTGCGCGACCCCAAGAAGCCAGGCAGCAGTCCAAAGCCAAATCCCCGCCCCACTTCAGTGCCGAGGCCCATCACGTCACCGAGGCCCACCACGGCACCAAGGAGACGAAAACGCGAGACTGAAGAGGAGGATGGATTATTCGTGCGATTGATACAGGTCTTGGGTGATTTGGACTGATATGTGTAAGGATACGTACCTATTGAGTTCATTTGGCGACGAATAAATTCTTGCCCTTGTTGGCAATTGTGGATGAGAATTTTGTTTGGGCTGCAATTTTTGTTCATTCTGGAATTTTGGCGCCGTTGAAGTCCATTAGCACGACAGATTGGCCAATTCCGCCCTTACCGTCAAATTCTCAGGCAACGATGCTCGAACACTTCCTAGTTGCTGACACCCACATTCCTAGAGCCAGGGACAGACAGGATGATGAATTCAAATACCAAGACTAAATGAAAGTCCGCATGCTTCGAACGCGCATTCACAGTGATCGATTCTCGGCGAGGCTTAGGATGCGTCGTGGAAAAAATGAAGGATAATGGTTTAGTAGGAAGAGACGCCATATAGTGACAAACGCTGCCACCTTTCCGAACGAATCCAGTAAGGTTTCCTGGGACCATCCCGAGCGGACATGAGAGGGATCGAGGCCATAAAAGGTTCGAAAGAGCCAGAACGTGAAGAGGTGACGCAGATCAGACGGAAGGAAGAAGGTCCCAGAGTTTGTCCGTACAGCGCAAGTGGGACTCGCGACGGAGTATGTAACACCATCAACCGCGGTCCGCGCCCCAGCGTGAGGGATGTCCAAGGTCGTATCTTCGTTCGTCCATAATGGAAGGTATCACCAGCACGGGAGACGGCCATGAATCTGGATCTCGTACCACAGAATCGGCGATATGACCACCATACGAGATGAACGATAGACAAATATAGTTGATGGTCGAACATACGAGAAAATAATAGATAGCGGACCGTGTGGAAGCCCGCGAGGATGTCCCTTTCGTAGAGACGCAGGAGGTGTCGCCGTGAGTCGAGTGAGCACAATCGATGATGAACCTAGCACTACGTACGCCGACACTGAGCGGATGGTATAAGCCAGCTTGTGAGGCATCAGCCCCATTCCTGTACAACAGAGGAGCGGTGCATTACGAAGACATGGCGCACACGCTGGAAGACCGCGATAAGATCCAGTGGCTTATCGGTCCATCCCCTGCGTGAGCTGGGTCACAATCCACCGCTCCTACTTTGTTTGGGAAGGGCGCAGAACATCCTCGAAGAGACGGAGATCGCTTAGTGGTGGCCCACGGCTTTCTATGTCTATGCGCCCGTTTCTCTAGAAGAGGAGAGACAGAGTACAAGAGACTGTAGCCCTCCACACGCTAGAGGACCAGAAAAAAATTAAAGGATTACTGATCCATCACCTGCGTGAGTGGTTCGGAGCTCCATCGCTCCTGCTTCGTCTCGAAAGGGCACAATTCGGAGAGAGGTGACGAAAGCAGTTCGTCCGCATTCGGACTTGACGAAGAAAAGATAGAAGATAGAAGAGGGGAGGCCCGGGAGGGTTTGGTGTCCAAATTGCTGAAACGAGAGGTGTTGCGCCGAGTTGCTCTTTCATCTATATGAGTAGCTCTCCTCACTAGCTCAATCATATCGCGCAGCGACGGGCCATGTGTATCTAAGACCACAATGACACTGGAGGCGCGAAGAACACGACAGGCGAAGAAACGTCCAGGTTCCAAAAGCGGCCCATGACAAGGGAGACAGTCCATGAACGAGACCGCCGCTAGGAGAAGAACGAGAGGGTTGGACAAAAGGCGAAGACGCGGTGGACGTACTGGAGGTATTATCCAAAACACCACACCTCCGAACCGTTCCTTCAGGAAATCAGGCATGCTGGATTGATCTTGCGAGATCTAAGCGACCTCCTCGGTTGGGGCAAGACGGGACCAGCTGGGCTACACGAGTAGGACGGATAGGGGACGAGACGCAATAGCGCGAGGTTACACCCCAAAGATCCCGAGTGTGGATTGACTATGGAGGTGGATATTCGGGTCGCAGAACACAACTGACGAGAACGACATGGTGGTGGTTGAGAATGAAGAAAGGTGCCACCGCCGATCAGATAAGATGCGTTATATTTATCTGTCCGGATCTACGGTCCGATGCTGCCCCTCAGGCAGAGAAGGATAAACGACGACAGTTCAAACAATCGCAGAGCCCTTTTTGCAGAGCATTCGAGGACTTACGGCGCCACTTATTGTGCATGGATGCAGGGTGTGTTCGTACGGAATGGAGATAATTCACCTCTAGAGTATATATTCAGGAAAGTAGTCGACATATTATTGCCATTTCAGAATTGGGTGAACAAAACAGTTGCCCTGCAGCTCGTAACGTCCTGCGATATGATGAGTTCAGCTACTAAGAAGGAAAATTAATCACATTGTCCTTGAGTTAAGGGAATAGCAAACCCCACCTCCTTCTCCATTCCACTCGGGAACGACAGATTCCGGACAGGCTGTAGAATGAAACAACGGAGATGAAGGACCCCATGGAGCGAAATAAGAAGACAGTTAGTTGCGCACCTTAGCCAGTAGTAACGGGGACTCGACCCTTCTTCAAAATTTCGTGGTACTTCCTCGAATATTCAATTGCGTTGGGAAAGCGTGCCGAGGATGTGTTCAAGATCGTCAACGGGAAACTGTCATCCAGGAGGTGTTCGAAAAACACGAGGCTGGTCTCGTCCATGTTGTACACCTCGTCGTAACAATCTGCATAGAACTCTAGGTCGAATCAGTCAAGGCGCGGGTGTTCTCCGATAACTCGGGATTCCAAGGCGTTGCGAACCGCACTCCAAGAGAATTGCGAAGTGGTACTTGCAGATTTGAGCTGGATGTCTTTTAGCCGAGGGAGAAAATCTGTCTCTGTAAATCCTTCAGAGCCATCCGGGGCGGTGTGGAGTGCAAGTAGATCAAAAAATTTGTCATGAATGCGAACACCCCTGATGACTAGTTTTTCGAGACTGGCACCGCCCACAGTAGCTTGTAGATATCCGTTCCGATATCTTCAATGTAGTGTTGATTGAAGGTTAGAGTTGTTATTGGACAGGCGGATCGGCGGATGCAGGATATCAGCGGGTGTAGGGGTTGTTCACATCCACGATATACCAACGAGTTCAAAGACGGGAGGACCATGTGGTCGAAAAGATCTTCCGCAGTAAATCGAGCGTCGATGTCCAGCCTCGAAAGTTGATAAAGGAAGATGGGCGATATCGGGTTCGGCGTGAGGGTCGAATTTGGATTGATGTAGTGCAGCGTGCACTCAAGGAGGCGGGGAGCCATTTCAAACAGGCGGAAGCACTCGCGGATGCTGAGGGTCGAAAGAGACACATTTGTGACGTTCTCCCACCTGATCTTTATATCCGCCAAATGGAAGCCTACTAATGTGACGGTCTCTGGAGAAGGAAGTGGTGTTCCAACATCAAAGCCCTTTTTCAATGTGTCAGAGTGAGTGGTATACAAGAATGAAGGTTTAATCGAGAGCACCCGAAGGTTGTGAGCACCTTCGGGACCGCTTTTGAATTGGCCAACTATAAAACAAGGGACGTGAAGGGTGAGGTGACACCATCGGGAAGAATGTTCGTTTAGAATCTTGACAACGGAGTAGACAATGCCCCATCGATCATCATCGAGGCAGGAGGAAAACCAGGCGTGGAGAAAGATTGAAAGCGGTAGTTGCGCTGAGCGCTCAAGCCACTGGCGGAGCAGGTCCTCGCATTCGGGGAGATGATGAAGGTGGTTGAGTTCAAGACGAATCTGTGTCCATAACGCCGCCGTCGACTGTGCTATTGCCCGCCATCGCCTCGAGACGGCGGCCAGAGTTAAAGGAACATGATTGTTGACTGCGGTTGGGACAGTATCTTCCATGCAGAACGTGAAGATTCGGGACGCGAGCTCGGTCGGGATGATGTCCAAGAAGGGGTCGTGATCCTTGTTGATGTTGCGCAGCAAGGTAGCCCGATGTGCTTTCAAATGCGCGAGAAAGGCACGCGTTTCGGCGATTTGACGATCTACAGCCTGAATTTTGACGCATGAAGGACAAGCAGAGTCGCGTCTTCCTATTCGCGAGCAGGAAGTGGTCGGGTAACTCGAGCCGAAGTTTCCTTCCTCGCCACACGTAGCGCATCTAAAGTTGGTCGACTGGTGCTCGGCGTCCATTACGAATGAAAGCCTAATAGTCCAGCTATTCAAGCTCTATACTTTAGCGAAATTGCAGTAAAATCATTGGATGAACATACGGTGAAAAAATGTGGTGGAAGTCTGAATACAAGTTTCGAAAACGTTGCGACCAGGAGGTGGGAGTGAGGTCGATCCTTATCTTATCTGGATATTGGAGCGATCTAATTTCAAAGTCCGAGCAACCCTTGTTTCTCGCCGCTTGGTTTCTCCCTCCATGTCCATGTCTCTTCTACCATATATCCTGCTTCAGGATTCTCCCTGCGCTCCTCAGGCCTCAAGCTCGACAGATTTCCCCATCAAATCTTCACCGGCACACACTGTTAGTCTAGCTCCTCTTGTCTGCACTTGAACGAACGGGCCGACCTCAGTCCATGTCATCAATTGCGGACAGACCCGAATCAAGGCCTAACAATGGTCGCTTCATCGTCGATTCCTGTCCCTTTATCGGAGGAAGCGTCGAAGGACAATGATGGCCGTTGATGATGGGGGTAGCTTCGATGGATCCGTAGTCATGTACGTCCCTCCTGCCGTCTTTCTTCCCCGTCTTCTCACTTCTGTGCAGAATATAATTTCATGACTTTCTCTGGATCCTCTGCAACCTTCTGTCATAGGCCCATCCACCACTCCCATGCCCGGACATAGTACTCAGGCAGGACACCGCATAGTGCTAGCCATCACTAGTGCATTCTGCGTCGATGCAGATGAAATGCGGTGTATGCCTTCGCAAATTTCTATGACCTCGTATGGAGTGGTTGAATGTAGTCTGTGGGGCTGGGACTCTTTGAGCTCGGTTCTACTTTATCTCGTTGTCAATGCCACTCTTCTGTTCAGTGGCTAATCCAGACGGGACGGTCTTTGGGCGTTTTCTCGACGACGGTCATAAGGGGGGCTCGTCGAAGTTTACGAGGTCCGAGTCGATGCGTTGTCGCACGATTCCCCGACTTACGACCTTTCCGTCTTCTTATTTTCACTCATTATTGCCACGAGGTGTCCCTCCACAAAAACCACGTTCTCATTTTTCACTTGCAGATATCCGTTTCACACATTACTCTCCCACGTCGCTCCTGCCTTACTCCATGTTTTCTCTCCTGCCTTATCACTACTTATCTGTCTCGATCCTTTGCACACGGATTCCATGCTTCGGGATTAGCAACTCGGGAAGGGAGCGATTCGGTTCTTCATCGTACTGCTTCAAATTTAATCCAGAGTGCGCCTTTCGCGTGCCTGGTATCTGCAGTTCGTGTAGTACTCAACCCTCTCCAGCCCGAATTCGTCTATCTCTGGCATCCCATTTTCCATCTCTGCATCGGAATAGATTGAACTGCCCGACGTGCTTTCTTCACTTAATCCATCCTCGGATCGTCTTTGAACCGTACGCTTCATGAGGGGAAGAGAGCTCTGACCACTCGTGCAGGCTCCGTCCGTCCGTCCCTGTTCACTTTCTAATCCGTTTGAATGGCTCTCTTCCCCCCTTCGAATAGAGGAGACTTGAGACTTATGTTGGAGGCTTCGATGGCTACCTCGGAAGCAATCTGACTTCAAATGCGGCGTGGCGTTGATGGCCATGGTGTCAATGTGCATCGCTCTCCCTCGTTTTGGACGAGGTGGTCCTGACACCCCCTACGATTTATGTACAAGGTCCGTGAGCTAAGTTTGCCACCCACATCTCGCGTTGCATTGCTGATCAAAAATTTCATACGATCGTTTATAATCGCGTAGTCGCTTTCTGCGAAGCGGAGGTGAAACACCGAGGTTGAAAGCAATTGTTTCTCAAGCGTCGATAGGTCATACCCACCTCGAATTTGGTCGACAGTACGCCACTGCTTTCATTGTACATGCTCAGAAGCTACCCTACACGAGGAGCAGACGGAGAGCGTGCAGAGCACACTGATGTCAGAGAGGATATATGCGTGTTAAATGCACGTTAAACACGCGCAAGTACGAAGGGAATCAATCGACGTAGCTGGTGGTTTCGAGCGCCATAGAAATCAATATTGGAACGAATAGGACACTAGATGACGACCCGCCACCATCTTCCCAGCGTGAAGTGACCGAAGAACGGTGTTTTTTGCGCCAGGGTTGTCTGTCCGTGAAACCAGAGACGCAGACATGAAAGGGACATGCGGGCTGGAATGGGGAGACGAGATGGAAGACGGAAGAATAATGCTGTCAGGCGGGGTCGAGAGGCAGAATAGAGCGGCCAGAGCCACGAGTGGGGCATTCTAACAAGAGAAACGTAGGTGGGTGACGCGGGAGAAAGAGGAGAAAGGTATGCACGAGAAACGGGGACATGCAGCTAGCGCCACAGCGAGAAGTTAGACCGAAGCTTCGGATGTTCATGTTAGGACGCACAGTGCCGGGGCGGGGTGCGAGGGGATGTAGGGTTGGGTAGTTAGCGCATATGCGGGTGAACGGCAAGAGGTTCAAACGTAGGAAAGAGGTTGGAGGACATGCACGTCGTGACCGGAGAGCGAAGGGACGATAAGATAAGATGCAACCTGATCACTACCATAGTTCGGCCGATGGTCCGAAAGTGGACTGGAACACGATCTCTGATCTTCACCACGACATCGACAGCGACTTCCTCTATGCTTTCGAACTGGGTGGCCAAATCCCACTTACCTCTACCAATGCACTCTCCTCGACGTACGACACTCGACATCCACCGTACATTGCCGAGTAGAAGCGAAGCACGACGACTACAACAATTCTTCGGGTCTGAGTCTGGTAGACGCCGAGGCGGGTAGTTCAAGGGCCGCATAGAGGTCGATGGAGATCAATCTGGACCCACGGTGCGTTTATTCAACATTTTATTTCCCCAAAGAACGTCTGTCTGATTCTTCTCGTGGTGCTCAGAACAACTCCAGCTCTCCAATAGCAGCCAGTTCGACGCCCAGGTAAACCGAAACCACCCAGCGAGCTGTCTCTTCCTCGACTTCTGCACCCCGGCAGACGCGAATCCAACACTCTTTTTCTGTCGTCACCGCTTCTGGTACCCAGCCCCAGGATTACGCAATACAACCCTGGTCTCAGCACGAACAACGATAAATGGAACGGCAACAGTACCTCCAACCCCAAGGCCTTGACCTCTTGAAGTCGGTCCTCGGTGTTCGAGCACCTAGCGTATCACCTGCTCGCCCTACGTCAGCAACAGCACTCTCAATGGCGCATCATTCGCCGAATCGTCGACACTCGCTGTCGTGCTGCTTCTCGCGGCAACCATCGACCTCAAATTTCCACCCTGGCCTTGCTTGCGTCGCTGGCAGGTGCAGCGTTGAATGCGAGAAGGGCAGAGGGGGCTGAGAAGAGCATCACGTTGCCTCCCTAGGCGGAAGTTTGGTGTCCCGGTGTGTGTCGAGAGTGGAGAAAGGCGGAGGGTAAGCTCTCTGTTCTATGACCCTCGTGGTTTCTACCAACGGTTCTCGCGATGATGGTCTTTTCGTTCCCATTGTTGACTGCTCCTGCAATACGTTTCTCATCCTCATCTCGTTCGATACCACCTGGTTTTTTTCCGTTGCAATTTTTTTTCCCCATTCCACGTTCTCCGTCATTCATCGCGTTCAGCGGCTTGAACATGACTCTTCAGCCGCGACGGCAGCGGACGTCTGGTGTCTCGTCAGCCTCGCAATTTTTTTTTGCTCGTATTTCTTCTATCCTCTACGCATCCTAACCTTGTGCTCATTATGTGATTTCCTCTAGGTTCTCGCTGAAGATCTGTCGTTGAGAAGGCAGCTCCGTTCTTATATGCGCTATTCCTCTGAACTCCTCGCCGTTGCCGTCATTCACTCATCAAGCTCAGGCCATCCGGTCTGTTCATTTCGTGTTGTATTCATCGTAGAATCCCAACCCTGACATCTTTCTGGACAGGAAAGAAGATATCAACTTCAAAAAATTTCTATGATCACAACTTTGAAAGTTGCATCTGACCCGACCCGACCGACTGCCACGGAAGTCAATTTCGCACCGCTCATGGACGCGCTTTTAGTATTATCCTTCACGAACACCACCCCGGCCTCGACTTCAGCCTCTTCAGTCTAAGTCGGACGTGCAACATCAAGCAAGACCGAGGCGAGTAGCTGGTACGTTTCCTCGCTTCTAATACTTCGATCTCTTCGGCTTTTCCCCTTCTCTCTTTTGGTTTTTCATCTCAATCGACGACCGCTGATGTTTTATCTACAGCAAGCACCGCTGACTATCGCTTTGTGCCCGCTAACGGCTGCGGCACCGACCTCCTTAATATGAAGTTTCGCCCCTTCATGCCAGCATGGACGCGCAACAACGACCAGCGGCTGATCCCTTCTATTTTTGACCTCTCAGTGCCGCGTTCATGCTAGAAAGTTGCCTAACATCTTTGCGAATTCCCCATCGGTTCTCCGACATCCAGTTGACCTGTCCTGATGTAGACCGCAGGCGTCGGTGTCGGTGTGGGCCTCGGGTGTACAACAGGTGCCGATGCCTGGGATTCGGCCAATGTGCTACAGGAAGGAGCGCTGGGCCCTGTCAGTATGATTCCAAGTCGACCTCAACAACCCAAATAACAACTGCCGATTCTCCCTTTCGCGCCATAGTTCGTCGGGTTCATCACCATCCGATGATGTGCCTACGGTGGGGTGATCGTGCGAATAATGAATGACAAACACACACCCAAAACACCGCAATGAGTGGCTCTGAGGTGCGAGGACAGTTCCGTGGTTGTGCGGCTCTAACCAGTGGGCGCGCGCGACTCGAAGACGGATGGCGAATGCGGGCGCTAAGCGTGGGAACGGGACGAATGAGGCAACGGTGCTTCCGGAATACGAGTGAGAGAGCGAGGAACGAGGGAGGTGAGAGACGGAAAAACGAACTAAATTCTCTATATTGTGTGAGTGTGTAGACATGGATTATATCTATGAAGAAAGAAGAGCCCGGCAAGGAAGATATCCGAGCCGTGGGTGAAGGAAGAAAGAAAAACAGAAAATTTTAGATAAGAATGAAACAGGAATGGAATAGGGGAGAGGCGGCGAGGCGGCAACTGCGTTGATGGGGGAAAAGGCTACCTAACAAGGAAAGGGAGGCGCGCCGAGCGTCTCGGTGAAACGGGAAAGAGAGGGAAAGAGGCGGTGCCAGTCACGGGACGGATGCTTTTGCTGACTGAGGATCTCCGGGTGTGTCGAGGAACCATATGGCTCTATGGGAAAGGTGTCGGGGATCGAGGGGACGACAAGAATGTGATGATGAAGGTCGAAAAAAGGGATTTACCGGGGTCAGGGAGCAGTCCGGCTCATCACCGAGCCTCAACCTCTTAACTTACTCGAGCTGGGTCGCCCTATGTACGTAATTGTGATCCTCAGAAGAGCCGTCCTGCCACGTTCACACCACTTTTTTTACTCCTCGTAGTTTCTGGCGCATCGGCAAACCCCTGCTCTTGCGTTCAATCATCAGCAGCAGCGGTCTTCGAATTCGAATGCCCGTCTTTCAAAGCACCTATATCGTGACCGGCGAACGCCATCGTCTCTGAACATGAAAATCCTGATCATGACTTTCATACTCAACCCGAACACAGGTCAGCGAGCAGTCACGTCCACCAGCCGACGGATCAATCGGTCGACACTATAGACTTTTCAGAGCGAGGGTATGTCTGTCAAATTTTATTTCGCAACGCTCTCCCAATCACATATTTCCCGCCTGGTTCCTGATGTTCTAACCACCTCCGCGACTACGCCGTTCCGTTCATTCTCTCTTCTGTCCTCGTTTTGTCGCATTATTTTGACGTTCATTCACCTTCTCGTTTAGTATCGTCGTCTCTTTCATGAGTTTGTGCGACGTGCGTGGAATATTCGGAATTCATGCACGTCATGTACCCCATGAAATTCAATTGGACGAGGCCTCACCATCGCCATCGTATTTCAGGGGCTGTGGTATTATCTGAACGAGCAGGAGGACCCGACGTTCGAACACCGCATCGCCGCCAAAGTGGGTCCACTTCGCTCGTACCAATGCCCTCCGTCGACCCTGCATCTCGTTGCGGACTCATTTAGCCCCAATCGGGGTGCGTAAAAATAACCAGTGCGCACCGAGGAAAGCCTATCGTACCTCGTTGCCCAACCTACACGATATCTAGTCCCATCGGTCCACGCAACTCGTAGACTGGCCAGCATTCTTGGGATGCGAGCGAACCGGCAAGAAATCCGCCTATGCGCCCTGTATTCGCCTTAGGGTCAGTCTCGATACTTGGGCGCCTATTCGACGGAGCTATCACTGCGTGGAGCCATCACTGCGCCGTTGTCGTCGAACGACATGTGGCCCTTATGGGGATGGCGGCGATGCGCCAGTGGATCCTCTGGCGAACCATTGGCCATTCACAGAGGAGACCCTCATCCAATACATTCGTGATTACGCTCATGGGCTTTTGAATGTCTTGGAACTTTCCAAAGCGAGTTTGTATGGCGTATTGCACCATCTCCGTAACGCGAAGGAGGGAGGCGAGAAAACTTTGCTTTCGTACGTCCGTCTTCAGACCCTCCTCCAGTGCCCACGTCTAATAAACGGGGAACAGAGTCTTCCCTCTCTTCGCAGACTGTGGAGGGGTAAGGTGTCCAAGGCGCGGTCCGGTGTCTTATGAGCAGAAAATAGGCTCAGTCGGTGGGAATGGCGCGGCCTAGTCTGACAGGTCAGAAAGTAAGAAAGAGGAGCCCTTGATTTTTTTGTCCTTAATTCATGCATTCAGATTTCACAAATAGAGGGCGGCGAGAACAATCGTTTGCCCACCTCTTCCTCTTCGCCCTCATCACCTCTCGAGGAGTCCCATCCCATTTGTGAGTCCTTTCTCATCCCATGGCCTTCACTCACGACGCCGAACAACTCACGATATTTTAACAGGTAGCCTTCCATTGCGATTAGGCGCGATGTCTGCCCGAGACCGCTTCGATAACGCCTTCCTTCTCCAATACCAAGATGGCCAATTAGACCCTTCTTCAATCCTCGACCTAGCACTCCCCTGGCCTCACCTGACAGCTCTACATCTTGGAAACATCCCGATCCCGCCCAATGCCTTGTTGATCCTTATGCACAAGATTATGCGAACCCTTCTCTATGGATCTTTTCATGTAGACTTCAACAAATACGGTGCCGGAGCCCCTGCCTCCTCGATCGGCATTCTACCCCTTGACGTACAGCAGGTGACGATGACGAGGCTGAGGAAGCTCGCGGTCGTTCTCATCGGCGAGAGGTTAGACGAAGACTTCTTCAATCGCATCCGCGTTCCTCAGCTTAGGGAGCTCCGCGTCGTGACGATGGTTTCCAAAGGATGCACCCTCTCCTTCCTTTATCCGGTCATCGCATCGTCTTCGAAGAAGCTCCAGCAGCTCGACCTCGTCGCCGATACCTCCTCCCAGCGCCATATCACACGTCCGACCACCTACCTCGAGCTCGAGGCACTTCTCGAGCCTGTGCCCAACCTCCACACCCTCCGCCTCCCACACCACCTCTATCTCCATACTACCACCCTCGACAGGCTCGCATCAGGCTCTCTCCTTCCGTCACTTCAGCTTTTTCAAGCGACTACAAGCAGTCTCGAAAATGCGCGGGATATACTCTCGATGATCGCGAGGCGAATGGGCGGAGCGGTAAACGGGGTGGAATTACTTCGTGAACCCGGATCGTCGAGCGTAAGTGGAGGTCCAGACAGGCGTTCCGAGGTAGAACCCGCTTCACCGATCACCTGCGTCGTTCTCTCGATGCCTCTTACCGAGAAGACGAGCTTCATGCAGTATGTTTTGCCAAGGTACCCTCTCGTTCGTGATGGTGTGAGGATTCAGGTTGAAGGATGGTCCTAACGTTTGAATCGAGGAGCAGATATATCTATGACTGGGGTATCAGTTCGTAGTACTGAGCGATACATTTAGGATGTTTCTTGGGGCTTTCTTGGTAGATAGTGGTTGGATGAAAGGCTAGTCAGAAGTTAAACGAATGTGTATACATTACTATAGTCGCCAATCGGAATTCATCTTCAATTTGTCTTCATAAATCTATTGCTAATGAACAAATTCCAGCATACATCCCGCCCCTGACGAAAGAAGATTTGGATACGAAAGTCACTGTCGAGCTCGTGCGAGAAGTACTTCGACATTCGAGGGGGGTATGGGTGCTCAAGCGCTCAGCTGCGACGATGGTTTCAACCGCGTGGCCTTTGGAATCGTACCTCAATATGCCACACACTAACCGAGTCAGTACTACTTGCCTCGAGCTCTCAGCTATGCACCTTTATCTGAAGTACTTCTCTACAATAGCGCTCATAATTACTGTTCACGTTCGTTTCGATTTAAGCTTTTAATATCTCTCTTTGGGAAAGAAAAAGAAGTGCTGAAACACGACAGGACACGTGCGTTTTGCCCTATGTTTCACTCCAGGACAGCGAGGGTTAATGCCATCGACATCATGATCATCAGAGCCTCTTCCGTGCTTTCCGTCATGGGCCATAGCGCTGCCCTCCAAATCTCGACTATAACCTCTTCATGTACGAAGTTATTCGAGTGATTGGCCATTCTAGCCGTTCAGGTCATCGAGGTCGCCGATAGCACCCGTTCAACACGACCTCGAGGACACATTCGCGGGGGCAGAAGACAGTGGTCATCCCCCCATAGATAATTTATACCCATTTGGTTATCTAGCCGGTGTCGCGCAAACGCGGTACTTTTCACGATATCGATGATTTGGTATCTGTTCTCAGGACCCAGGACGGTGTTCTCTTCCTCTCTCCATAACCTCCTTCTCACCCTGTCCCAGGTTCAAGGAGATTCGACCTTTCTCTGCCCCAGGCGTCCAATTTTATCGGGCGCCTAATTTCAGTGGACGGGAAGCCAGGCCGATCAGCTCACGCCCCTAACGTCTTCTAATCTCCGCCTCTGACCCAAATCCGATATGCTCTCGTCGCCGGTGTCAACACACGACCTGGGCGATCCATCCACCTGGCGTCCCGACGTCCCTGCCTCGCAGATCTTCGAGGAGAAGACATGGCTTCAGGGCTCATTCCTCTCCGCCATCGCCTACGGCGTCGTGGTGACCCTTTTCTTCCTCAACCTCAGCCTCCTCCTCGAGCGGCTGAAGAAGGACCCCTCGAATTGGCGCACGAGCTCGAGGACACGGCAGAACCTCGCGCTGATTGCCTACGTGGGGGTGATGTTCATACTGAGCACGTTGACCGTTGCGTCGCAGGCGGAGATGACGCAGCTCGGGTTCATCGTGAACAGGAATTTTCCTGGAGGTCCTGCTGCCTTCCAGAACATCATGTTCTCGATACCTATCAGTAGGATAGGGAATGTCTGTTTTTCGTTGATGAATTGGTTTGCGAATTGTGTTCTGGTGCGTCTTTTCCTCCCTCTCGCTTAGGATTTGGAGATCGACAGACCGCGAACTTAGCTCTGGAGATGTATTGTCATCTACAAGACGTCGACCCTATCTATCACGAAAGTCATCGCAGTACCGGTGATTATGCTCCTTGCCTCCTTCGGTACGTTTCTTCCGTCCTCCTCCCTTCAAATCCCTAACCACCTCCAAGTGACCGGCGTTATATACCTCACACAAATCTCCCGACCCGGATCTTCACCATGGGCCACAGAGACCTTCACGCTCATCTACGGCGTCATCAGCCTCTCACTCAACATCATTCTCACCGTTATGATTGTCGTCCGCCTGTACCTCCATCGGCGGCGGGTAGTGCGGGCGATTGGGGCACGGCACGGCTCGCAGTACACCGGTATTATCGCGATGCTCATCGAGTCGGCCTTCGTGCTTGACGTCGTCGTCATCTGGTTCATCGTTGCATTTGCGATTGGGTCGCCGCTCGCGAACATCCCCCTCTCCACCCTCGTCCAAGTCCAGGTACGCACGTTTCTGGCAGTGTGGCGCCATCATCATCTGACCACGATAACTGATTCGGGTTTTTGTCCTTGTGATGCAGACTATCGCTTCGTTCATGATCATCTTCCGCGTGGCCACCGGCACAGCGTGGGCGTCATCAAGCGTCGCTGATCGCGATATGGGGACAAAAGAGATAACGAACCGCATAGAGATTTCAGCGATACGCTTTGGTCGGCCTGGCACAGAGACCGTCACCGCTATCGACGGCTCGCACGGGTCGCACTCACGAGCGAAGAGCATTGATATTGAGCTCGTACCGCCGTCGATATCGCAGACAATGACACTGAACGATTCGAAGGTGTAAACGTTACGCTATGCACGGGCACCCCACGAAACGTACAAGGCTAGTAAAGTCAAACGTTCATTAGCTCGAGCTCCAGTATACCCAATTGTAGAGTAGTGTAGTCTTACGATTAGCAAGACCGCGATGACCCCTATCTATGCAATAAATTATGCGTCCCATATTTTTGGTTGTACATCTTGAACGTTCGGAGCTCGAGCGGGCGATATGGATGCGTATCGCTGAGAGGAAGTCCTATTCGAGGTCACTGGAAGGAGCAGCGGTTGACGGCTAAGAGCGAAGAATGGCACACGGCCTAAATGTTATCTGAGCTACCAAGAGAAGAACAGCTCTGACAGCCGTTGCTTGTCAAGAACAGTGTCCACTTACTCGACAGAATAGAATGGTACTGGGCAGAATGTTGAACAGACTGCCAACCCGATGAGTATTAAAGAGCGGACTGGGCCGCGAGCGGATAACCTGAGCAGGTATAATACCATCAGTAAACGAGTGGTCTAAGTAAAAAGGAATAGAAGTAGAAGACCTTGAAGTACTGTTAAAGTCCAGCAATAGAGCAGCAAAAACTTCCAGTGTCGGCGAGCCCGTCGAGGAGTTGAGCTAATCCATAGAACGGGAGCAGATCATTGTATAAGGATCAAAGAACGAGAGGAAAGACTTAAGAAAGCTCAATTAGCGAGACAAGGTTGGCTAAGGACGTACGCCGAAGAGAGACCACAGGTCCAAATCCGAGACAGAAACAACGTTCGACGACAACTCGAAAAACGCTCGCCACCGTCGACAACTCACGTAACGAAGACTATCCGCATCGAGGGGCTCGAAGGTATAAATTATTTGCCATACGTAACGTACAAAAGCGAGCAAAACCAAATATTCGTTATCCCCTTCACGTACACGACCATAAATAGTGCACTCTTACGAATCATTAACGCAGCCTTAAAGCTCGATGGCTGCTATGTATCTAAGGAATGAATCGTGTGCCGCTGCTAGTTGTACAACTTGAAGAAATTTAATGGTGTTCAAAAGTTCGTTCATGATCAGGCGATCGAACCCTCTCCGACGTGGGGCTGAGCTGGTTAGACTGGTCATCACTGCCAGCGTACGACTTGAACATAAAATCAGGCTGAAGGGTATCCGCAGACGGCCTCGACCTTCCGCCTTCCTTGCTCCCAACGTCGGCGAACCGGATCTCTTCGATGATCTGGTCGTCGAAGAGACCTCCGCCCTACAACACAAATTCGTCAGCACCAGCTCAACGCCAACTGAGAACGAGGAGAGAGAGAGTGGACTTACAGCGAGGAACGCCCGGCCCCCACCTGTCGCCACCAAGTCACTCGGCAGCGCCGGGTCACAGCGCTGGCGGAGGTATGTTCTGGCGTTGAGGTTCGCCAGGACGGTGGTGTAGTACAGCGGCGAGAGGATGTGGAAGTACGCGAAGAACTTCCAGTCGTGCTCCGAGCCGGAGCGGAAGAACTGATAATAATTCGGTCAACGTCCGAGAGCAAGGAGGCACGACGTACGATGATGACCGTCCCGCACGAGATAAGCGCGGTCCACATCCCAGTGTTGACGGAAAGGAGCATCATGCGCTGAAGCAGCGACCTTGTCCTACATCGAGGGTCAGATAATATGGATAACAAGCGGAATAGGAAGTAGCGTACGACTGTAGCACGGGTCCCTCTCCGATATAGTGTCTCCAAAGCAGCGCACACAGGCCGCCGGATATTGATATGTCGACGGTGGCGCCGACGACGAGAATGGCGAGGAGTAGGTCCTATAGTAGGATTAGTGGAGGGTTCGCTTAGGGCGAGAGACGACGGCGAACTTTCTGGATTTCTGTTGAGATATTATCGGAGCTGAGAAGATAAACAAGTAAGCTCAGACTGTCGTTCATTACCACAAGTATCATCCACCTACTCGATGGAATAGAAGAGTACTGCATGATAGCAATCGAAGTTGAGCAGAACATCAAAGTTGTGACGAACGTCAACGTACTAGGTGGAAAACCTAAACGTAGTACAATCAGCTGGCGAACATCGATAGAAAGAGGAGAACACGAACATAGTTGAAACAGGATGGGCAGAACCTGTCATTGTTTCATCAGTTTCTGACGAAGAGATGGAGGCGGGAGCTTGACTGACGGCGATGACAGGAATGAACCGCTTCTTCTCCGATACTGCGCAGAGTTGAATGAGCGGCCTTCCACGGCGACGAAGTGTCGGCACTCACAGATCCATATCCGGTACGTAAAGAATGTCTGGGCAGATAGTGCTACGAGAGCCTGAAAATGACATTAGGGCTGGCCACTGAGCAGCGAATTTTCTAGCCACGCACCGAGAACAGATAAGGCATCTACGACCGGGTCTCATCAACCACAAACTCCCGAAAAGTCCGCCGAGTGTTACTCACAAGAACGCCTCTGCGATCTAGTAAGCACAGGACGTAATGATAGAGCGAGATAAGAACGTACGGGACCCAAATTAGATGTTGGTACCAAACGACGGTGTTGAAATATAGCGTATTCGCTGGAAGAAAGGCTCAACGGCCAGGACGAGATTGATGCGAAAATGGCTCACCTGAGTAGATTGTGAAGGCTTCTCGTAAAGTATCTGCGAAGCTGTGAACTTCGTGAATCCTCCAGAACCATCGAAATGGGCGGTGCCGATCTTACCATAACCAGAGAACCTGTAGCGGGAGAGTCAACAAAGTGGGCTGACGGGCGACACAGGCGAACGTACGAGAACACTGAGATAGGCAGGTTCATCTTCGCGTTCGTTGGGCGACCTGGCCAAGAGCTCAGTTGCGAAAAAAAAGACCACGAGTCGAACACATACCGAAGAAAGTACCGCAACCTTCATGCCTCTCTCGAATCAGGCCTCCGAACGCAGCGGAAACTGGAAAAAGAGCTCACGTTTGCGAAATTCCAATCCCTGTTCCGAGTTGACAGTCAACCATATGCACTCGACGAGCACGACGGAGACGTACCCCATATCGCCGACGATCCCAGCAGTGTAAAGTTGGCGAGATACACGAACGATCCTTCACCCGAGTCTCGCGCGAAAAGCTCCATGCCAGCCCAATCGATGTCGCGCCTTGCCTGGGGAGGGGAGAAAAAGAGAGGGCCGCAAGATCGAAAGTCAAAACTGAAGAGGCGGCTAGTTGACGGGCATGGCGAGCATGGAGGGAGTAGAGATCAAAGAAAGGTCGTGAACGGCGTGTGGACGACGCAAACAAGTGACAGGAGGATGCGACAAAACGGAGGGTTTGATGTCGTTTCACCGCCGGTCATGTCGGCAATTGACCCCCGAAACAGGCATGTTCTGAACCAGAGACGATTATTATCAGATTATTAGATCTGGAGGCCTGGTAGGCCAGAAATCGAGACTTACTTCGTCATTTCATGGATGAGACCCTCTTCGAGATCAGAGCGAAGTTGAAGGTGCAAGGAAAGGAAGTCGGATTCAAGGTGGTTCTTCGACTCCAATCGACGGTGCGTCATAGCCATTACCATAGTAACGGATCACATAATCCGGAAGAATCCGGACCGTTCTATAGTTCCTGGCGCACCGCCATGGCTTGACCGTTCCCTCCCTACCTCCCTTGATCTCAAACTCGTACTGGGCTCCGTGAAGACCTAAGAGGGGCCAGTCTCTCCTCCTCAAACCCTACTTCTCTACCTCCCAGCATGGCTTCTCTCTACGACGTCCAAAACTCGTCTGCATTCAGGAATCTGAATGCCATCAACATCGTCTCTTTCTTTCTGGCTACTGCGGTCTGGGGTAAGTTCTACGGGTTTTCAAGGCCGTTCAAAGTTTCTGAGACCTGTATCTAGGTTCAAATGTGTCAAATTCGTCAGTTATGGCCCACTCTCCGCTCGAAACGCTGACATCGAGACTCCGACGTTCAGAATATTGTTTGCGTTTAGGTGCGCAGGAATAGAGTCTAGGAAGGACATTCGACCTTCGCCAGCTGACTTTGAACCTTTGGACTAGGTCAAATCAGCCTCGAAGTCGAAAACTATGGGTACGATCTCAGCGTTCTTCTTTTCTACTTCTGCTCAACAGCCCCAAAGGTCGCCTGGCTCTGGTAAACGCAACTCGATGTCCGTCGTGCCATTGTTGACCTCGTCCTCAACTAGGACTCTTACGACCATCGGCCAAGGGTTACTAACGTCCAGAGGTGCATGGAACAATTATCAACACCTTTCGTTCTGCGTCTCATCGCTTCGATTGTGTAGTTGAGAAGGACTATTTTGGATGGGGGTTCATCTCGTCGAAGATTTCGTTCGGGTGCGTGTTTCTTCGATTCAAGAAATTCCTTATACCGATTATCTTCCTAGACGAGAAGGAATGGCGGTACGTGGGTGTCTCATTTGAGTGTGAAGCCGGCTGACCTAAATCCGATTCAACGCAGATAGTTATCCTCCTCGTATCGGTAAGATCGCTGTTTCTTTCAAACAGCTGATGCTCATCCATGACAGGCCATCGTGTCAATATCCTCACAAATATTCTTCCTCTGCCTAGTCAGAATACGTTCGTTATGTCCCTCGAGAATCAAGGAGAACGTTGACCAATTGATCTCGACTTAGGCCGGCCGTCATGGTCACTGTTATCGGGATTCGCAGTAAGTCTTCTTTCTTTTTTTGTCGTCTGGCACTGAAGTCGTTCCTAGCTTCCACCGATAGTTTTCCAACTCGGTATGTGATGCCTCACGCGACAGTCGCCGTCGACTAATGCTCTTCTAGTTCTTCCTCTCGGCCTCCTCTTTGCTTCGTAAGTGCTCCATTCCAACGCTTATAACAACGTTACGCCAACTCTTATCAACAGTCCTTCATCGAGCTGGCGAGACCACCAAAAAGTACGTCTTTTCTTTTTCTCCTTGCCCACAATGAATCGATCGCCTTAATCCGAACTTCAGTCCGTCATGTTCGCGACCCTAATGGTCAACACCATCCTCAACCTCACGATCTTCGGCGCGGTGTCGACGATCCTCTGGCCAGACCACTTTGGTAATCCTACCCAAGTCAAGTGGTTCGTCTCGCCGTCTCCTCTCCTTTTCTAACTAACTTCAATCAAACGAACCCCCTAGGAAAGCACCCTTACTCATGCGCGCCATCCTCTACCCCCTCCACACGGGCGCCTGCCCTGCGCTCTTCTCGATAAGCTCGCCTATCATGGTATGTCCTCTTTCTCTACTGCCCCTTCCTCTTCGCCTCGCCCCCACACTAAACTATCCTCTCTTTCGACGTGCAGTTCTACTACCTCAGCTCCTACCTCAACCACTTCCTCATCTACCAGCACCTCCTCTCGCCGTTATACTTCATGTCCGTACTCTCCATCCTCGACTCGCCGCTCGCTCTCTCCGCTCCTGGTTCGTGTGGCGCTCGGGTTGAGGACGCAGCTTGGCGCAAGACCCTTCGATCGAATGCCACTGGAACTTCACGATCGTGTGTCCTGGTACGTCTTCATCACCTCCCTGCCCCCATTTTAAGCGTAACGCTGATGATGTACGATGAAATTTAGCATGGAACTGTGGGCACCGAGACCCTCCGATTCGACCATTCGTCAGCTGGGACTGGCACCCAAGCAGGTGAGAGTCAGACGTCTGGGACTATATACACGGAACGATCTTTCGTGCACACGAGTACGGATACGACACCGGAGGTTAGTCTAAGGAAGATGTAATTGTAACGGATAGGATTTCTCTATGGACGTCGGAGCGATGCGAGGTGTGAGTTAGTTGCTTTTTGTACCTTATGGATTCGAGACTCGATAATGTAGCCCATTAATCTCTTGGCCAAGAAACGAGCGAGTTCGAGCATTGCCAGTACTTCTGGTTGAGCAAGGACTGAGTACTGAGGTTGTGGCGGAAACTTTTCGATTTCTTCAGAGCCTCAGGAACTCTCGGGTGATCTAAGCCCGATTTGGTCGCAGAGAGGGCACTGCAGGCCTGCTCATGCTGGTCCGTGCATTCGTGCCCATGGACAACGAAGATCCATCGTTCACGACGCGCATTACTTGAGCCGCCAATGGCCGAGCATACTACATCCATCGAGACGAGATTTTATTTCTCTTCTTTCAAAACACTACGGACATTGCCGCATAAAGTCGGTCGTCTTTATGCTGAATTTATGTAGACTTTATGCTGAAATGACATTTGTTAAATTCTACATAAATCTGACAGACTTTATGCAGACTTTATGCTACCATAAAGTCTGCGTAAAGTCCACGGCTTCTGTTAAAATAAAGTTGATCAGGGTTGAATAAATCGGCGATTGAAATCCCGATGAAGACCGTAAGCCGGGCCGAGCCTGAGCCGTGGGTAGTGTTGCCACGGTCCGATTTGGTCCGGTCCAGTCCGGTCCCTGTGCGGTTTCATGATGTCATCGGTTTCCAGACCGAATCGGACCCTTTGGGACCGTCCGTTAATCGGTTTGCTCCATACAGTAGAAGTTCTCATAATGCATAACGCCGGTATCGGACCAAAATCTATGCATTAGTAGAATTATGCAAGACGAACAAGGCGTGATTTTTGTGACAAGATGTGACCACGTGACATAACTTCGGTTGAACCCAGCCGCTCGGCGTCGTTTGAACAGCTTTCGCGGACTCTGCCTGGTGCAGGTGGATCCTGAAGCTGAAGCTTTGAAGCCTCTCAGCTGGCGAGTGAGCTCGAGAGACGCATCTGTGTTGTTGTATTTGATACAGACGCGCTCCAGCTGCTCGCATAGACGTATCACCTCTCCGATCGAGATTCGACATCTTGTCCTCGGCCTCCTCCTCCTCGTCTGACTCAATTTCCACAATCTTCCCCGCCTTAACTGCCTCCTCGTATCTCACCTTCTCCACGATTGCATCGTCGTTCTCAAACCTGAAGTCCATCTCGCCAAACTCTTGCTCCTCAATGGGGTTCAGCATCTGTTCCAATGAGAGGGGAGTGCTTGGTGCAAACCTTCCGTTTACATTCGGTGGGCTCGTTCTGACATTCACTGGCGGAGGCGACGGCTTCCATCGTGATTTACACCCAATTTTCCGCTGATTTCAGGAATGTTCTAGCAACAGATCTTGTAGATACCAGGGAAGATTAGATAAAATGACCTTATGATAATGCATAATCGACCCAAAAGGGCTATGCATTATGCACTATGCAATTTACCTGCTTCCCGAGTTGGTTTTGACCCAAAAGCGATGCATTATGACAATTATGCAGCATGAGACCATGCATTATGAGAACTTCTACTGTATATGGAATATTAAAATGCCCTCTTCACACTTTCGTCAATCTGAGATGGAAAAATAAAAATAAAAAGGATCAATAATTACTTTTTAAGGTCATTAATAAGCTTCTGGAGCAATTTTTGGTCAATTTATATGTTGCTCTGTCTAAAGGAACTTTTTGTGTGACTTTGTGACAGTGAAATGTGACAAAAATATATCCCATTAGCTCTATGCAGTCTACAGGTCCCAGATGCAGCCATATAGTTATTGTGTGCATCTACACAGCTTAATTTCATTCTATCTGTCCTAGAATCCCCTCAGACATGACAACATCTCCAGGAAATTTTAAAAAATGATGTGCTTCCTCTTTTGGTAAAACCCTTTTGATCCTGGACCAAACCCACATTTCGGTCTCACGGTCCTTACGGTTTGGTCTCATCGGTTCCATTTGCGGTTTGGTTCCAATGGTCCGTGGTCTTCGGACCGGACCGTGGCAACACTAGCCGTGGGTACAGCTTTGCATGAATCATGGCTTCGAAATCCTAAAGCCTGAGGCCGTCTGAGGCTACCCATTTTCCACATGAACTGCATCAGGACCTGCATTTCTACCTACTCTTCTGTGGCACAAGAGCCCTCTCCCAGACCCACGTCAATCCCCCAAGCAACCAAATTCATCATGGTCGCCAGTGCCCTACAATATCACCGTTGATTGACTGTCATCAACAGATAAGATATTGGAGTCTGCCTATGGGAGACTACCAGTGCCCCCAACACTGCCTCCCTTGCCTCGACACCTTTGTCTTGGCTGTCTACATCTGGTCATGGATCTGGTTTTCGCCTATCTTTTCAGCCAGTTTTGGCATTCCTGATGTACTAATTGATTGACTTTATGTTGAATAAATGCTGGCTTTAAGGAGACTTTATTGAATGTCAGACCTTATCATAAATTCTACATAAAACCGAAGAATTTATGGAACTTTTACTTTGCATAAAGTCTTTCATAAAGTCCACATAAAGTCTTTGACTTTATGCGGCAATGTCCGTAGTGAAAGTATCGTTGGTCATCAACACTTATTTTCTATCTTCTCTTTCTACGGCTCGCGAATTGATTCTCGTTGAAGAGAGGCATCTAGAAAAGACATGCGCTCTTCATAACCCCACCGATTTAAAAAAAGGTGGTTTCGCCCTTAGTTTGCTGCCTACGGCAGCAGCTCGGCTCGCTGATAAAAGGTAATGAAGCAAAGAGGGAGTAACCTAGCCTCGTGCGCATAGAGATATCGGGGGCACCGAGGCTGAGGATACGACGTCCTCTTGAAGAGGAGAGCTTAGACAGGTTCCTTCATCAACGCAAATGCTAAATACAATAAAGAGGAAATCGTTTGAGATTTCATCGTCTGCGTGAGTATCTGAACCATGTCTATCTCCCCTCTTTCGAGTCGACAGCGGCGGGCTCGGAGAGCGACTTGGATAGAGCAGGTGTCAGGGAAATCATTATCAGGATTCAGATGGCAAACGAGAGCGCGAAGGGGTCCTTCACGAAATGCGAGGTCAGCCTCTCGCAGTATTTCGTTCTTGGCCATGACTCTGGACCAGAGTAGAAAACCCCGCAGGAAGTAAACCGTTTGCCAGCACGAAAGAGGATAACGATGGCAATAGACCTCCTCTTCGCAAATCTCCCGTGTAAAACTCCACCTCGAATGTTTCTTCGCGATAGAAACAGGAAGTGCGGCAGAGAATCGGTGGGGAAGAGTATCAAAGAGGAAACCACACCCCGCAATGTTGTCCGTGCATCTGGTTCAGGAAGAGTGCGAAGGAACCTACTTCATGACAGATTCTACAGAACAGGTGCGACAACGCCCCAGGCGATGCCCTTGTCCCAAATGAATCATGTCATCGTGCCGCTACGCAACCCTTCCTGAATGCAAACGAACGGATATGAGAGGGAAAGATGGATTGTCGACCGAGGACAACTTGGCATGAATGCGCTGCGCTGGAGAAAACAATGAAGATTAAGAGAACAGCACAGACATACCGGATTTACAGAGCGTAGAAGAGAGTGATGTGGCATGCAAGCCAAGCACAATATTCCCCTCTTGCCCGATTTCATGTCGATGACCGCTTCTCCGATCCTTCGTCGCGATGAATCGCAACACAAGCCGATAAAGAGGATCAAATCAGAGCGTACAAAAGGATAGCAAATGAAGAGGTCGACGGGTCTCTTTCCCTGAATGAGATAGGCGTAAATGCTCTAGGAATGGAACACGAATAGACCAGGTGGAATCTCACGGAATATCGGCTCATCAGCTGCGTGAACCATGTATGAACCGCATATAAACCGTGAGGCAGGAGAGGACCATTGGGCGATGGCGAATAGGAGGTCAAGAGGATGGGCTCAGGCAGGATACCCTGGTATGTATCAGAGGGGGATGGGTAGGAGGATAGCGATGGAGCCGTGGAACGGAGGGGGAAGAGCGGGAGTGAGGTCCTCGCTCATGGGGAAAGTCAAGGGGATCTTGATAAGATAAGACGGATCTGCGATCCGGATTCCGCAACCCTCAATCGCAGCCATTTGTTCGTAACCACTCCTCATAAAGTTCCTCTGTAAACATTTTATGTAAATTGATTTCATCCCTTCGATTTCATATCGATTTAAACGCACGTATGGCTTTTCCACATCTTAACTCTTTCTTTTTCCTCGTCCAGAGTGTGTCGAAGGCGCAAAGTTCAGAGCTTCGTATTAGTCCAATTCCTGGTCGCAAAAACAATAATTCATGAATAGAATTTCGGCACAGAAGAATCATGCAAGGTCATGCTGCCGGTGCTATGTTGAAAAAAGTTCGATCGTTCTTCCAGTCTGAGGCAGTTAGGTGTGAGGGATCAAGGGCGCATAATACATCTTATTATTAGCACCAGCATCGCAATATCCCTTTCGTCGACGTCCAGGAGATAGGGCATCAGGACCTTGTTTCTCCTCATACGTCGGAGAGAAGAACAAAGAAGCAAACAACCTTTCATCAATGCATCGCCAGCGTGAACACTTCCGAGTTCTATATCTTCTGCGTCGGCTCGAATGAGGCACAAAAAAAGTCCCTTGGAGATCTCTGGCGTGACCATGGAAATCAATTTCTCTTGCAACATTGGGAGAACAAGAACCAAGAAGTATCGCCGACGTATAGCGTCTGTGTTTAGATACTTTCTTCTCGCTCGTTGAAAGATCCCGGCACGGAGCGATAAAGAGCGATGTGTTGTTCACATGGTCCTGAGAGTAAGCGAAACTGTGTAAGCGGACTTGAGGTCATCGATCCACGGAGACGCTCAGGACAGTACATATGTCCAAAATGCAGAGATTCGCCGGAGAAGACTAGGTAGGGCGAAAACGCCAGTATGTCTCCCAATGAATCAGATTGGAGTTCCTGAGACCGTCCTGAGCGAGCGTCAAGGATCGATGAGATGATCGCATGGACAAGGTCGGAACTTGAAGAGGTGACACCCAGAACGGATGGAAGGAAGAAGGTACCAAGTTGGACCGCTTACGCACGCGCAAGAGGGACTCGCGATGCAGCGATGACACTAACCGCGGTCCTTATCCCAGCGCGAAGGGTGCCTCGGACACCTTCTTCGTTCGTGCGTAATGGATTGCATCACCAGAGCTCGAAATGGAACCAGGTCTAATTGGCAATTCGCTAAGGATAACATCGCAAGATTTGGGAGACGTTCTGCATATCAGACGGGCACCGATAGACGAGAATCGATATCGACAAAAGGTGGATAATAAAAGACGAGGAAGCTTGTGAGGGAGGGTGTCCATTTCTCTAGAAGCCTGAGAGGAGCAATGTGCCGGAACAAACACCACATGCTGGAGGACCAGAAACCATCCAATGGATCATTGGGTCATCGCCAGCGCGAATTGTGCGACGCTTCACGGCTCCTGCTTCGTCTCAAAAGGGCACAACTCGGAGATGGTGGACAAGAGCGGAGCAAAGCTGTTCGTCTGGACCTAGAAGATAGAGAAAGATGGACGCCAAATGGCAAACAAGCGGGGAACGTACTGCAGGATTCAGCTGAAGAATCGTCCCTCCGAACCGGTGACAGAGAGGACCGAGCGTCCTCCGTTGATCTTGCGAGATCAGAGTGATATTTCGAACCTGCATTCAACATTGAACACGGCAGAAGCCTGGTGAAGCGGGTGGGGAAGAGAGGGGGCTGAAACTGATGGCGAGGGATAGACCGCAGAGCGTAGAGCAGGATGTTTCTCTTTCCTGTAGATGAGCGGCTCTCCTACAACTTGGTAGCCACTATATCGCGCAACAACGGACATCTGCGTGAAAAACGCAAATGTCTGCAGAGGCGTGAAGACCACGGTACATAGGGGAGCCATTCATTTTCGGAAGATCGACAAGGCGGGCAGACACCATGAACGTCATCGTCGATGTGAGAAGAACGAGAAAGTTGTACGACCAAAGGCGAAAACGCGGAGGACGTACCGCAGATTTAGCAGAAATTTTGATCCTCTGAGCCGCTTATTCGAATTATCGGACGTTCTGGGTAGATCTTGCGATATCTGATTGATTTTCCTGCATCGCAGAAGAATGGAACTGGGGCGATGCGAGTGGGGGCGAAGGAGACACAGATTCAGATAGTGTGGAGACATACCAAAGGACCAGGAGGTAGACTAAAAGTTGAATACAGAGATGGAAGAAGTGGAAAACGAGTCTCGTAGCGCAGCTGACAAGAACGACATGATGGTGGAGAACGAAGGGAACATGAGGATGGCCACCGTTCATCCGGAAATCCCGCGGATGAGATGGATGAGATACTTAAGATATACACGCCTTCCCGAATCCGCGGTCCGGGAGAGGAGTGCATACGTGAATTGGAAACTGCAGGCGAACTGCAGGAGAGACGTTCTGCGAATCGCAAACTTTTTGTCCTTGCAGAGCCTGTGACCTTGAAGCTCGGGAAAAAAGGCGCAAGATTAAATCTGGTGCCCCTTATGCGACGATAAACGTTCGGAAATATAAATTTAAGGGTATTCAGGGTGAATTTCAAGGATTTACTCTAGTGACCCTTGGAGAGGATCTCGGCTAGGAGTCAATTCTCTATGCAAGCTCCCTTAACTCACGAGTTGACGTTGCACGACTGCGATGAATGGAAATAGATGAGTACGGGCCGAGAAGGGATGAGTATCTAGATACTTCGAAGTGGATGAGGGAGCAAGCATTGCGTTCCGACAGCGTACGCACTTGGACCATCGGATGACCGGAGTCCCGCAGTTTTCTATGGCTGAAGGCGCAGGGAATGGGTGACCGTAAGGTAAGGAGAGATAGAAAGTCTCACCACAGGAGTAGAACGGTTCAATGACTGTGTGTCTATGGATATTCGAGGTCATCTATCGTCGAAGACGCTCAAGACGGTGCTCGTCATGCTCAAGATGTGACATTTGCCAAGAAAGATGAGATAGCGCAACGGATGACACCGCCCTTTCAGACGAATTGAGCGAACCTTTCTAGAGACTGTCCAAGGCGGGGACGTAGAGTACGGGGATAGAAGGTGCAGACGTGACACCCAGAGGGGAGGGAAGGAAGAAGGTATAATTATAGAGGGCAGCACATGTACGCGCAAGAGGGACTAGTGATGCAATAACAGAAGCAATCGCATTCCTCGTCTCAGCGCGAAAGATGCCCCAGATCCCCTCTTCGTTTGGTCGTAATGGATATATCACCGGCACGGGAGAGGGTCACCACCTGAAATGAAATCACGTAGGACGCCATCGCGAGATTATGGACGCGCGAGGAAGAGGGAGAACAGCACGTATCAGAAAAAGATAGAGTGGACGATGAGGAAGCTTGGGAGGACGTCGCTTTCCCAGAGAGGAGCGAAGAACATTTAAAGCAGCCAAGCAACACGCCGGAAGATATCAAAAAATGACGATGTTTTATCGATCCATCATGGCCTGTTTAAGCCCTTCAAACGCTCCATCGCTTCTGCTCCGATTCGAAAAGTGAGCGAGTCGGAGAGGGGTGTTGAAAGCGTAAATCGCGGTCTGTTCCCGTTCGGAGACCGGACTTGGAAGGACAGATGGAAACAAAAAGAGCAAAGAGAGGTTAGGCCTTCAGTCCTATATCCCGGAAATGACGGATGGAGAACGACGTCGGTCTTCCGTGTGGAATAGATGGGGAGCTCCACGATTGCCAAGTCCGAGGGATCGCGCGGCGTGTGGTGTACACGAAAATGTGGGCTCGCCGTCAGCGATGCACGAGTACAGCATGTTAAATGGAGCTCGTCGTGTTGATCATGCAGGAAGGGCGACGAGGGAGGAGGAGAAGGCGTCGATGAGATCTAAGTACCACCGGAGTCTGGTTAATCGGGTGAGGCAGATCGAGGCATCAATGAACATGATAAGCGCTTGCTATGTGTTTTTATTCCATGAAAGCTCCTGTGAGCTGTTGGTTGGGGGGATCGGGCTCGCTGGGCTGATCTCGCCCAACAGGACTTGAGCGACAGGACCGTGGGCTGCAGGGGGATGGAAGCCGCCCGCTGCGGGTGCGGCGATGGACGAAGAGTACACCGAAAGCGCTATGGCGAGAGGAAGGGCAAAAGAGCGTGGAAGAGGGGGTCGGCGCAGTGGCAGAGCGTGGAAGAGGGGTAGACGACGTAGCGGTCGGGAACGAAGGGGCTTGGATAGAAAAGGGTACTTCGGGAAATCCCGTGCGCTAGATAAGATGAGATAGAACTATCAGAACGCCGAGACAGCCGAGATCTTACATATTTTCAAGTACTGCCCGTGCCCTTTTTTTGAATAACGGAAGGTGCCCATCTCGCTTTCGACGTCGTTATTTTGATAGTTCTAATAGCAAGAATGATAGAGATTCAAAATCATGTTCTCGCGGGGAGGTACAGCGCGCTATCAATATATCAGCCTCGGTCTGATCTGTTGGCCCACTGTACCTCAAGGGCAAACTCCGACCTGTGCTTCGCAGACGATGGTTCTAAAATTGCACAAACTCTCCTCTTATCACCACTCGACTGGCTCTATCTGTTTTTATACCTTTGATCGCTCAAAAGACCTTAAATTAGATGTCCGCCTGAGTCACGACGCCTCACCGTATTGTCGTCGTTCTTTAGTCTGGGATGGGGCGGTATCTAATCTCGACATAGCTTGACCACTTACATCCAGAATACCCCTCTAGATCTAACATCCATCTTTCCGTGAAGACCGCAAGGCGCTTGGTCTATCAATTTTCTCCCGTTGATCTTAAGTACCCACTGTGCATCAGAATCTGAAGGCACCCGTCCCGGTGTCCGCTATCATGGGTATAGCGGACTGATCCTCTTTCTCACCGTGGATTCTGTCGTATCATTCATAATCGTGACAGATCATCTCTCTGAGTCGGCATTTTCGAGAATTAGCTGACACTCGTCCGGAAGTCTTGCTTGACTTGGAATCGCGGGAAGAAGGGAAACAAAGTTGTCGAGATTCCGAGTACGATACGTGCTAGGGGAGGAACGTATTTCGTTAGACAACTAAATCTATGCATGTACGTGGAGTAAATGTCCGCGAGAACAACAGGCGAGCTAGGTTCACTCCAACCGGTTCAGATTGCATTAGAGAAGCGAAGATCTAGGTATGCACGTAGAGTAAAAAAGCAACCAAGCCGACAGACGAGTATAGACGACAGAAAACAGACTGAGAAAAATAGATTAAGCTGCAATAGATAAATAGAGCGAGGAAAGCGACGTGAACGAGAGATGGTATAGCATTCATAAAATAGAGGAGTGGCGTAATGGTGGGGCAAAGTGGAGCGTAAATATGTGAGGTATGAACATCGCGGAGCGTGTTGAGATCGTGCAAGGAGCGAGTCAGAGGGTTCTCGACGACGTCGATGGCGAAGAGGGCGACGGTGTTATCAGAAAAGGTCGGCGCTTTTGAGGTAATCCCGCAGGATACTGTCTTTCACTGAGAGATAAAGAGTAATAAGCAAAGGAAAGAATAACGAAACATTCTAGTGAAAAGCGAACCTGCTTTGATCGTCGCCGCAGTGGCCTTCGTATCCTGTGATGATAGCAGATGAAGTCAGTGACGTGCCACGAACGAGAAGGCCCGTTGACGTACGATGACCGTCGTGGCATAGAAATAGCTCTGCCGCAGTTCGGGCGACTGCTGTCTCAGGATGTCCCTGAACTTTCCCTTCAGGTCTGCCAACGTCGTCAGCTCACCGAAACCCACCCCGTATTCCACCGATGCGCCACTCACATTTGAGAACGGCGTTCACATCGTTCGGCCGCTCCCCGTAGCTCGGTAGGTGTGTCTTCACCTGAACGCCCGACTTGAGTTTCTTCTTGAGCAGGTCGCACTTGTTGAGGAATAGGATCATGCTGGCTTTCGCGAGTAGCTTTGAGCCGCACACGGATCTCCAGAGCAGGAAGGAGTCTTCGAGGCGGTTGATCTTTGAATCTTCCGCTAACCGTTCGTCAAAGCAGGAGACAGCTGTCGGCGTTGAGTTGTGAGGAAAGACGACGATGAAAGGTGAGTGAGGAGACGCACGAGCCACTAGGACGATTGACGAACAATAGTTAGTCTTGTATATCAGGGCGAAGGATGGGCTACTACGCACGAAAGATGATAGCCTGGACGTTGTCGAAGTACGGCAACCATGCGTGTCTCTGAAAACACGGACAAGACGATGAAAAAAGGCGCATATATACACTCGAAAATCACGCACCACTGTTCGCGATCCTCCAACGTCGTACAACAGCCACTCCTTTCCCGCATCACCCCCAATTCCACCTGCTTCCAAGATTGGAATACGTTCTACAAGTTATGATTGAAGCAAAGGGTCCGACGCACCTGCGAAAATGCCGGTGTTTTGGGGTTCAAATGAAATGCGATATTCTTGTACACCGAGGGTACGTAGACGAGCGCGGACGACATCGTCGTCTGAGGGCTCGTAGTTTCGCTGGGCTATGCGATCGAGGTCGTCGAGGAAGCTGCGTAGCGTTCAGTAAAAGAAATGAGCGAGGAAAAAGGTACGTACAATCCCGCCGAGTCTTCCAGCCGCAGCTTTCTCTTCTTCAACACCACTCTAACCACCTCGTCCGACCACAGCGCCTTCATATCCTCCCTACAGCCCGCAATGATGTCCGTGGCATCCTCTCCGCCCTCTCCACCGCCATCGTTACTCTCATGGCCGCGCAGACTACCCACACGGGCCGTGGACCCCTTCTCGAGCGCATCTTGCAGACGACGCACGCCCCACTCGCCCTTCTGTTTCCTCACTAGCGAACCCGAGTCGGGGTCGAGGCGGAAGCCAAGAGCACCGAGGTTCGTGGCAGCACCATCGACCTCCTCCACTGCGCCCTCCCCGAGCCTCCGCTTCAGGTCCGTTTCCACTCTTCGTAGTGGACCGAGGCGGTGCTTCAGGAGCTGGTGCTTATCCGTAAGGAGGCTCGATAGCGGCTGCTTCGAGATCGGGTGTGTCTTCGTACCAAGGGCGGGCGGTTCAGGGCGCGGAGGTTCGAAGAAGGGTGTGTTGGGGGTTAAAGGAGAGAAGGGCATTGTGGGAGTGTCGGGCTCGATGGGTTCGTCGTCCATCTCGGCCTGCAGGACTTCGACGATGGTGGTGATTGAGCGGAGAATGTTGAGCTGGATAACGGACCGCCAGGAGCCTCGCTCAGCATCCCAGGCGGCTCGAGCGTAGCACATGCGAAAGTCTACGAACATGTGAGTGAGGATGCCCGCGACGTCGAGGATGAGGAAGGGTACTGACTCTTGAGCGTTGTTGACTTGCCTAGGTCAATTGATGAGCACAACGACGGGGAATAAGGAAGAATTAGACGAGGACGCACCGCTCTCCGCCTGCCCCAACAGCAGCACCCGCACAACGTACTTGTCCTTCTTCAACGCCAGCTTCTCTGCTCTGAGCCGATCGTCGATTACGTCGCTAACCCGCTTCGCCTCCACTTCCTTTGCCTCCCGTTCTGCCCTTTCGCCTGGCGTCTCGTCGGGAGGTGGTGCATGGAAGATGGCGAACGGGTCTGGTTCGGTGGCGCCCATGCTCGAGTTCGAATGTGGGTGAAGACCAGCGGCACAGATGATAGAGGTGAAGATGGAAGCCTATGTCAGATGGCGGACAGCCGTGTAAGTCGGGCTATACGGAGGCAAGATCTGTCGAGGCTGAGATCAGTGTTCTGCCCAGGTTCTGCCATAGATGGAGGGATTTGAGATGAGCCATGGGTGTGGTGATTGTGAGGAAGGAAGGAAGGATGAAATCACTGTTCGCCGGCGTCGGCAAACAACACCAGACAAAGTCTGCTCACACACCTTGAACCAAGACTTGCACAGCACTGCACAGATGACGAAATCGTTCACACCCAATCCTCGTCGACGTCCCGCACGGAACAATGAGTAATGGTGGACAGGAGGAGTGGGGAAGGGAAAGGTGTCCTGGGGTTGGCTCGCCTGGGATTTTGTAGACCGCGACCCTACTACGCGTCGCGTGAGTGCCCTTCTCGTAAACCCCTTCTCCGATGCTCGCTAAAAACTAATTTGAAGTCTAATCTAGGTTACGTCCCGCGTATCTGGGCGTTGATCAAGGCCTTGCCACGCTCATCTCCATTGTTCAGCGAAGTTCAACATTCATTCATTCGTCGTTAGGAAAGGAGAATCACATCTTGTGGATTCATGTTCTCTCGACCAAGTCTCGGACGTCATTTGCTGTGTTTCCAGCCTATCAAAGAGCCTCTCCTTCTCTGCGAGATCGGTCTTACTTCAGGCTATTCTCGCGCAACTCTGGGCATGCACATCATAGTTCCCCTTGGAAATAACGTGGGACCGCCCACTTACGGTATGTTTTCGAGATTTGCTTCCGCCACGAGGACGCTGACCGCCGAATGTGGCTCAAGCGCCCACAGACCCCATCCACCCATTCGATTTCTACATATGACGCGTTTGAGATTCTCGTCCTCAGCCGTAGTCCGTGTGGGTGCAGACCCCGACCAACGCATCACGAATATCCAAGCAAGACTCCGAGTCGGGGCCGGGACCGCCAATCCATCTCTCTGCGCATCTACGCCCCATCGTCATCAGGTTCCAATGTCTCTTTCCCTCTTTCTCTGTCGCCTGTGCCTTTAAAATTTCCTTTTTTCAACAGTCTTCCTATTCACACATTTCGCCAAACTAGCCGCCCCTCACACGATCGACGGCCTAAACCATTATGGGATGGACCTGCAACGCGTATACAGCGCGAACGACTCGGAGTTCTTACCGCGTCCCTCTCCGTGTCGACACTGGGAGTCAGGACGACGAACTTCAATACGATCCAGACTTACAAAAGACTGCTGTCGGCAGTCATTCAGGTGGGCCTGCACACAGCCATGTCCCTTCTTTCTGCAGAGCAGAATTAATGACCCCATCTTCTGCAATCGATTAGGAGTATACCCTTCCTCGCCGCCAGCACAAACGTTGTCCTAAGGGATCGTTACTCATCGTGCGTCTGCGTTTGCTCCCAGAGTCCGCCCTCCTCCGAACGCAGAACAATTGACCCAATTTACTGGGACGCTGGAAGGTGGGCTTAAGCTTCGAAGCCCGGTAATAGACTCCATGGTCTAGAGAAGTATATAAAGTATTTACTTACAGGAACATTCACAGAAATGGTGCAGGGGAGCTGAAACGCGCATTCTGCAACTGCGGTGGTTTGGAGATGCGATCGTTATTGGCTCAAGTCGAGCCTGGAGGTGTGTTTATTTCTTCTTTGCACCCGTCCAAACTCAGATTTCGTGTCTGACAACCCTTGCCGGACGGAATTTTCCTCATTCTTTTAGCTGCGGCACCATTAAATTGAGGAATTTTATCGAAAGTACGAAGCAAAGAAAGTACGTTAGTCTAGCTATGTTCAATTTACAGTTCGTTCATTCGATAGACACGTACACGATCGTTCGGAGTTGTGTCAGGAAGATCAGTCCCATGAGCTTTTCGTGGAGCGACGTCTGAAATTGTCCAGTTGTTCTCCACCCAACCACCGACACAATTGGTTCTTACTCTTTTCATGAATCTCGTGTATCAGATCGTTGCGGGTGCTCGGCCAGATAACTCTTTGCGCGCCTCTTCAAATTTCGTGAAGCAGTCCTCGAACTTGGATTCCTTGCACTGGATGATTTATGCTCGTTATTCTCGGTATATTTTGTGTCTCTCCACCGGTCAAGCTCTCCTCTGGCACCCATGGCACCCTGCCCACACACGAAAAGCCTAATTATACGCCTTCCATTTCTCATGCGTTCCAACACATTGCTAATTCTCGCACTTCCTCTCTCACGTCCGTCCTTCTATTCCATGTTTACATTGCTTCCTTCTAAACGTAGGATTCGGCGCCTGCCCCGATTGAATTGTAATACCTCTGAGTCCCACTCGAAACGCGTAGTTCAGGGAAGAAGGTAGAGTACAGGCTTCTCAACAGATTTAAGTAGATCCATGCAGCTTCTCGTTTGGAGGAATGGGCTGCGTTCTCAGGAAATTGAAGACTTCTTGGGCTATAGTTGTGCTATGAGACTGCTGCAAGGATACGCGTTTAAGTAGACATCCTCAAGGCCAAGTACCGCACGCGTCGGGGCAGTCCCGATTGGCCTTCGCAAGTCGAACCCTGTTGAGTTGGAAGTAGATGAGAAGCAGGCATTTCGGGTACTCAATACTTCGAAGCCGCCATAGGTCCATAGCAATCCCTGTCGCCGACTTCATGTCCGGAGAGCTGTTCAGTAGTTCCTAGCCACTGGCATCTGGATTCCGAGAGCCGGCAGGGATGTACGAGGTGGAGCGCACTCGTAAGACCAAGGGAGAATGTCTATGGAGTGTAGCGTATGCGCTTGAAGCGATCGATCTTCGCAGATGCACAGGACGGTGCAGAGATCCCACTCAGAGGGAGAGTCGTCGGAAAGGTGCTAGCCTAATAATTAGCACCATATTTCCAGACGAATCGAACAGGATTTCCCCCGACCGTCCTGAGCGAGCACGTTAGGGATCGATGCGACAATGTCTCAGAATATGCTGAGGTGGCACCCAGAAGGGACGGAAGGAAGAATGTATTGCTAAGGTGTTGATGAAACGCGCAAGAGTGGGCTCAGGACGTATTAACAGCTACCTACCGCAGTCCTTATCCCTGCGCGAAATATGACCCAGATCCCTCTTCGTTCGGTCGTAATGGATATCTCACCTGAGTGGGAGAGGGTTGCGATCTTAAGTGATATCATGTAGGACCCCATCGCGAGATTGTAGAGACGGGGATCCGTATATCTAATGAATGTTAATAAATGAGGAGCAACAATGAAATGTCGGGAGAAAATCGGATACGTAGCTGACAGTGAGGAAGCTCGTGAGGGAGTTTTTACCCAAAGGAGGAGCGACCGAGTATTCAGTCAATGAGACACACCGGAGGACTAGAGATAACTTCATAGCTTATCGGTCCTTCGCCTGCGTGAACTGTGGCATCGCTCCATTGCTCCTACTTCGATTTGGAAAGTGAACCACTCGGAGAGCGGTGTTGATATGGAAAATCTTGCGTAGTCGATAGAGAGACGTGGTCTTTCCGACTTCAGTCCGACTTCAGAGTTCGGACTTCGAAGGGTGGGTGGAAGGAAAGGAAGACAGAGTAGAGAGGAGGGTAAGTGCGGTACACACATACCTGAAAAGAGAGATGCCCCTTTTCACGAAGATGAGTGGCCCATAATACTGCGGAAACCCTATCGCGCAGCGGCGTATACGTGCGATAAAATGCAAATAACGCGGGAGGCGCGAAGGACACGAAGGATGAGCGAGCCGCTCATCTTCGGGAAGGGTGACTCGTGACGGGGAGATAGGGATGAATGAGACTGTCGATACGAGTAGATCGAGAAATTTGGGTGATGAAGGGTGAACGAGTGGCGGACGTACATATTCCCCCGACTGGGTGATTAAGACGATCAGGCGTGGGCGGCCGATCTCGCGAGATCTAACTGATAGCGGCAGGTTGGAACTAGGGTGACGCGAGCGGGACAGATTAGACAAGGATGCACCGAAGGACAAGGAGAGAGGTTGAGAGTGGTTTGTAGAGCTGGAAGAGGTGGTAGACAGGTCGCGGAATGCATCTGACGAGAGCGACGTGTTGAGATGGTGGGCTCGTGCAGGGTAACGTTCACCGGGAGATCCCGCGGATAACATAACGGATCTACGGTCCGACTTCATCGAGGTCGTTCAAAGGTTTATGGGTTTATGTATCCAAACACTCTGGTCGGTAGAGGTTCAAGAACGGGTGTGAAATATGTATAATTTGACTGATTAGTTGAGAGGCGAACGAGCTGATGGTACAGGCAGGCTCCTCAGAGCTGGCCAGTGGCGACGTGCCCTTCAAACCCCCAAAGGCGCGGCTATCGGGTCTGACACAGTGCATTTTAGGAATCGAGGTACGGCCCCACCGAAGGACGACCCGCAGGCATGGCTGGCCATGGATTATTCTGAAATATATTCCCGATGGCCTTTGCATCGACAAACGTTCAACGTTCAGCGTTCACCCAGAAGGGTCTTCCCGCCCTCCATTCGAGCGTAAGGACGGTGATTTCGTTGGGTGGCGGGCGCACACTTCGGCGCAGAGTTTTCTTTGTTCTATCCACTATCGTAGCTCGTTTGTGAGATGCTGTATTTGCTACCCCACCCAAACGCGTGTTGGCGCGAAAGAAGAGAACGGCCAGTACATGCACATGTGGACAGCAGTTTTGATCGTCGAATTCGTGTGCATAAACATACTTTGATGCGTCCTAGGCACTCGCATGCGGAGTCTGAGGGCGATGGATCGACAGGACGGCGAGCACGGCGAAGAACGCACCTCGCTCAGGTCCGCTCAAGACAGCCCATTTGTTCAACATAGTAGATCAGCGCAGAAGAGGAAGGCAGTAAATGCCACCGCCTTTTCAAACGAATCGTTGTAGAACTGAGACCGTCCTGAGCGGATGTGCGAAGGCGGCTTGACGCAATGGCCTGTTGAATATGGCCCCAGTAGGCGGAGGGGAGGCCAAGAACGGACAGAAGGAAGAAGGTATCGATGTCCGAGGTCAACACAGCAAGCGCAAGTGGGACCGGGGGTGCAGCGGAAGCAACCGCGGACCTTATCGCAGCGCGATGGATGCCCGGCTCAGGTACCTTCTTCGTTCGACCGTAATGGACAGTGTCACTGGCACGGGAGAGGGTTGCGAGTCGAAGTGAAATCGAATAGGAAACCATCACGAGATTATGGGCACGAAGGAGGAAGAGTTGTAATGACTCGCATCAGAAAAAAAGACTCCAGTAGACAATGAGGAAGCTCGTGCAGATGTCCCTTTCTCCAAAAAGAGGAGCGACAGGGATTCAAGTTAACCATACACGCCGGTGAGCTACGAAAAACCTAGTGGTTTTTCGGTTGATCCCCCAGCGTGAGCTGTTCGAAACTCCGTCGCTCCTACTTGGTCTCGGAAGGATACAGCTCGGAGAGGGGGTGTCGAGTGCGGAAAAAGGTGTCATACCCGGAAAGGAGTTCGTGCAGATTCGGACTTGGAACGATGGGCGCAAAGGAAGCGAGAGGAGCCAAGGATTTTTCGTACCAGAAAACAGAGGGATGGATAGAACGATGTCACTCCGAGTGTAGATGAGTGGCTACCCCATTGCAATCAGTTGATGTTGACGCGCCGCGGCGGCGATATGCGTGTAATATGCTCATGGACACGGGAGACGCGAAGAACATGACCGATAAGCGAGCCACTTATCTTCTGGAAGGGTGACGAGGAGATAGGAGATGAACAAGATCGTCGATACGAGCAGATCGAGAAGGTTGGCCGATAAAAGACGAACGAGGGGTGGACGTACTAAAGTTTATAGCTAACGAATCGTTCCTCCAAGCCGCCGATCGAGAAGATCGGGCGTGATCTGTGGGATTACAGTAGGGTAGTAGTACTAGGGAGACGTCAGTGGGATGGAGAAAGCAGGAGAGGAGACACACATAGCGTGAGGATACACCAAAGGAGACGGGTGTATATCTGGAATGGGCGGAGGCGGACAGACGGGTATGTAGTGGAACACAGCTGACGAGGACGACATGGTGGTCGAGGACGAAGTTTGGAGAAAGACGCGAAAAGGAAAGGGAGACCGGAGAAACGAACCGCATCCGGACCCTAACCCGAGTGCGGGAACATGATTCGAACGAACTGACGGTGCGGGCAGGCCCGCAATCATTACCTACTTACATATTCTTGTTGGCGTCTGCGAGCGGGGTGCTTTCAAATTTCCAGAGGCGGAGATATTGCGTCTTACACAGTGTAGGTTTTGTGCCAACGAATCCGGCTCGTCGAAGTATCTGCCCTGAATTTTAGAAATCGAGGTACATCCCGACTTGGAAGAAGGTAGTGGCTCAGCTAGATGAAACGCGCGAGAGGGGCTTGCAACGCAACAAGTGCCTGCAGTCCACGTCCCAGCACGAAGGATGGCCGGGATACCTTCTTCGTTCGTCTTGGGATGATCGAGCGAGCTGTGGATATACCGCTGTGCTGGCAGGAGTAGGGCTGTATCCTATCCTTGGTGGAAGAAGACCATGGAGAGGCCTGGCGATGCGGGGGTGCAGAGGAGAGGAGGTGAAGTGGACGACAGCGAGCGTGGACGTAAAGTACCACGGCGAGAAGAGAGGTATGATAGGATAGGAGTGGGTTGAAGAGCCGGGTCGACGTGGTTGGGATATAAATCTCGTCGGGAGATCCCGAGGGCAAGACAAGACGACGGATCTGAGCTCTGATTCCAAGGAGGCTTGTTCAGGTCGGTAGGAGAGACAGAGGAAACCAATATTCGAGGCGATGGCGGTCAGATAAGTGGGTGTACACTGCAATGGGTGTGTTTAGAGAAAAGCCAGGGAGTGAGACGAGGAGGAAAGAGGGAAAGCCAGAGACGGAAGGACGGACCGCATCCGCACCCTGCTTATCTCCTCGGGATCTTCCGACCGATGGTTCCTCCCGACCACCATGTCGACGTCAACCCGCCTCTTCCCCGCCCCTTGTCTGTTTCCCTGCTATGCCCGCTGGGCCTGTCTTCCATCGGCCCCACCTCATCGACTTCGGCTCAATCTCCTTCGTGCCCACACCCAGGATCTCTGGTCCCCCGATCACAACCGAACTCGCCCATCGATCTCATCCACAGGCTCACAGGAGCTTTTCGTAGGAGACAATCACGTCTAGTATGTTCTCATTAGCATCACACTTTCCCCCACAGTCACTGATTAAGCCAGCGATCTCTCGCTCATCGCCGCCTCTTCGCCGTCTCTTCTCTCCCACTCACCACCCTTCCCGCACGTGCGATATGACGAGCTCCCTTTACCATGCCGTTCTCGGGCGTCGATGGTGAACCTACATCTATAGTATGTGCACATTTGCCTGACCATCGTCGCGCGATGCGCGATGTCCAATGTGCAAAGTGGAGCTCCTCGTCTACTCTGCGCGGAAGGTCGAGATCGATCCACACTCCCAGTTTCGCCTACCCATTAGGCTCAATATCTCCGTTCTGGCCACGGCTGTCGCACTTTCGATGAGCACACCATCGCTCTTTTGCTGCCGTTCAACCCGCACGCATCCCCTAAGAACGAGAGTTCTCAGATCTCGGTACGTCCATCTCCTGAGAGAGAGATTATCCTACGATTATCTTTCCCTTGATCTGTGCGAATCGATCGTCAAGCGGTCCATCTACCTCGAGCTTCATCTATCCGAATGATGAGGGGTTTCCGATTTACGCACTTATCTTCACACACCATCGTTCCATCGGCGCCGTCTGTGCCCGTGCGCGATGCTGTGCGATCATTGAGTGAAGCTATGTCAAGCCCCTCATCTCGACGAAAGACCAAACCCGCCCCTCAAGGCGCTGCGTGTTCATGGACCTAGCCATCTCTCGCTCTCTTTCTTCAACTTTCCGCGCCCATGTTTCGCCGACACGTTATCTCGAGGACTAGTCTTGTCTGTTCTGACCTCATCACAGCTCTTCAAGGGCGTTCCGCACCCTTTCGAGTCGAAGCAGGAGCGATGGAGCCTCGAACAGCTCACGCACGAGTCAAACCGATAGTCCATTGTGCCTTTTCGGTCTTCCAGCGTGTAAACTCGAGATTGAGTCGCCTCCATCGCTCCCCTTTCGGAAAGGGCCTCCTCGCGAGCTTTCTCTTGCCCCATCCGTATTTCTCTGATATCGGTCTTCCTCCATCGACGTTCATCTCATATCTGTACCTGTTGTAGCCTGTTTCTCGCATATCCTACAAGGTCCAATTTCGAAATAGAATCGGCTCTCGCCCTGGTGATATCTTCCACGGTCACGGACGAACGAAGAAGGGAACTGGGGAATCCATCGCGCTGGGATGAGGACCGCGTTTGCGTCTGCTACTGCAACGCGAGTCTCCCTTGCGCGTTTGGTGTATGATCAGCCACAGTACCTTCTTCCTTCCTTCCATTCGCGGTGTCACTGCTGCATCTTCTAGACGATATCATGGCATCAATTATTAACATACTCGCTCAGGACGGTCTCCGTTCTACTACGATTCGCTTGGAAAAGCGGTAGCATTTATTGCCTTACCGCGTCTCTCCCCGCGAATACGCCATCTTGAGGAAAGCGAGCACCGTCTTGAGCATCTCCGATTCAGGATTGAAATATTGATTGCTTACCGTGTTTGAACTCCATAAATCTTCCTGTTCTCGCTCTTTCCACTGTCCTGTTGGGCCATGGCCCTCTGAATTAGGACGCAGGTGACTGGGGTACATTCACATTCCAGTAGAACTATGCACGCGAAGTCATGGATTAGAGCCGCTATGTGCGTATGGCAGCTATTCTTCTCTTGCGCTAACGCACACGTCGATAGGACGCTAAACACCTCCTCTCCCGAAAAATTTCAGGGTAGAATTAAACGAAATATCTCTCTGTGCCAAAGGCGTGCGCTTAGGCGAGTGCGTAATTTGCGATTCCTATCGTGAGTCTTGGTTCTACTTTTGTTTGCTCTACGACGTACGTTCACCCATCCGTGTGGCTTCAGCGATAGACATCTGGCCGTCCGACAATCCAAGTACGCCCTTGAGGTCTTTCCACGTAGAAATACTCTGGTGGGGGTTGCACACCTTGTGTGTGCACGATCAGGACGATCAACGACGCGCCGTGTCGGGAATATGATCTCGCTCGAAGCTCTCAGAGTCAGGCCAACATTGTGATGTGAGGTCTCGTGAAATATTTCAGGGAAATCGTCCATGGCCGGTCGCACTCTCGCAGGCCGTCCTTCGGCGAAACCGTATCTCATTTTTTGAAATCTAGAGCCATCTCGAAGAGCTAAAACCATTGACGCGTTTATCGGCTGAAAATAAACTGTTAGATTCGGGCGCGTTCAAGCTCCTCGTGCCCCTCATGTAATTCATTTCCTTGTATTCAATTGGCTACCCGTGGGCGTAATAAATATGGGTCTCTGCACAGATTGAGTAACTGAAGCTTAGAAGTTGACAAGAAGACGATCTGAGCTAGATGGCACGTACCCACTAGCAGCTTAACAAGAAGTGCTTGATTGCCCAAGCTCGAGTAAGCGCGCCTGCACTGCCGATTCGCTAATCTCTCTCAATTTATCAGTCAAATCATACGCCAAATGACCCATTTCGAGCTTGCAAACGAGAGTGTTCTGTCAAAACGTCGGCAATTGAATTGGCATTAGCCCTGCAGATCCGATTAGATGAAAGACCTATCTTATCCGTGGGATCTCCCGGCCTGTGAACGTGAACACGTCCTCACTGGGTCACCTCATTGACCACTGTGTTCTGTAACCTGTCTGTCCACGTCTTCCACGTGCACCTCCACAGTCCACCCTCAGTCTATCCTCAGGCTCTCTGATATCGATGCATCCTCACCCATCTGTGTTGCCTCTCCTCCCCTGTCCACCCACTCACGCCCCCCTAGTTCCATCTTGCCACTATCCAGGAGATCGCTCGGATCTCGCAAGGTCGATTCACCACGCCCGACCATCTCAATCGAGGGCTCGGAGGTAGGACTTGTTGGATAGAAAAGGAAGTACGTCCTCCACATGTTCGCCTTTAACGACCCACTTTCTCGATTCTCTCGTATCAACACTCTCGTTCATGATCGGTCTATCCCCGCCACGAGTCCCCTTTCCGGAAGATAAACGGCTCGCTCACCCTTCACATCCTCCGCACCTCCAGAGGCATTCGCGTTTTCCACGCACATGTTACGTTGCTGCGCGATGATCATGGTGGCGAGCATGAGCCGCTCATCTTCGTGAAAAGTAGCATCGTTCTTCATCCCTTCTTCCAGGGGATGTGGGTGCGGAATCCCTGCCCTCTCTCTCCTCTTTCTCTCTTTCCATCCATCCTTCGAAGTCTGGATATCAACGAACCTCTCTCCCGCTGTCCTTCGTCCACCACGATGCTGTCTTTTCCCATCTGTGGCACTCTGCTCCTGCCGCCGGCCTCCCATTCTGCGCATTATCTCCCTTCCGCTCATGGCCATTGCACGTTCGATGTACGTACCCTCGCTCTCTCGCCACCGTTTCACTCGTACGCATCCCACAAGACCGAGATAACTCAGATTCGTCGCTACTCTATCGGCGGTGGTATCACAATTCTTGACCAGGATAAGATAGGAGACTCCATGCAGGCGTGAAACCCCGCCCTCACTCGTTCTCTTTCTCCATCCTTTGACGGCCATGTTGCGCCATTTGCCAAGGTACTATCTCGAGCAAGAAGTTGTAGGTTACTCTAGTCTGCTCTGGTCTTACAACAACTCTTTAAAGACATCCCGTACCCTCTCGAGCCGAAGCAGGAGCGCTGGAGCTTGGGCTGGACATAAACTGACACCCCATTGTGTTTTGTTCGTCCCCCAGCATGTAAAATCGACTTTCTGAAGTCTCCGGCGCTCCTCTTTCGAAAATGGACTTTCTCGCGAGCTTTCTCATCGTCTGCTATCGGTCCTTATCCTGACATCAATCCTCGTCCATCGGCGATCATCTCATATGCGTGCCCTATTGCAGTTTGGTTTTTATATATCTTAGGGGATCTTAACATCCAGATCGGTCTGTCTCCCATGCTGCTGATATCGTCATTACGGACGAAAGAAGAAGGAAACTAGGGAATCCTTTGCGCTGGGATGGGACGGCGGTTGCTTCTTTCAGTGCACTGTGAGCCCCTCTCGCGTTTATGATCTTTGGTCTAATCCTAGGACTTTCTCCCTTCCGTCCACTCCGGGTGTTACCTCTGCATCTTCTGGCCTCGTACAAGACATATTCGCATCGAATCGTCGCATGTTGACTTAGGGCAATCCTAGGAAATTTCACTCGATTCGTCTGGGAAAATAGCGCTAATCACTGCGTTGCCATTCCTCTGCTGACTTTTTCCTGACCTGAACTATCCTGGACCATCCTGCGCATTGCCGAGCACCGATTCCCTCGAGTGTATACTCTACAGTTCATAAAACGCTCTCTTAGTCACCGTCGTACGTTCTTACGTCCTTTTGATTCTTCTGGCATGGCCCAGCTCGAAATCCGAATGCCAGAACCTTACGAGAAGCATTGCTATGACGGCCGTTCTCGTCTCTCGCGTGAACACGGGTTACGATAGAACTGCATATACAGCCTCTCCTGAACGAGCCACGGTAGGAATCGAACAAAGTATCCTTCCCCTAGAGCCTCTCCCTTCCACTCGTACACTCTCGTGTCCCTAGACAACGCTTTCGCTGAAGACAAACAGTAAGTATGTCATATTTAAAGGGTTACTGTGTAGTTACTATGTCCTCTCATGTGTTACACGAATAAGGGTCCCTCTGCACTGAGAGCGGGAGCGTCACTATTTTTCGGTCCTGTCAATGACCGTGAGGGCGCAAATCTGACGAAGAATGTCCTACATTGTCCTGATCAATTTCATAGTCGAGGTTTAGTAACAGAGGCGAATTGTGTGGCTAAACCGTTGGCACAATTAAAGGTCTCGTCGAGGAAGAGTTCTAGGGTTTCAATCAAGTTTCAATAGGAACTTGAAGATTGTGACAACTCATGTGCCGTCACAATCTGTGACGGGGCGCTGAGATAAGCGAGTCCCGGCACACGAGAGCCTCAAAGACAGAGTAAGACGATGTATTCAAGACTGACTACTCTACGATCTACCTACGTCCTTATATACTGTATTGGTTATCTTATCAGTTATCTGGTGTAGATACTTATGTAATCCTAATCCGTTCCATACGCCCTCCAGGAATTGTGAAACAATTTCTAAGCTAGAGGAAGGAAGAAATTACCGAAGTCCTTGTTGTGTGACTTTCCTTTCCTTTTTCCCTTCCCATCGTTGTGGTGGTTCCTGGCGTTGTTCGAGGCCGAGTTAAGAATGATGTCATTGACCTGAGTCACGCGCTTTGGTCCTCCGAAAGACCGACGGACCTTGAGTGCTTCCTCGAGATACTTGTCGTTAGGAAAATCAACTCGAATAGGAAACAATGCAGCTGATGGGGGTGACACGACCTGACCGTTGATGTCGACAACCGTGAGGCGATTTGGTTGGACGGGGTCGCGATGGAGGAGGCGGACGAACTCGCGATAGCCGAGCGGCTCGAAAAGGGGTTGGGCCGGTATCTCCGGAATGGAGACTGCCTTGTACGCAAAGCTGATGAACGCTTTGAGAGTGGCGGCGTGGATGGAGAACGTCTTGCCGGTGTCGGGGTCGAGTATACCGAAGTGGAAGTCGTCGAGACGTGTGATGTAGGCGAAACCGGCGACGGGAACGAAGAGTGGGATGAGATTCCCACGGAAGTCGACGGGGCGGACAATGCCCTGGACGACGGGAGGTTGCCCAACAGATGGGTGCTCGGTGATGGGGTTGTGTGCAGAACCATCGAGATGGTCCGTGAGGGAAGCCTGGCCAAACATGGGGTTATAGTTGGGGGTGGACACGTTGGTGTTTGTGTCGGCGGTGTCAGGCGCTCCGTTGATCGATAGATTGCCCATGGATTCCGTAACTTGAGCGGGAGCGATCTGAGAAGCAGAGGATTCGGTGTTGATAGACATTCTATGTGAGTGTTTGCACAGGACGAGTAACACGAGCCCAATATATAGATAGACGACCAAGCACATGGGCGCCTGTTCAACATCATGACATCGTGTCATCGAACTCTCAAAATCTGACGTCAGTGCCATTGATCCAACGAAAATTTGAGGATCATTGTTATCTATTGTGCCCAGACCTCTAGAAAGTTCTGAAATATTCTTTGCCCCCTTTGCTTCGAGGTACTGTTGAAGCTCAATTAAATGGCTTACTTGACTGTATGGTAGCCAAGTTTTGTCTCCGGATTTCCACAGGACTTCAAAAATCGCATTTTGACCTTCATTTTTATGAGATATAATTTTTTCTACTGCCCATTCGCCCTCCAAGTCTTCGAGATCGAAGACTTGAGTGTCCAGACGACCCGGAAACAACCGGTCATCATTCGGAATGTGGATTCTAAGTAACGAGGAATGGAAGACATCGTGGACCCCTCGCTTTCTGAGACTAGGCGGAAGTTTAATCCGAAAAGAATTATTTCCGAAATCCTCAGTAATGAGGTATGGCCCGATAAACCGAGGAGCGAGTTTCCGACTCAAGCCCTTGGGTAGATTAGAAATGTAGACATAATCATTTAATTTGAACGGAGTGACGATCCGCTTTCTATTAGCATTACGAACTGATTTCACGCGAGCCGCTATTATTGAATCATGTGCTCGCATTATGGCGGCGGTCTTCATGCGCTTTGCTCTACACCGGGGAATTCGGATGGCTTGTTTGAGTCCCAAATGAACGAACGTGGCATTCTTCCCATGTTAAGGAAAAATGGTGCGAAGCCCGTACTCTCCGAGCGAGCCGAATTGATGGCAAATTCAATAGCAGGTAATTTCTGCACCCAGTCCTTCTGAGTTTGCCCGATACAATGGCGAATCATCTGGGTGACGGTTTTGTTCGCACGCTCAGTAGCGCCGTCCGACTCTGGATGATAGGCGCTCGACATGTTGAGCTTCGTTCCGATCAATTTGTGCAACTCTTCCCAGAAATGACTAGTGAACAACGTGTCACGGTCGCTTACAATAGATCTTGGCAGTCCATGGTGTTTGTAGACCTCTGAGAATATTAATTCAGCAATGTCCTTTGCAGTGTAAGTCGTCCTCGAGGGTACGAGATGAACTAATCCAGAAAATAGATCAATGATGACAGTGATCGAGTCGAAACTTCCATCGCGATTGGATGATTCCGGAAGCGGTCCTACAAAATCAATACCGATCGAGTCCCAGGGTTGCCCAGGAATGTCTAACGGGTTGAGCAGGCCATATGGTTTGTGATTATTATCTTTACTGTGCTTGCAAGTCCTGCAAGTTTCACAATACTTCTCAATGTCAGGAGACATGGTCTTCCACCAGACATACTCACGAAGGTAATCATATGTCTTCTTAAAGCTTAGGTGC